CGGAGCCGTGGCTTTCACCTTGTGCCTGGTTTAGGAGCACCTTTGCAGTTCCTAGCCATATGGCCTTCTTCTCCGCAGCGATAACATTTGAAGGGGACCTTCCCTTCTCCTCGCGCTTTAGGGGCGCCTCTTTGTCTGCCGGAGTCGACGTCCATGGCGTCACTGTCTCTTGAGGGTCCAGCCCTCTGGGTAGCGGTTTCCTGTGTTTTCCCTTTTGGGGTCCACCACGAGGTTCGCTTCTTCTCCGCATCTAACTCTTCGAAGTTCTGTCCAATCTGGACTGCTTGCTCGATCAACTTTTCGAGCGTGTCTTTGTTTGCAAGAGCCACATGAGCGAGCTGCTCCTTGATCCTGCTCTGCAAACCTACTCGGAACTTCTGTCTGAGATCGTAGTCGGAGTATTTGGTGTATGCTGCCTTTTGTCTGAAGGCTGCAACGTAGTCAGGAACACTGCTTGTGCCCTGTTTCAGAGATTCTAGCTCCCTGATCGCCTTTCCTTCCTTGTCTACAACACTCCACATTTTCATGAAGTCTGTTGCCAAGGTTTCTTCGTCTAGATCATCAGTCTGCGTACTTCTTAATGTAGGGGTGTGCCCATTTTCCGGCAGTTCCCTTGAGATGTGACAAGAAGAATGCTATTCTCTTGCTTGAAGTCGCGTTAGGATATTGTGCCCAGTATAATGTGATCTGAGCTACGAAGGTTTCGGCGTCAATGGAGTCTTTTTCTCCTGTGAATTCGCTGGGTTTCGCGATCTTCATTTCGGATGATGAGGAGGATGGTGGGAAATGTACAGTGTTCTTTTGGGAATCTAGGACGTCTTCGAGCTTCTTTTTAAGCGACTCGTTATTTTCGTTGAGTGCTTCGTTCTGTAGGCGTAGTTGCTCTATTTCTGTTCTGAAACCCACTACAGCTTCTGCTACAAGCCTGTTAATGGTCTCTTGAACTTGTTGTTCCCAGGTTTCGGACATAGTGCCAGTTGCGTTCTGGAATCCTATTCACTAATGTCGGGGTTTTGGTTGACTAGTCGTAACGGTCAACCCGGATAGGAAAGATGGTGAAAAAGGTGGAAGGTGGAAAATGAAGAAACTGCAGCGGTCCCCGATATCTGATCGGATCTACCACGTACTGCAGGGTCAAAGGGTTCTTTAATCAACCCAACTGACGCTCTTCCTATAGTAGACTATTTCTATCGTAAAAAGGTATAGTAGGGCGATCCTTCCTAAAGTGGGAAAAACTCGAGGGACACGTGTGACTCTTCCAGCCGGAGCTTACAAATCACCAGTCATGCAACGAGACAGTTCCACTAAATACTCTTCGGAAGCGATCTGTAGGTACGAAGGAAACTATCGTAAAAAGAAAAGGTATAGTAGAGCTCAGCAGGCAGGGTCTTGGGCCAGCACTGAGGTCGCAGATAAAGCACCTAAGGTTGCTCCTCCAACTGATGATAGCAGCCGCAATGTAAGGCGGGGCCTGTCACCAGACTACTAACTACTAAAGGGTAATAGAAGTTGCACTCAAGCGAGCAAAGGTTTGGGAAAGAAAAGGTCGCGGTTTTTTAGGCCGGGCAATGATAGAACGTGTGATGATGGTTTCGTCTATACGGATGAAGGATAGTGATTATACTTCACGCCGTAGAGAAGAGAATGCGAGCGGTATGCGAGTCGGAGTCCCCTATAGTTCAAACCTAATGTCACAACCCCTTAAACAACTTAATGCTAGGGCAGAGACTAGGACTCAAACAAAGGTTATCACGATAAAAGAGATGGGATTGAGCAGGTACGTTTGGGCTGCTACAAGATGTAGAGACGAAAGGTTTGAACTAAAGAACTACTTACTAGAAATGTCCTAACTATATACAACTATTCAAGAGGAGATACAAACTGAGTTCTAACTACTAGCCAATCATAAAATAAGAAACGGAATCGTACGATGTGATAATGTGAAAAGGAATTATGTCGTCATGAGAAGCGATGCTGCTTCTGTGAAATTCTGGAAGGTTCTAGGAGAGTCACGTGATGTAATGGCGTCTAAGTCTGGAGTTGGGATTTCGGTTATAGTAGCGATAGGTTTAGGGTTAAGGTTTGGAACATATGTTGGGCGTTTAGGAGTTAGCGCTGGGAATGGGCGCTTAATGTTGACAGTCGAAAGGAAAGAATAATGATTTGTATTTGGAACTCGTGACAAATATCGGCAGTGTTCTTATGAGTCGATAGCCAGACGGGAAGGAATGTATTCTCCTCGACATGATGCCTGATGAAGTGATATCTGAGATCGATATGCTTCGTACGGATGTGATTCGCGGCCTCCTTTGAAAGTGCTATTGCGCCTGCGTTGTCGGCGAACAAGCGCATGGGAAGGGTGAGAGGGATTGAGAGGCAGCCAAGGAAAGATTGAATCCATAGACCGTCTTGAATCGCTGCGGTGAGTGCCATGTACTCGGCTTCAGTGGAAGAGAGGGCGTGCGTGGTTTGTTTCTTGGCGGAATGTGATATGGGGCCGCCGTTCAGAAACCAGACGTAGCCACTGATTGAAATTCGATCTTCAGGAGAGGTAGCCCAGTCTGAATCGCTGAAACCATGAAGTTCGGCGTTGACGTTTGGTCCCCCGTAGTGGACACGCATGCGGATCGTACCAGAGAGATAGCGGAGTACGTGTTTTGCGGCTGCGTAGTGCTGTGGTAAGGCGGAGACGTTATACTGAGCGAGTCGCATGACCGTGAGTGCTATATCCGGTCGAGTATATATCGCGAGGTAGAGCAACTCGCCAACTAACTTCCGATACTCAGCTTGAAGATCGTCGACGTGTGGGTGTACATCTGTGGGTCGCCCGAACGGAAATGTCGGGTCCATTGGTAAGGCAACAGGGTTGCAACTCGTCATCCCGTGTTCCTCCAGGAGGTAGTGGATATAGTCCTCCTGGTGCATCCACAACTCGCGCGATGTGCGATCCCTGAGAAACTGAACGCCTAAGTACTTCGTGACCGGCCCAAGGTCTGTGATTCCAAAATGTTCCGCGATTTGAGACTTAGTGCGATCCAGAAACGCTCGATTATTGGCGCCAGCGAGGCCGTCATCCACGTGCCATGCGATGATGCAAACTATTCGATCCCCGTTCCCGTCGACATGATCGAATATGAATACCGCATAGTCGGCCTCGCACCTCAAGAAGCCTAAGCGGGTGAGTACTTCGCGAAGCAACTCATACCAATCGTAAGCAGCTTGCTTGAGGCCGTAGAGGGACGAAAGGAGGTGGCAGACCAGTTTCTGGAACTTTGGACCGAGTCGTTCGAAACCCGGAGGTTGCTTCATGTAGACATCCTCTTGTAGTTTACCCCATAGAAATGCACGTCGTGCGTCGAAACAGTCCAGTTCCCAATCGTGTAGGGCTGCGTGTGCGGCGAGAATTCGAATTGAGGAGGATTTAGCGACGGGGGCGAACGTGCGTCCAAAGTCGATGCCAGGAATTTGGGAGAACCCTTGCGCTACCAAGCGTGCCTTGAAGACGGGCCCGCCTTTGAGATCCTCCTTGAACTCGAGAACCCAGCGACAACCGATTGCCCGTCGATCCGCTGGCAGTTCTACAAGTTCGTAGACGTTCATTTCGGACATCAAATTCATCTCCTTGTGCATTGCCGCCAGCCAATGATCGCTATCCGGGCGCCTCATCACTTCGTCGAAGGTCGCGGGTGGGATCTTGAGATCATACCCTGGTGCCAGAGGGTTGCGCCTGGTGTCACTACGAATGGAGAGGCAACAGACTTCAACTGCGATGAGAGAGGCGAGCACATGGGGGAATCCGACGTCTTCGTCGTCCGGAACGATCGCATCAGGGTCGATTGGAGGTGGAGGAGGGTGGTTAGACATTTGAGTGGGATTGTCGACGATTGGTGCGGGTGTGACAGTGTCACCAGGAGGAGGAGGGACGCCGTTGATGCGAGCTGAGCGGATGTCTCGCTGGCGGGCTAGGCGGGATTTGTCCACTGCCAGGCGATCTCGGAAGGCTTGTCCTTTCTGGGTGGGGACAGGAAGACGCCCGGATCGACGGATGATGGATGCGTGAGGGGTCACGTCTGATACAGGCGCTGGGATGGGTGTGGCAGAGGGAGAAGTAGACGGCGAGGAGTACACAGGCGCTGGGATCGGGGAGCATACAGGCGCTGGTGTCTGCGGATGGTCATCCTCCTCATCGTCAGATTCATGAGTGGAGGAGTGAGACTCATCGAAAATGACGTCTCGCGAGTTGTAAAAGGCCCCAGTTACCACATCTCTGCACCTCCAGGCTTTGACTCCTGGAGGATAGCCCATGAAGCGCGCTTCTCGTGAGCGGGGTCCCAATTTCTGTTGTAACTCTGTGGGGATCCGCGTGAAGCAGCGGCTGCCGAAGACTCGAAGATGTGCGAGGTTGGGCTGAACACCGTGCAGCATTTCATAAGGCGTCTTCCCCGCTGGTAAGGCACGAGATTCTGTGCGATTAAACAGATAACATGCGGTTAATGCCGCCTCACCCCATAGATTCGACGGCAGACGAGCAAAGTCCAGCATCGCATACATGCGACCTTCGATCATACGCATCACCCTCTCTGCTTTCCCGTTCTGCTGATGAGCATAGGGAGCAGAGCGTTGACGCTGGACACCCGTCTGTTCGAGATCTTTCGAGAACGCCTCGTTTATGAACTCCCCCCCATTGTCTGAACGGAAAACTTTGACGCGTGAACCAGAGAGATTCTCCCAGCGGGCACGTAATGAACGCCATGCGTCGAGAGCCTGATCTTTGGAGGCGAGAAGTTGAATATCTAGTACATGCGTGCTGTCGTCTAGGAACACGATGAAGTATCGTTTACCGTGTGGTGTGATGGTGGGGATTGGACCGCAAACGTCTGAGTGGATGAGATCGAGGAACTTTGGTGCGCGTGCAGTTTCAGATGCGTGGAAAGGCTGGTGAGGGTGTTTGGCAAGGATACATGATTCGCAATGGGACAAGGGCGTGTTAGCTTCAATAGTCACCCCCTTAGCAACACGATGAAGGCGTGAAACTGCGTCTTTGCCGATATGCCCTATACGTGCATGCCAGAGATCAAGTGACAGCGGAGTGTGAACGAAGGCAGTGAGTTCAGGCCCCATTGATGCTGGCTCAGCCGTGGCCGGGATGAAGACCATATCAGCTGCATACAGCTTGCCAGTTGCTGGCAATGCGCCAAGCAAGTTACCCTTGTAGGACAGCTCACACGTCATGTTGCTCCGGAAGCTAACGTCCCAGCCTTTGGCATTCATACAGCTGACTGATAGGAGGTTGAGGAGAGCATCCGGTGCGTGGAGACAGTTGGAAAGGCGAACGCGCACTCGTTTACCACCTATGGTGAGCCAGGCCATGCACGTTCCTCGTCCTGTGGTTTGCAGGATGCCATGATTTGCGGTGTGAACCGGGACGGTGTCTGCATCTGAGTACGTGTGGAAGTTCCTTCTATCCTTCACCAAGGTGACTGTTGTGCCGGAATCGAAGATTGTGGTGAAGGGAAGATTGATAGAGCACGTGACTTCGTCTGTGATGTCAGTGATGGATGCGAACGACATATCGTCCATGAGGGATGTGATGGCTGCCGCAGCAATTGCTGAAGATGTGGTCGAAGGTAAGGGTGGCGTAGTGACGACGGCAGCGACCGCTGTTGTCTCTTTCGGCTTCTTGTTCCTCATCCATGGCGCTTGACCCTCCATTCCGCCTCCTTTACCATAGCAGTGCGCATGGTCATGGTCCCCTTTGTTACAACCCGGCGTCGTGCAGAAAACCCCTAGAGGGTTGTGTTTGTGCATGCGAAGGCCTGTGATTTGGTTGATGCCGTTTTGGGAAGTGGTACTTGCAACGTTCACATATTCAGAGCCAGGGCGGGATGAATGGATGTGTTGAGTTACCACGTGACGTGCAGCCTCTGATGTGATGCGGGATACACAGCTCTCGAAGGTGAACGTTGGGGTTGATGTGGCGGACATTGACTCATCGTGCATGCGCTGCTCTAACAGGGACTTAAACTGTTGCCAGAGGGCGGTCTGAGGTAAACCCATAAGCATATGGTAAATTGCGTCAGTTTCACCCCAAGGTGCACCAGCGTCGGATAGACGCTCTCGGAAAACGGCGTGCTGTGAGACGTAGGAAGTGGCATCTGCTGAGTCTTTCATGCGGAGTGCCTGAACTTGTTGCCTGAGGAGGTATTGCGCGCTCATGTCGGTGCGATTAAAGTGCTCCTGTAGTATCTGCCAAGCTTTTCTCGCGGTGACTGTATGCGCGCGAGGAATGAGAGACGAGACAGACGGACTGAGCCGCCGTGTAATGAGCTCCTTAGCCTTCATATCCTTGAGCAGCCATTCACGCATCTTCGCTGTTTCAGCGTCCGTGGGGGCATTACTGTCGGCAGGCGTAGGGATATGTGAAGGAAAACCGAGAAGATCCCCAGGTTCGGACTTTGTATTGATATGGCACCAGTAATCCTCGCACGCGAGCGCGTACTGCATCTTGGTAGCCCAACCAACATAATTTTCCGTACCGAGCAGCTCGGGAATGTGGTCGTGTTTGCCCATGACGATACCGTCGTTGGATAGAGTGAATTTAGTGAGCGGCGTGCAGCGCGAGAGCAAGTTATGTGTTGAGTTTCCGGTGTGTGGCTTAGATTAAGCCGGGGCTCATAACCTGTAGAAACTGACACAAAGCTCAGCGTTGTGGATAAACCGCTATATTATTAATGTACCTGACACAAAGCTAGAGACAGAATAAAGTAAGAACAATGCAGCGTGCACGACGAATACTAGACATACCTCAGCGTTGTGGATAAACCGCTGAGGTACAAACAATGGGAAACAGTAGAGATAAAAGCAAACGAATATGGAATGCGATGACTAATGCGAGTAACTTGTCGATGTTGAAATGTCAACAGTTAGTTGGTACGATATATGCGCCAGTGTCATCGTCTATGCCTGTCTAGGATCAGCCCACACGGTAAGTCCTTACCGGTTACCAGGAAAGTTCAAAGTTCATGGAAAACGGATTCAAGTTGACGTACGTTGAAGCCCTAGTAGTGTCCCTAGCTTAGTCAGAATGGATCAAATTTGTGCGGGTGGCCGCCTGCGGCCTCCTGCCTTCAATACGTTCACGCACAATTCACGCATGACCAACGCATATGCATGACCAGCTTTGGGCCCAGCTCGATTGTTACCTGGACCAGAACCAGCATCAAGTTGTCGCTGTGGGGTATGTGCTATTAGTATCAACATTTAGTTCAAATTTCAAAGACTTGCTTTTATGGAGCCAAATTCATCGTCTCATCGAAATTGCAGGTCAAGTTTGAATCGGCATGCAGCCTTTCAGCTTTGCAAGCCGCATGATGCCAGTCATATAATTGAGAGTACAATGTACGTTCAAAGTTTAAACGGTACGCTTCCGTCGAGTACTCTGGGCCTTTTCGACTTCGATGCCTCGAGCTTGTTGAAGTCTCATTGGATCCTATGAATGAGACGAGCAGCTAATTTAAACCACTGCCTCTAAATATGACTGGCCACTAATCTCCTCCTGACTTTCTCGCCACTACCATGACTGCCAGTGAGCGTCAGGTGGAGGAGACAAGGCCTCTTCTGCAACGGTCAGAGCGGTCGATGACCAGGACGCCTCTGCCCTGGGATCAATTTTGGATTATACTGTTCTTGCAGCTTTCGGACCCTCTTGCTATTCAGACGCTTGCCCCGTTCATTCCCGAAGTAAGCGTGTTACTTTTGTTTGGGCTCTAGGTGACATTAATATTGACATCAACCGGAATTTTGTCAAGCTAATCAGAGATATTGGCGTGACCCACGGAGACGAATCTCAGGTTGGACACTATGTCGGCATCCTGGTGAGCATGTCACAAACCTTCGTTGTCCCTTTCTGATATCATCCACAGCAATCATCGTATTTTACGGCTCAAGCATTGACTATCCTCCCATGGAGTCAACTGTCAGATCACATTGGGCGGAAGCCTTTGATACTGACTGCTCTATTCGCAATAGCGGTTTCGATGTTCTCCTTTGGACTGTCGAAAAACTTTGTCGGTCTGGTGGCGAGGTTCGTAAATAGCCGTAACGACTGTCAGTTGCTAATATCTTGACTAGCCGTGTCATCTGCGGGGCATTCAATGGGAGCAACGGTGTCATCAAAAGCATGGTGATGGACATCACTGACGTAACCAATTTGCCGAAAGCATACGGTTATGTGCCACTTTCATGGATGATTGGGAACGCATTGGGGTAGGTACATACTTACAGTACGCCTGCTTGCTTCTCGAACTGAGATTGACGATATTCCAGTCCACTCGTTGGGGGATCGCTCTCCCGACCAGCAGACAGATTCCCTGAAATATTTGGACGATCTGAAGTTTTGAAAACCTACCCATACCTCTTGCCATGCGCTATTCCGGCTCTATTTGCCTCGGTGGCTTGGCTAGTCACATATTTCCGGCTCAGAGAAGTGAGCGTCATTTTAAAGACAATCCGGATCGCACTAAGTGCAGTAATGAGAGCGTTTCTACAAGTGCACGGCTTTGGGAGTTGATTAAAGGATGGTTCTTTCCACAGTCGTATGCAAAGCCTTTCACGCAGATTGAAAGTTCTTGGGAAGCAAACTTTGAAGGGGTCCCATCAAAACCTCTTCCACTGCGCGCTGTGCTAACTCCAAAAGTTTTCGTCATGGCAGCAAATTGTTCTACCGTGGCTCTCTTGCACATCGCATATACTTCGATCTTACCTGTTTTCTATGCGACGCCGATTGAACTCGGTGGTCTTTCCCTTGACCCTCCCCGCATCGGCGCTATCCTTGCGGTATCAGGTCTCGCCAACGGCACATCCCAGTTCTTCTTCTTCTCTCGCTTACAGAATCGCTTCGGCGCAGGAGCTATCAATACTGTCGGTGTTTGCGCCGGTGTACCCATTGTCCTTTTATTCCCCGTGATCAATGCGCTCGCTCGAACTTATGGCATGGGTTTGGCGGTGTGGTTGTCTGTTGGTGTTCAACTCGCACTGACGCCTAGCTTGGTCATGTGCTACTGTATGTCAGCCCAGCACTTACTGCGTTATACTTGACTGAGACAGACCTGTAGCCTGCTTGGCATTGTTTATCAGCGCAGCTGCTCCCAATCGCGCCTCAATTGGAACAACCAATGGAGTCGCCCAGCTGCTCATCGCAGGAGGAAGGATTATTGGCCCTGCATTGGTTGCCTCGATCTTCTCTTATTCGATGCAGGAAGGGCATAATGCGTGGATGGTATACTACTTCTTGATAGCAGTTACATTTCTCGCTGTAGGTACTTCTCTGCTGCTTCCCCGAGATCCCAGTTTATGGGATGACCGCCAATCAGTGGTATGACCACAGTCAGACCACTATGAGCGACCTGTGTACTTATAAGTATGTTTGACCGCTGGGTTTTCCATGGTACTTACTCCCTTGTTGCATATTTTTCTTCACACTACATACTAGCAGCAGCCATAGTGGTTCTGTCTTCTACTTATCAAACTTCCATGGCATGTATCCTAATATTTGCGCATGAACTCGATTCCATATTGACTCAGCTAAACTTATCAAATCAAACAAGAAAACTCAACATTGGCACTGGGCAGCCATGCCGGCGTTTACCGAGGTAAATTTTTGTGTTGTACAAGGTGGCGTGGGAGTTTCCCATGCGGGCACGCCGCACAGGGGCCACAGTGCTGCTTGTTGTTCTATTACATATTCTGAACTTCTGATAACGACACCCCACGGCTGGTTGGGATGGACTCCATCAGCGATCATGTCCCACCAAACTCACCAACTAGATGAAGAGACACCTCTATTGCAGCCTGAGGAGCAGCATAAAATCAAAACTCCCTTACCCTGGCGCCAATTCTCCATTATACTGTTCTTGCAGCTCACTGAACCTGTTACTGCCCAGGCGATTGCTCCGTTTGCGCCTCAGGTAAATTTCACCCGAGTTCATGTTTAGTGACTTTCTGACGAGCCTTGGTTCGTTTCTCAGCTGATCAGAGATATTGGAGTGACACATGGCGATGAATCAAGAGTAGGATATTTCGTCGGTATCATGGTGAGCGTCGAGTGTTTGTTATGCGCATTTTTTTCTGATTCACTTCCAAGTATTCCGTGTTCTACGTAGCGCAAGCCCTTACTACCCTTCAATGGAACCGCCTCTCTGATCATGTTGGCCGAAAGCCAGTCATTTTGACTGGTTTATTTGGTATATCAGTTTCCATGTTCCTATTTGGATTTTCGACGACCTTCGGAGGCTTGATACTGAGGTTCGAGCATCATCTGTTTGTTGATAATACCCTGGTCTCAATGCTTTTTCAGCCGTGTACTGTGCGGCGCGCTGAACGGCAACGGTGGTGTTATCAGGAGTATGATGATAGATATCACAGATTCAACCAACATGGCTCAGGCATTCGGTTTTCTCCCTCTTCCATGGATGACTGGCAATACACTCGGGTAGGATTTTACATTCAGTTTTTGTCTACCTCGTTCTTACGTTAAAGTATCGGCTAGACCTCTCATTGGCGGGTCTTTGACCCATCCGGCGGATCGTTTTCCCAGACTGTTTGGGCAATCGACATTTCTGAAGACACATCCTTATTTCTTGGCTTGCGCTTGTCCAGGATTGTTTGCTGCATTATCATGGCTGGTTACGTACATGCTTTTACAAGAGGTAAAGTAGTGGCCCACTCATTTTGTTGATCCATCTCATCTATGTATAGACTGTGCCGACGACGACATCCTTGTGGAGTCTGATTCGGAACAGATGTCGGACCATTCTTACGTTCGTTCATACCAAGCCACCCCAGGTGGATAGAACAAATTTCAACAATGCTGTTCAAGATTCCCCCGACGATTCCAAACCCCTGCCTCTAAGCGCATTAATGACCCCGCATGTTCTTATTGCGATATTGAATTATGCGACACTGGCTCTCTTTGACATCGCTCTGCGCTCCCTAATACCCGTGTTTTATGCTACGCCATTGAGCATGGGTGGACTTGGCCTCGATCCCCCGCAGATTGGCAGTATTCTTGCAATGTTCGGTATTGCCAATGGTTTATTCCAGGTGTTTTTCTTTGCTCGGCTGCATGACCGGTTTGGCACGAAAGCGGTATTTACCTGCGGGGTCGTGTCTGGCGTACCAACCGTCATCGCATTCCCGATAATCAATATGTTGAGTCGGGCATATGGAATTGGTACTGCGGTCTGGCTTGTTGTCGGCCTTCAGCTCGCAATGTCTATCCTTCTCAATATGTGTTACTGTTCGTTTTTCAATGTCATGTTTCGCGATCATCAACTGATAAACTGATAGCTTGCGGGGCGATGTATCTAGCAGCTGCATCTCCCAATCGTGCATCATTAGGTGCCACCAATGGCCTTGCGCATACGGTCGCTGCGTGTGTACGCATCATTGGACCTGCGTCTTCGATGTCGATGTTTTCATTTTCCTTGAGGCATCACTATTATGCGTGGGCGGTGTACTATTTTATGATGGCGCTGGCATTCCTCGCGATTGGTGCTTCTTTCTTACTACCTCGTCAAATGTGGAAACGCGGTGATTAGCTTTTGTCACAGTTGTTAGCAGCGGTATATGGTGCTTGTATCCTTGCGAGCAATGATACATAAATTTTGGTTGATGGTGACTTGCAATGGCTGGCGTTCATCCTGCTTGTTTTGATCTAAATCCCCTCGTTTGGTGCGTCTGGGTTTCACGCATATTTGACCTTACTGATAACTATGCTTCTCGTAGAATGTTTTGGAAAGTAACGCCCGTCGTCAAGGCTTGCCTTTGTATTTTTATCTGCATGCCTCAGCACAAGTCCCTCATACCCAGCTTTTTCTCTCACCGGTGGCTGTCGGCCACACAACACGTCATACTATTACAAGAGATCGTGGAGGTGACAAAGAAATTACGGAAGCTACCCGCGTGCCCATCAAAGCTTAAGTTGTCCGCGGATCGGTTGTGCTTGGGGAATCCGAAAGTTCTCCGGATACACTCAACTGATTCCAAGATAGCGCTAAGTAGACCCCACCTAGACTTGAGGTGTCACGTCGTAGAGATAGTGGTGCGTATTATCTCTGAACGTTTACTTCTGAATTCTGGTTATAGATTGGTCAGTTGGGCCTAGAAATGATAGTACTGCGTCAATCGCTGTACCAAGAGTATCCGTGAGAGTACCATCCCCGACGTGAGACTGTTCCCAGGAAGGTACAAGGGCTTTTCGCGGAGCTGATCTCTCCATCAGGGTGCAATGACGTACTGTGCAACAAGGTGTGTCAAAGTTTTACGGGCGCCTGATTTACTCACTCGTTCCATTGAAAGTTATGCTGTGGTGCCGCCGAAATTCCATTAACGGTACGACTGAAGAGGGAAGTTGCAACTTGGCTTCAAAGGATGGTCACTTATGTATGCGATGTCAGGTCCATGTCAGTGCTGCAAGATGATCAAATCATGTCTGTCACTGAATGTCAAACTTTGTCAATGCTTTTGAAGACCTTAATTGACGTCTTTCACCTATTGCGGCCAAGAACCCTCGTTTTGGCGCACACCATGCGTAACGTCGATCGAGTTTCATTAATATTGCAGGAAAGGGTCACTTCTAAGTTCATCCGAATCACGAAATGTCATTGATCACCTTTGATCACCTGATCGCTTCATTCACATGTTGGACGGTTCGTAGTCATGGTGAACGCCAGTGACCTGTTTTCCTTCCCCAGTCTCCCAGGGTACTGGCTCAAACGTCTTTTGCACCGCTGCGATAGCCAGCACCTCCTCTATCTCGTCGTTGGTGGTGAACGACGACACCCACACTCTTTTCATACCTACACTCTTTTTCGACAACTCAAGCTCTATCAGTGTAAAATTGACCATCCTGCTTTGGTACAGGATGCGACGCGTCTCCGTCCGGCATCGTGCGATTCTCAACAGAGAAATCGACAAGCGCGATCCCTCTCTTATTAACTTGCCCGTCCCAGTACCACCTATCCCAATACTTTCGCCCGTGGTGACCCCTCTTATCGGTGGAAGTAACTCTGGAGCCTCTTCAACAAGTCCGTCACCATCCCCCACTACCACTTCAAGCGGAGGTGGCAGTGGTGGCAGTGGAAGTGGAAGTGGCAGCGGAAGTGGTAGTGGGAGCGGTAGTGGAAGTGGAAGTGGAAGCGGGAGTGGAGGCGGAAATGGAAACGGCAATGGCAATGGCAATGGCAATGGCAATGGCAATGGCAATGGCAATGGCAATGGCAATGGCAATGGCAATGGTAATGGTAATGGCAATGGTAATGGAAACGGTAACGGTAATGGTAATGGTAATGGCTCAGGTGGAAGCAGCAGCACTGCGACGACCGCACCTGCGTCGTCACCCATAGTTTCCACTGGCTCCCCTTCGCCACCCGGGTCAAAAGGTTCCTCTCCGCCACCTCCGGGAATCACATCTCCCAACGGTACCAATGCCAGCGGCAGCCAGCTCAATTCCAACGGAGTGCCGCCCATGAACGTCCAAGGCACTCCACTAGCGACATCCCAATCTTCATTTTCGACAGGACATCCAACGGCGACTCAGTCAACGGGTGTACCAGCCGCCGGTTCGGGTGCATCCAGTGGTGTCGGAAGTTCCCCAAGTGATGCTGCTCCCACTCTTACCACTGGAGACGCGACGTCTTCCCATCAACTGTCTTCGGGTGCAGTTGGAGGAATCGTTGTCGTATGCCTTCTATTCCTGATCGGACTGATTGTGCTCCTCGTCCGGCGTCGCTTCGTTGCTCGCCGTCTTGAGCGCCGTCAACAATGGTGGTTCGGCAGAAATGCTGCGTCAAGTAGTTTCTCTATCGTAGGAAGCAGTATGCGAGAGTCTCAGAGTGGGGGGGCACCTGTCCTGAACAGGACGAGTGCTCGCAGTAGCTTTGCTACCAACTTTGATCAAGGACTCATGTTCCGCGTTGATTCCCCGACTTCATCCCCCAATGTCGATCTCGCCGCCCTCGGAACCATTCCTGAGTTACCTCCCATGGCGGAAGTGCGCGAGCGCACCTCGCTCTTGTTCCCTTCCGCTGGTGCTGTTGCTCGTAGGGAGTCTATGAATAGCATGATGAGTAACGGCAGCGACCCCGACACTCAATACCTCATCGTAACAAACGACCTCAACCCTCTCGGACAATATAGTCCCATGTCCGTCCGTCCGTTCTCTCCGTCAGAATCCTTCGCGTTCCCAAAGCCACCCCCATGCCCTAATGAGGGGCAGGGTAATTCATCCGCTTCTGTTGTTAGCGGTCACGGCCTCGTTTCTCCTTTGTCATCCGCTGCTACACTCATCCAGATCCACTCTCCTCCTCCCATATTTAACTCTGATTTATCGCCCTCCGCTCCCGGTGCCTCCTACTCGCAGCCGCCAACTGGCGCTTCATTAACTGCTGTTCCTGACACGTCTTCTGACCCCTTTGCTGACCCTGCGTCACCCGAATTCGAGATCATCCGTCGCCCATTCACGCCTACACTAGACGACGAACTCTCTGTCGCCCCAGGCGATAAAGTACTCGTTATAAAAGTCTTCGACGATGGCTGGGCGTTCGTGGAGAAGCCAAACGGCTCCTTAGGTTATGATGAGAAGGGCCTCATTCCCGTGGATTGCTTGCGCGAAGCCGGCCAGGCCCTCCCAGCATTCCTAGCTCAAAAGCGGGTGAGTAGCTATGGAGCTGATACAAATCAATTGGCCCAAATGTTGGCGGGTAGCTCCCATCCCGCTTGAATGACGAACACGTAATCGGTAAGCTTTTCTGCTCATTACGAAAGCCCTCGTTTTGATTTCTTTCTTCTTTCTCAGTGATACCAGCATCATCGGAAATCTACGATATTTGATTGCATAACAATCTCGAGTTTCTTGCATTGCTAGAAGGATCCATGCATTCTACCTCAGCCGTCTGACTCCTCATACTGTTCTCTCTACTCCTCCACGGTTCCATAGAATCGCTGTCTATACCACTTATTTCATTCATTCAATATTTGCTTTGCTTATTTGACTTTGCCCTTCTGTACTTTGCTGACCTGGAGCCAGTTTTGCTGCACTATACGTACATGCTGAATTCTCCGTACTTTAGATTCCTTGTTGTTGTTACTCTGTCGACGCTGGATTTTGTAGCGGGTTTGCTAGTGGACCCTTCATGAGAAGTCTCTTGGCATATACACTTCTGCATCAACCAACCCATGTTCTACCCCAAAAACCATGGCCGAAATTATTCAAACACCAGCTTTAAAAGTTAAGCATTCTGATTTCTAGATGTGCTATGCGCTATCAATTACAACGAAACGCAACAGTGCAACTTTGTTGCCCGTTGGAGCTTTCCTATTGTCAGACAGTGAAGTACAACCGTGTTAACTTGTTAATATCAGTACGTTCCATCCCCATACACTAAGCCAAGTTGAGTACGAATGAAATCACACTGATCTACACGGTACGGTTGAATGCTCCCCGTCGACCCAAGAACAAACTCGTTATCCCCAGTATAAGGCGGCCACTGAACAGCAGCACCCTCATAATTAGGGTCGCCCGTCCATGCAAGAGACGTCCAGCGTTTGATGGTTTCTTGCGTTGCGGCAACTTGGAAGTCAGTAAGCGGTTGATAGAGGTTATCGGTCTCTGCTGTCGCGAACACCAAGTAGAGTTCGTCTGCGTGACAAACCTGGCCGAGGCAGGTTGCTGGATTGGGAGTTATGGTAGATCCAAGGCCGACAGCGAAGAGGATCTTATATGCGTTTCCGGGGTTGGTGGTGTTGGCCTCGAGAGAAGCTAGGTTTGTATCGGGGCAGCGGATGAACCAGTCCGTAAGGAGCTGCGCCAGTTGTAGCACAGCGCCGGAAATGCCGTTTGAGGACGATGCTGTCTCGTAAGGGTAGAGCTCGGGCTGGTTCAAGATACGCTGAATTTGCGTCTCGTTGAAGTAGTTAGGGAGCTCAGAAATGAAAGAAGAGGGAGGCGAGTCTGGGGCGAGGGTGGCTGGGAGGAAGTAACAATACTCGCACTGGTTGGTAGCCCAAATGGTAGGTACGCGCGCGCAAATGCCATCCATGATGCTTCCAGCGATGTCGTTTAGGACGTAGTCCCCGTCGACAACGACAGTCCAGGCTATGCCTAGATTAAAGGAAGCAATTGCAAGGCTTCCGGCCGACACGTTCGCCACACACTCAACGTCTGACCCTGTGAGACTTGTAGAGGAGTTGGAAGCGCAGCCGACGTGTTTAGCGAGTTGCAAAGAAGTATTGAGAGCTACATTAGGCGAAGAGAAAGGGTTGCTCGTGCCATAATCGCTTTCAAGAATGGCAGCACCTGGTGATTCTGAAGTCAGACAGCTACATTATTTTCTTCGTGATGCACTCACTGAAGAGGCCTTCCGTGTATTTTGGATTAGTTCCGAGGAGGTATCTTGTCATAAAGCCACCAGCTGATTCGCCGTAAAGGAGCACTCGAGTGGGCTGGATAAATGCTTGTGAGCGTTAGGGAACCTATAAGATGAAACAGCTTACATCTCCGCCGAAGGCCTCGACGTTGTCTTGCACCCATTGCAGAGCTAGCAAAGCGTCTTTCAGGGCGGCGTTGGATGCATTGAACCTGAATAACGCGTCAGATCGAGATGCGAACAATCCTGATTACAAAGTACCAGCCCAGAGTAGTAAGCCTGTAATTTATGGTAACGAGAACGACTCCTCCGTATGAGACAAGGTTTGTCCCATCAAAGATCTAAAACTTGGTCAATCATCACGTGTAGCACAAATCAAGTTTGACAACTGACGTTCGAGGTAGAAGGTCCGACATATCCACTCGTCGTCATGTTGTAGGGGAATGGTCCACTGTCACCATGATTCAAACCACCGCCATGAACTGAAGAAACGGTCAACACGATCGGAAGCAACGGAGGGAGTCGACTCACTGAAGAACATAACAGGAAGCTTTGAGGTACTCTGTTCTGCTTGTCCACCAAGAACAACAATTGGAGAGTACACATTCAGCTGTAGACAATCCTCTTCTGTCCATACCATATGTCCATTGTCAACGTTCGGTGGCTAATAGTTACTAGTTAGCCACAAGAATATAAGGATGACATCAGAGTTCTTGCCTGAGCACAGCGAGGACCATATTCCAGGGCATCCCGCACGGTGTCTCTCGAGACTTGCAGAGCAATGGGCGGCTTGAAGCGACCTGCACCAGCAGGAGATTTTGCAAACTTGATGCCCAAGAACCGGAACGAAAACTTATCGCGGAAACCACGTAGTACACCGGCAGAAGGTGTTGAAACTTCAATTTGGCGGCTGGTGTCATACGAAGTAACGTTTGAACGTGTCAGTGGAGCGGAGTTCGTGCATAAAGCAGGGTATCGACTAGATAAATCAGGAGACGTGTCGGTGTCGGTTTCGTAAGTGTGACTGGTGCCAACGGTAAACACTGTGCAGCCACCTATATTTGAATTCAGTATTGATGATATGAACATGATAGATGTGTGTTACCAGAACCGGCAATCCAGATGTTTTGGTTCAAATCAAGAGCAGCACCGTGCCTCTCAGAAGTTAGTGCAGTAGTCAGGTTTTCTGCTGTAAGGCCAGTAGAAATCGGTGCTGGTAGAAGTGATTCCTGCAAATCACCGCATGATTGCTGTGCCTCCTCGCAAGTCATTGAGCTTTTCAGGAAAAGAGCGCTGGCTCGATTCGTGTTCGATGGGTTGAGGTCATTGTTGGAAACGATAACAATGGTAGTATTGATGTATTTCCCGGCAGAAAAGAGAGGAAGGTCCAGGGCAAGAAATGTGCAAAGATTGGCCAACGACCGAAGAGGCAACATTGACTTTGACGATGCTAACAGCCTCTCAAGACTGAGTCCGACTGACTACCCGAACAGTGCCCGGGAGTGCGTGCTGGCAGGTGAAGATAATAAAGTCATGACAGGGCATTTGGATTGCCACGTGCACGCAGGCCTGGAGGTGATAAAGAAGGAACGACTATTTTCCAAGTTAGCTATACATCCCTACCATGGCCCTTGCGGGTGACCGGGCGATATTCATTTGAGGCGCGCATCTCCCGTAAACAGTGACCATTGACGCGGCACGGCTACTAAGTTAATTAGGCTTACAAAATATCGACAAATATCTGAGTCTCACCGGTTTACAGTGATGGGACTCAACGTCCTGCAGTCGCCGCCTACACACCCAACCTCCACCTGCCCCACACCTTGTAAATTCGCGCCGGCATTGGCCCTCACGCCAAAGTCCCACGACTTCCTGCTGTCGCCCACCCCAAAGACGTCGGTGACGCGAGCACGGACGACATCGTTGATGATCGTCATTTAGTCGACAACTTGAAGTTTACAGTGGCACGGAGTTTGAATTTGTTGAACGACTTCGGCTCGGAGAACTCCGAGTCGATACATCATGATCATAGCAGCCTACAAGCCTACCTAACTTATGTCCAGGCTACCGATCGACAGTGGCAGTCTGTCCAGGTTCTTAAGTACCTTCAAGTTGTCTGAAACATTATATGATTGGAACCCCAGGGAATGGTAAACTCCAGGCTTAGTATTTCCCAATCTCTCAGTTGGCATCAAATGGTAAGTATTGCTTACTGGCAATCATTACTACTCACTGTACAGACGTGAGAGGCAACTCGGCCTGCTGCATACCACTAGTGGCACTAAATCGTGATTCAGCTCTCCGCGTTGACGTGCGCCGTTCTATATTTCAGGCCTAACTTCCAGGTTAGCAAGATTTCTGGTAATTCTACTCGGCAAGTTTGGTATTGGTGAGTCAGAATTAATACTTGAAACTAGAAGATGATGAACATGACCTCAGGCTCCACCTATGACATAAGGGATAATTGAATATACGTGTCCCTGCATGCTGCGGCATGGTTCTGGGTCTACTTTGAAACGCGGCAGCTGTGGAGTGCTGCCAAAGATTCGTTTCGTCATGGGTTTTCTTCCCTTTTGAGCCTTCTCGTCGAAGGCAATCGAATCTCGAAGAATGAGTGGTCCGTGAGGCCCCCAACTCCAAACCACACTCACTTCCTGAAGCCCGCGGATCAAGGTTACGCCGCTCTCACTCATGTGCGACATTATTAGCGTTTGCTTCTGTTTTTTAACTAATTATTGGCTAGCTGAGGCGAAATTTGTCGTGTTGCGGTTCAACATCCTTACTAAATATATACTACGTCGAACAGGTGCAGGCCTCCGTGATAGCGTTCTTTCTCAAAACAACGATCACGAGCAGACTGGTGCTGAGTTTCAAATCCAAGCAAATCTTCCGCTCCATTGCAACCCGTTCGTTTCGCACTCCACTATTCATTTCAATGTGGCTTCACAGTTCTTGTGGAGTGGTTAGCTGAGAAACGCCCCTGGTCCTTCCCATGCTTAGATAACGGAACCTCCACAATCTGCAACTTTCTTACTCTTTACCTGCCTCACCCACAGCAATATCGGTAGACCTGTTCTTTCTTGCAAAACTTATACGATGGGAGAAGCATCCGAGGCACAGCGCGAGTACTCTCGCAATATCGCTGCGTACACTTTGAAGCAGCTCATACAATGGCGAGCTTCGCTGGAACGCTTGTCAAAGGAACGCGAGCGGGAAAGCGTGCAGGACAGTGTCGACCAGCATGATTCAAATGGTTACCGATGAATTCTTTTCTGCAAGAGCGTCCAAGGCTGAAATTATATCTCAGGGCACGCTCGGCTTCCCCAGCAGATTGTTGCGAGCGCATAGAATAATATGTCTGGTGTGCAAAACCTGCTTCATTATATGTATGTGCGCACCCTGCCTATACCGTTGTCGTGTCCAGCTGAGCTTAACTGCTCACAAGGCGAATCCTACGTTGGCTTCATATCATACAAGATAACGCCGCTCTATGCCTTTTCTTCCCATCCTCAAACCCAACACGTCGTTGAACTGTGTATATTATTCCCTTTGTCATGCTGTATCATTTAGATTTATCCAACAGTTGTCGCATATTTTAGTACCTAAAGTACAGCGCATATAGGAGAGTGTGATGCTCATACTATTCTTTGCGGGGATCAAATACCGTCGGTAGTTCTAATCGATAGGTCTCTTGACCTCATGGCCGCGCGGACCAAGTATAAGAAGCGGGAAATTAATGGTTGCTAATTGTTGTCGCCGACTATCTGATAAGGCATTCGTACAATGCCTGCGGCAGATAGCGCGAGACGGTGTGCCACTCTCGCTTGTTGCTTCCACCATGGCTACTCCCGTTCTTCAAATTTCCAAAGAAGACTTCGATTGTAACGTCATTACTTTTGCGACAACGAAGTTCCATGGCTACCAGTAACTAGTAGCCACTGGACCTCGCGTTCTCCACTGCACACCGACCCATTCGCACATGGATCATATACGCTCTCGCGAGTCAAGTACCACTGGCAGGACGCCATGCATCTCCAGTGAAGATATTGCACATCGAAATTTGCTACCGTGATACGTCATCCCCTGACCATGTCGTAACACAAGGTTCAGTCGTGTCATCATTGGTTACGACAGGTCCGGGGGACATATGTCGACTCTGGGAATAATCGAATGCTTGACATCGATCATGACGCTTGAGGCACGGGCTAGCGCCGATGCCGAGGTTGATACGAGATGTGGCACGTTATAGATTCCTTCGCGGTAGACCCGTCGGCGCCTCCGACTTCAGTTACTTAGTATGGGTCCTCGAAGCATCGATTTGTCTTGTGTAGCCTGGGTAGTCGTCAGAGACTAAGAGTGCTGCAGAATGCGCAGAGTCTAATAAGTGGCACCAATTGGAATTGTCGCATAAAGCTTGTTCTGATCTCGGGTTTTCACTCTCCGCGGCCGTTTTCTATATGTTTGTACATAGTACAGGTAGTGCAGCGAACGATAATAAACATCTAATACTCAAAAGAAAGATCAAGAAAAGTTTAGGAGAGAAATGAGAGATACACTATTAAATAGATATGGTCAAATATTGGTGCCTTCAATAATGGTAGTTCTGTGACAGGTAGGAAAGGGTGTCAGGTCGACGTAGGTAAATGAGTAGCAGCGGACGCACCTGCCGCAGATTGAGGCATATTAAGATCGCGAGCCTGAGTTTGTAGCATTTCTTTGCGAGGTCTTAGCTGCACGTACAATCTTGTCAGTTTTTTTAATCCGTAATACCGTATCATACTCACCTGCTCGCGCCTTCTCCTCTTGCTCCTTCGCCTTGCGTTCTAGCGAGGCGCGCCATTGTACAAGCTGCTCCAGCGTGTACGCAGTCATGTCCTCAGAATATTGAGACAACTGGCCATCTGGGTTGGATTCTTGTGACATGATAGTGTGGGTGGTGATTTGAGTAGAGAATTTGAGCTCAATGTGTTGTTTTTACTCTGCATGTCGAAGCATAGGCTTTATACCTGAGCTCGGACCGTGAAACTGCCGCCATGAGCCCCAGGGTTGTCGGGAGTTGCAGCTATAGACCGGTCGAGTGTTCGGGCGCAAGGCACCCTCATGATAGTAAAAAAATAATGTCGTACGCAGTCCCTTGGTTCATTAGAACGTTCAGAATCAAGGAGGCTGTCCCGGTGCCTTGATGATGACGCAGCCACTATAATACGACCGGTAAATGTGGTGCCTCATGTTTGAGTATAGTGGTAGGTCTGTTAGCAGTTTTAGGAATGCTGGTGAGACACAGCGATCACTTCGTGAGTGCGAAAGTACCGTGGGTTTGTGCCGATACCGCTCTTCTCGCAAGGCGTGCCAATTTTCATGAAATTATAGCCCGGTAGGCACAACGCTGACTCTTGAATACTTACCTATGACCTTCAGGCCGGCTCTCCTGTACGTGAATAAAATGTTTTCCACCTGCAAGTACCTGTGGCGTCGGAAATTGATTGTCAGGCGAGGTCCTGGCGTGACATCCGAGAGCTCGGCTGAGAAACTTTCCATTCATTTAAAAGGAATAAGGGGCCAAGTAAACTATTTGAAGAGTCGGAATGCGTACCTTGGCTGTATATGTAATAGCCTCTATTCTCTTCGGCGCACCTAAGACTAATTAAGACCGTCAATTCTGTCCAGGGATCAGGCACCTAACACAGCAAGCACTCGATTTGGAAGGCCAATAGACGCACATTCCTTACGATATATGCAGAGATTCGGAGGCGGGACAACACCGGGAGGCCCTTGAAGATACACTGATCAGAGTCACGATTCAGGTGGTACATCGGCTCCCTTCCTTAGGAACTTGTGCATGGAGTAACGGCTAGGGACAGGCGTTTCCCTTTGGCAGCGGACATCACGTCTTGCGTTAGTCCCTGGTACCTTCGCACTCCTCACGGTGCACACTGGGACTAGTTTCATGGAGGCGTCCTTGCGTACCGCCTCAGACCTCTTGCCCGAATGTTCAATCTTTCCTCGACGGACTAAGTCGTGCAAGGCTTGCGAATGAGCCTAAGACCTGACCAACAACATATTTTCCTGTCCAAAGTGCAAGAGAGCCCATGCCTGGAGGGAGTTGAGTGTTGAATAACAAAAGTTGAAAGCGTACGTCACGTCAAGGAACTAATTGCCCTGAAGTTAAAGCTTATCTGTGAGCTGTGTGACATGTTTGTGTAATGATCTTGAGCCTTGCGCGCAGCCACAATGGCTCAAGAGTTTCAATCTGACCCTGTAGCCGCCCGATTTCTGCATACCCAGTACGCAGCGGTCGTCCTGCCAAGTCGATAAAGGGTCCCTAGGAAGATATTCCGGCGTATTGAACAAGCTAAAGCTTGAGAAATCATCGTAAATAGATGTGATTGAGTAGAGCATGGTATAGTAGCATATGGAAAGCGGTCCAAGTTGGTACTACAACTTGTACACGGCACAATCACGATGCTGAATCATCCACGTTGTTGTGCATTGTTTGTGCACTGACATTGACAGGCTGCGCCTCAACTTTGAAATTTGAATCAAAATTTATACGCGCAACGACTCTAAGCTCAATCTAAGCTACTATTAGTATAGACGACCCGTGCTTGTCGTGTCACCCTATCCTAATAATTGCTTGCGTGGCCTTGGTCTCTGGAAGTTGGGCCCTTTCCGTCGCCGCGCCATGGCTGTGCCCTCCTGATCCTGTCGCTTTGAAGCTCCAGTCTACTCATTACGAAAATAGCGCAACTTGTAACGTTCACCCATGGTAGCCACGGTGCCGTGTGCTTGCAGCGCCCAAGACTGCAGGCAGAGTTCAGATTTCAGGCCTCAGCTTCTCTCCCACGTCGAGACAAAGGACTTGCATAAGGCCCATTCTTACTTTGTTCTCCACATCGTTCATCATCGAGAATAAGACATCCAGTGGATTTACCTTGTAAGAGTTGACACCATCCCAAGTTGATCCCAAGGTGCGGCCTTCGCTTGTTTCGGGTTTCCTAGCTACTAATGTTTTATTGTTCGTTGGAGATGCTCGTCTACCGCCTTGCTAATACTGGCATCACAGGTCGTTGCTAGCCATACGAAAATGACCCGTCGAAAGCATCGATCAACTGTGAATAATCGTGCGCATGCTGGTGTTGATGCCAGTCAATTTATGAGCTTGGTGTAATCACAGGACAAGAGGATTTACTTCTCAGCTTCTGCATCACGTGACAAAGATGTCCGTCTCTGGCGGCTATCAGATCGAAAAACCATTGCCATCTTCAAGCATTCGACCTTAAGCTTCCCGAGATGCCTCACGTTCTCCGTAGATGGCAATGGCATCTTCTCCGGAGATGGAAACGGTCAGATCTCGGAGTGGGACATCAAAGGTTATCATTCAAAGCGAGTTTCCATCCTTGACTCATTTAACGCAATTCGAGCATGCCTGTAATATGCAGATCTTCGTTATTCCAACGGCAGCACGCTATTCATCCTTAGCTGGGGAGTTGTCTACCGCTGAACAGTTACTCACGCAAGAGATCGACGCCGACGCCAATAACTATACCTCCTATGCCAATCGATCATTCGTTATGACGCGAAAACAAGACTGGGACCGCGCCCTCGAGGATGCAATCAAGGTCAGTCATACCGACCAATTATGGCCCTCTTACGAAAGGCTAACGTTCATCCGTGACATAGTCTATCAGCATTCAGCCCTCATTGACAGGCTATATCTCCAAGGGCATTGCCCTCTGCGGAAAAGGCAATGTCCGGGACGCGAGGGTAGCATTTGATGTCGCATCCATGTTCACGAACCAAGATTCACAATCCATTCATTTTCTTCTCTTGATCAAGGTAAGTTAGGTTCGTCTCGCATGCGCTCTGCTCCATTCTGTATTTCAGGCCATTGCCCTCTTCAATGCAGATCAACATGACGAAGCGATGCTGCTACTCAAAGAGCTAGCTGCCGCTTGTCCGAATGTTGATACACATGCGCGTCGTGTCGTAGAAGTAAGTATCATGCGGCTACACTCGGTTATCGATACACTGATCTTTGCAACTCGCACATTAGGCATATCTACGCGTTCAGCTTGGAACCAGGGCCTTGGATAGCGCGCATCATGACGAAGCCACTGACCACTTCACCGCCGCCGTTGACTCTAACACTTTCCCATCAACAATCATGTTTGGGCTATGCGAGGACTTGATCGTAGTACGTTTACATGATGCATCCGAAATTTGTTTCATAATTGAGTGTTTCGTCCAGCTCTTCGGCTGGGATCTCGAGTCCTTCTGGCTCACTACACACCAGAAACGCTGTCAGGCTTTCCTTTTGGCAGGTAAAGTCGAAGAAGCCCTTGAATCACACCAACACATGATGGACGCCATCGACGAAACTGAGAAGGCTAGCTGCCTCGATTGGTCCAACGGCAAGGTTTTAATAATGCCGCTCGACTGTGCGCTCGCTGCTCATGACGACCGTATTCTTGGCGCATGTACTCCCTTCCTCAACCTTTTCGCTACTGACCTAAGTTATGCAGGCTGAGATTCCGGGGCAAGATCAAGATGGCTATGATGCAGAACCTGATTTCTTCCGGGGCATGCATGGTGTGGGTGCATCAGCGTATCCTTCATTTCTCTCTCACACATCATTTGTTACAGCATTCTCAAATTTCCAGACCACGACCTCAGCAGCGCCCGGGGCGCTTAAAGAAACTCAGGCTCGCTATGACAAGGAATCCTCGTCCAGTTCCTCCACCTCCACCTGTACCCGCACCAGCACCGCCCACCGCCTTACCACTTGCCGCTACTCATACGACCTTCACAGCCCACGTACAACACCTATTTACCTGGCGACCCGATCACGCAGCACCACCCGTCGTTGAAGTTCCTTTTGCGCAGGGTCGAAAGGTGCGTTCGGTCTATTTTATTACTGTCTTGGGTGTCTGATGCATACTACAGCGTAATGCTGCAGCGGGTGCTCCTGCTGATGACGATCCAGACATTATACGTGCTGAATATCTCGATGATGGTCCACAGGACCCAGATACGCAACAACGCAGCACCCAAGAGCAACAGCAACCAGTAGCAACGCAGGTAGACACTGGGCAACATCGAAGTGGCAAATCATGTTTCTGCTGTTAGCGGCTTTCTTGAATGTTTTTGGGTATTTCAGATCTGTCATTGCTTTTGTTTGTTGCGATATCTACATTGACCTGAAGCAGTATCTTTTTGCCATACCCTTCAGATTTCTTGTTCCTATTCATCGAGGTTTGAATTTCCCTCGTGACGATGTTTTATTCACAACTATCGTTGTACATTCCCAATCGTAAACAGGCAGATGTGCAACAGATGTTCCTCAGCCACACATAGGATGGGTCCAGGGCGAAATACAATACATATAGGCAATCAATACACGATCATCTGCACCCGTGTTCACTTGTAATTCAGGCCGCAAACACGAGCAACACAGCGGGTTCGTCTGATGCTAAATTCCCATAGCGTACCGTCACAGCCCCCCCCCCCCCCCCCCCCCCCCCCCCCCCCCCCCGGACGTACAACCATATTACCGTGGTCTGTCGAAAATGCCACGTTAGCTTATCTAGACCCCATCAAGTACTTGAACGAATTTTGTTTGGTTCTCGTGACCCGTCAGCTTAGGGACTATTACTAAAAGATTCGCTAGCGCCAGAATGTCAGCTGGGCTTTTGCTGTGCTTGTCGTGGCGCGCGCTTAGTTAATTTTGTACCCTTCCTTTGAAGCTTTTTTGTTGTTGCGCTGGCTGTCAAATTTACACTCTTTCATCTCTTTATGTTTTTGTATGTTTCAGTGGTGCAACTACATTTTGTACTAGCATCACATGCCTTCTGCTACAGCAACATAGGAAGGCGTGATTTCATGAGAGCTCATAGCCTGACAGCCACAAGGCTGACTGGAATACTTACCTCCTGGGCTGGTTCTCCTGGGCGTGAGGCAAATGTCTAACTCCTACCCGCAGGAACATGTGGCATCGGAGATGGACTACCAAGGGGGACATCTGATAGCTGCGCTGACATGCGTTCGGATTATTTAAAATGAATAAGGAGCGGGAGGGTCGCTGAAGAGTCAGACTGTGTACCTACTTAGTAAGACCGTTGAATCTGTCCAGGGATCAGGCACTATCTGACACGGCGCCCAGTGTGGAAAGCAAATATAATATACGAAAATTCCTTACGTGCAAAGATTCGGAGGCTAGGCAATACCGAGGGCCCTTGAAGATACATTGATCAGGACTTAAAGACACTCCAGGTGTTAGCTCGGTTCCCTTAAACAGCCGACACCGTGTATTGGTACCTTCGCACTCTTCGTTGTACACAGAGCTCGGATTCACGAAAACGTCCTTACGTACTGCCACAGACCCCTTGCCCGAATTCTCAGTTTCGCAAACTACCCTCGACGGACTACTTCGTGGATGACTCATTGAACGGTCTAAGACCTAGTCAACAGCATATCTTTCCGTCCAGAGGCTAGAGTGTCCATACCTGAAGGGAGTTGAGTATTGAGTGACAAAAATTTGAAGGTGCATGTCACGTCGAGGGTCGATGTAATTGCCCTTGAGTTAATTCTAGCGCTTTCCTGTGAGCTGTGTGACATATCTGTGTGATCTTGAGCCTTGCGCGCTGCAACGGTTGGCTCGGGGTTTTCATTTTCACTTTGGCCGCTTTCCCCTTTCTATTGCGCATACCGAGTGCATGGCGGTTGTCCTGCCAAGTGAATGAAGGGTCCCAGGGTAAAATTCCGGTGCACTGAACAAGTGAAAGCTTGAGAAATCATCGTAAATAGATGTCCTTGATGCAGGGCGCATGGTACTTAGTAGCATGTGGAATTCGAGCGCAGGGCATCCATAGCCTGAGGTTGTTGTGCATTGTTTGTTGACCGGCTTCGCCGCCTGAAGTTCATCCGGGCCTCAAAATTCATGCATTCATGACTCTAGAGCCTAGGCTACTGTTAATATAGGTACGCCGTGCTTGTCGTATCACCGTGTCTTGACAGCTGTTTTCGTCAGGTCTTAGAGTCTCCGAAAGCTGAATCTTTCCATCCTGGGCCGCGTCATCACTGTACCCCCCTCCGGTGAAGGCGTAAACATGTTCCAAATGGCACGGCTCGTGAGAGTCGCCTCAAAGGCTCTTAATAACAAGGCATTCAACTAGTAACGTTCTGGCCAGTCGTCAAACACGTGGTCTGCATAAGGTGCAAATGACTTGCTGTTTGGAAGCTGTGATGATTGCATATCATCTATGCGCCGAACCAGTACTTCTGAACGAAGATGCAAGCTGTTCCTACCACTAGTGCGTCGCAGATGCCCAGAGCTTCACTCTTCGATAGACTCGGATCCATACCTCTTGATGCCCCAGATTTTGATGCTTTGACATCGCTTCTTCCTCCTCCTTCTTGTAATATTTCACATCATCATATTTCACCCATTAGACTCACCAGATTATCACAACAAGCTACGACTGATACTTTTTAAGGCGGTCCCTCGAGGAAGCTTCAGCAGCAGCCCAAGCCAAAGTTGCAACTCCATAGCACGCGTTTGAAGGACACAAGAGGGTGATTCGGGATTTCGTGTTCTTGCACGACGACATCCACATTGTCTGAGGACGGCACGATGCGGAAGTGGAACTGCGACACTGGACGTCTTGTCGAGGAACCCTGGTACTAGTATGGCAAGGGTAACAGGATATGTGCGCTGGCGCTTTCACCGGACGGTAACACGATTGCGTGCGGGAGGATGGAAGCGTTCAGTGGCGGGATACCGATGGGAATATAATCCCGCGTGTTTGGACAGGTCATATAAGCTACTATTAGTATAGGCGACCCGTGCTTGTCATGTCACCCTATCCTAACAGTTGCTTGCGTGGTCTTGGTCTCTGGAAGTTGGGCCTTTCCGTCGCCGCGTCATGGCTGTGCCCTCCTGATTTCTGAAGGCGTAGCATGTCTCTGTCTGAGAGGTTGCTTTAGTCTACTGATTACGAAAAACGGTGCAACTTGTTACGTTCACCCATGGTAGCCACCATGTGCTTGCAGCGCCCAAGACTGCAGGCAGAGTCCAGACCTCAGGCCTCAGCTTCTCTCCCACGCCGACTCGGAGACACAGGACTTGCATAAGACCCATTCTTACTTTGTTATCGATCTCCACATCGATCATCATCGAGGATAGTGGATTTATCTTGCAAGAGTCGACACCATCCCAAGTTGAAGGTGCGGCCCTCGCTTGTTTCGCCCGGTTTTTTTAGCTACTAGTACTAAACAACCTGTTCCTTGGATCATGCTTGATCGTGTTTTACTGTTTATTGGAGATGCTCGTTTATCGTTTTGCTAATACACTTCCAGGATCCCAATTCTATTCTACTAGCATCACAGATCGTTGCTCATACGAAAATGACCCGTCCGAGTCGAAAGCGTCGATCAGCTGCGAATGATCGTGCGCATGCTGGTGTTGATGCCAGTCAAACTATAGGCGCGAGTGATCATAGGACAAGAGGATCTACTTCCCACACGGATGGGTTGGTATCTGTCTCTTCTTATGCTCTCTCGCAGCCGAATAGTATTGTGGCCTCCTCGGGCGGCCATGACGTACCAGACAATGCAGGCCAGCAAGCTAAAACTTCTGTCGCTTCTGCATGGTCGAAGCCATTGCAGTTTGGTAATATACAAGGCAGTTGGAGCGGTGATCTTCCAACGCAATGGGTCAACGATCAATTCGCTCTGCAAAAGCGCTTCACGGGGGCTCCTCCCCCCAACTTGAAGAAAAAAGACGCGGTGACGAAGATGCCAGTCCGTCAGTTTACGCAACAACACCTGCACAAGATGGACCCAGCGATTGTTCAGGGCGGCTGTGTCGTACACGACCATGCAGGCCAGCAAGTCAAAACTTCTGTCGCTTCTACATCGTCGACGCCATCGCGCTTCACGGGGGCTCCTCACCCCTCCAACTTGAAGAAAGACGCGGTGACGAAGATGCCAGTCCAAATCCATCAGTCTACGCAACAACGCCCGCAAAAGATGGACCCACCGGTTGTTCAGGGCGGACGTGACCTACTCAACCATGCAGGCCAGCAAGCTAAAACTTCTGTCGCTTCTACATCGTCGAAGCCATCGCGCTTCACGGGGGCTCCTCACCCCTCCAACTTGAAGAAAGACGCGGTGACGAAGAAGCCAATCCATCAGTCTACGCAACAACGCCCGCAAAAGATGAAACAACCGATTGTTCAGGGCGGACGTGTCGTACACGACCATGCAGGCCAGCAAGCTAAAACTTCTGTCGCTTCTACATCGTCGAAGCCATCGCGCTTCACGGGGGCTCCTCACCCCTCTAACTTGAAGAAAGACGCGGTGACGAAAATGCCAATCCAACAGTCTACGCAACAACGCCCGCAAAAGATAGGCCCACAGATTGTTGGCGGCTGTGTCGTACACGACCATGCAGGCCAGCAAGTTAAAACTTCTGTCGCTTCTACATCGTCGAAGCCATCGCGCTTCACGGGGGCTCCTCACCCCTCCAACTTGAAGAAAAACGCGGCGATGAAAACGCCAATCCAAATCCATCAGTCTACGCAACAACGCCCGCAAAAGATGGACCCACCGATTGTTCAGGGCGGACGTGACCTACTCGACCATGCAGGCCAGCAAGCTGAAACTTCTGTCGCTTCTGCATGGTCGAAGCCATTGCGCTTCACGGAGGCTCCTCGCCCCTCCAACTTGAAGAAAGACACGGTGACGAAGATGCCAATCCGTCAGACTACGCAACAACCCCCGCGAAGGATGGACCAGCCGATTGCTCAGGCGAAGCCCGCGCCCAAGACGAGCAAGAAGACTGAGAAGAAGAAGAAGAAGAAACCATTCTACAAAGAGATGAAGAAGGAGTTTAGAGGACCGACGTACTGGAAGAAGAAAGCGCAAGAGGATGAAGGCTTATTACATAGGGCCCGGGGAATCTGGAAAAATATGGTAGGAAGAAAGGCAGCTGGTAAGTGCTGAACTTCCCCTTCGCGTATGATTTGACATTGTTACATCCTGCTCAGAGTACATGCGAAGGAGGACGGCCAAGAAGCTTAAGGGCAAACGGCGTGTCTCACGCAAATGGATGATGAAGAAGGAGATGAAGAAGGAGAACCAAAATCGACGGGCACATCAGAAGAAGCATTCAAAACGTAGAGTGTTCATAAAGTTAAATCAAGTGTATAAAACCAAGCTTCGGGTTGGTAAGTGCTACATTTTCCTAGATCGCGTCGTTTCTACATCGCCGTTTCCTAGAGTGGAGGCGAGAGATCAGCAAAGAATTGGAGAAGGCTAAGAGAGAACAAGCAATTCTCGAGAGCGCAGATCGAAACGAATCATATCAAACAAGTGGTGCAGGTCGTTTTTCATTATATCTCTATGTGTTCACGTTGTATGTTTCAGGACCCAAGGAAACAGGGGAAACCATTTGAAAGGCCGGTCCCTCACGGAAGGAGGCGAAGAAAGTATGCAAAGCGAATGAAAAAAAAGATAGACAAGATGTTTGCAAGTCTAGGAGAGAACGAGTAGTTCCCAAGAGTGCAGGTGGAAGGCATGAATCATATCCTACAAATAGTGCGTGTCGTTTTTCACTTTGATATTTCCATGTGTTCACCCGGTGTATTTCAGGATCCGAGGAAACCAGTGGAAAGGCCCAGAAGGAGAAGAAGAAATTCCGCAGAGTGAATGAAGATGTGAGGCTAGTAAGTGATAATGCCCGGTTTTCGGATCTAGTTGTTTGCTCATCGAGCGAAAAAATGTAGATGATAAGAGACTCCCTGTTTACGAAGAGTGGCATCAAGATGTGAAGAATATATAGGCGCTTTAGGCTCAGAGCTCTGAAGTAAACAATGGATTGACGCTAGATGCTATGTTAAAAGCTGCATGTAACCGTGTTATAACTTGGTTTCTAACGAGAACCCCATGGCGGACGTTCGCTGTCATTTTTGGTGGAGAAAGAGTCGGTGCTTGAAGCAAATACGGGATCACGAGAACGGGTGGTCACATAGATCTAGATCGGAACTGAAAATAACTTGGTGGGTGCTAAAGTGCATGAAGAGGCGCCAGATGCCGTTGAAGATCATGTTCGTGCCCTATAAAACGGTTTACCATACTAGCATGGGTGGAATGGAATAACCGTGGCTGCTCTTAACATCATGGTTTACGGTTGCAAGAGCTCACATAAACTCACCAGGGAAACGGAAAGGCAAGGAACCAGTGTTAGCACCGCCTCATGGAAGCCGTGCCTACGGTAGTACTAAGATGTCCCGCCTTGCCGACGTCCCACCACGCGCGTGAGACCTGCAGACCGAACAGTGAGTGTTGGTCGATCATTTCCCCTATGTGATCTAACAGCGTTGAAAGCAGTCTGAAATTTAATGCAGCCACGTACGGCGATGACTTTCGAATCCGTTGCAAAGCCGATCCTCGAGAGGGCTTCACCACCAACGCAATCTAACTTATCCAAGAGACCGATTCCGAAGCACAAGTTTAAGGGACATGAGAAACCTATCGAGACTTTAATCTACCTGCACGACAACGTCTACATCGTGAGTGGTTCGTTGGACGGCACGATGCGCAAATGGAATCGCAACACGGGACTCAGTGTTGGGGAACCATGGAGAGGAAATGGCGGAAACATTTGGACACTGGCGCTTTCACCAGATGGAAAGACAATTGCGTGCGGGAGACAGAATGGAAGTATCCAGCGATGGAACACAGATGGAGAGATGATGGAAGGTGTGTGGATGGGTCATAGCAAGGCGGTGCGGTCGCTGTCGTGGTCTCCGAACGGAGACCATATTGCCAGTGGCTCGAATGATGGCAAAATCCTCGTTCGAAAAGCAGACAGTGGTGAAGTCGAAGTGGGTCCGATCGAGACAAAGCAAGATGAAGTGTTTGCTCTTGCGTATTCGCCTTCTGGCAGCAAGATTGCATCAGGTGGATGGAACCACACGATTTGCATATGGGATAGCAAAACCGGGGAGCTCGTCGTGGGCCCAATGAAAGACCTGACGAACAGCGCATGGTCGGTGGTTTGGTCAGTGGTTTGGTCATTGGATAGCAGCAAACTATATTCTGCATCCAATGAATTCGCACGGGTTTTCGACAGCGAATCAGGTGAACTACTCCATTCCTTCAAGCACGGCAATTCACTCTACTCTATCGCGCTTTCACCTACAGCCAATGTGCTAGCCTGCGTGGGCGTCGAAGGCATTGCACAGCTATGGGACACAGAGTCCCATAAACCACTCGGTCAGCCTTTTGGTGAGGAGGATTGCACCATCCCTGTATGTGTGTCTTTCTCTCAAGATGGAACACACCTGGCATATGGAGGAACCGGAAAGACAATTACTCTCTGGATGGTAAAAGACATAGCTCCTGAGCTTGCACAAGGTGATACACAAGCTACTCGACCCGAGTCCCCATCGTCACTTTCCCGGGCCCTCGAGGTCAGCACTCTTACAATCGACTGCCTTGCTTGCCTTGCTCACAAAACTTTCGCAGGTCGATGCTACAAGGGGTGATGGCATTACAGACGAGGAACACAATAATCTATATGATAACTTCTTCCAGGTAAACTCGTGTTTTGTACAAGGCAGTACCACTGACAAGTACTTGTAGTCTTCTGAGCCATCTTTTCCATCAGCACCATCTGGTTTCCGTCTCCAATACCTCTTTTCAGCTCGCTTTTTGAACGTCCTCATTCCTTCTCGACGTCGCCTGCCATCAAACAAATCGCAAGAACACCACAAGCGTACTTCCTTCGCGCGTCTTGCTCGTACACATAGTCCCATATCTACAACCACGCCCACCCAGCCAATTGCAGGAGAAGAAGACGAGGAAAATGATGAATCCAGCGTAAGTCATCTCTTTCCTCTAGCGCGCTTTCACCTCACTGTGGGTTGTCAGTGTTCAGTCAACGCTCTCGAACAGAACAAGGATACAGGCGTAAAAGAACCTCCTGCCAATGCACAGATCCCTCCGCATGATGCTATTATTTCCTCCGCCAAGCTCGACAGCAGAGACAGTGGCAACTTCTGGACACGGCTAATGCATGCTCGAGTGAAGAATCCTACTTCCTCCACAACAAATACACGATCTAATGCTGTTGGCGTGTCTGCCGTGCGTGGGTTCCAGGTGGGCTTTAGTTCTCTCTTCTAGTCGTTCTTACAATGGATTCTGAAACACCAGAGATACGTCGCACGGGAGCCAAAAAAACACAAGACAAAATTATCGGCAGTGACGAGCGGCACTCCTGTTGCTCCTGTGCATGCAAGTTCCTTGTCACAGGCGGGCCCATCTTCCCAGGTTGGTCCTGCACAGACGGGCACTGCATCATCGCAGATAGTGACTGGACAGTCAGGGCCATCATCACACGCTATGACTGGCCACAGCAATTATTCCTCAGATTCACATTCAATCATCGAAGGCTCCTGTATGAGGTTCCTCGACAAGATATGTTTTCCTCGTGGTCATTATTATCAGGATTCGTAGCGCGAGCATGGGGCATGTCTATTTATTTGTATTGTTGTGAGCTTTACCTACTTTCTTCGTTTGCTCTTATAAACTGTTTTTTCGCTGCTTATTTGACGACTCAGCTCGTTCTGCTTTCGTAATGCTATTTATGTTCCCCGACTCTCCAGAGGAGGGATTTTACGGTCATGATCGGTCGTTCGTTCTATTAAACTCGTACAGTCCGTGTGTCTTTTTCGGATGTCGGACTGGGAAATGCCATTTTGGTTGGTTTGCGGAATCGGCATGTCTTGAAAGACATCGTGATCTTAGATTGGGTGGAGCATCTCAGATTGGTGGATTGAAACTTTGTTTGTCCAGCTTCCTTCGTTGCAGTTAGACTGTGACCATTTTCACTTACAGCGTGTTTTGCAGCCTCTTTCTCGTAATGAGATTCGAGAGTATTTGTCGCGTCTGAATATATTTCCGTCGGCAGGAGAAAAAGGTCGAAATAAACATTCTTCCTTTCTCGCGTGGGCCGAATTCGAGCTCTGCCAACCTGATGAGTTGCTCGTTTCACTTTCTTCTTTATGTGACGAGCAGGACTTGTCTACTCCTCCTCGTTTGATTCTAATCAACAGATTTCTTGATAGGCTCGATGGTCTGAGACTGCCTGTTCCGATAGTTGCTGATCCTTTGTATCCGTGGTGGGTTTCCTGCGTTCCGCAGCATCTGATCTGTTGATATTCAGACTCAGTCGCCTTTCAATTTCGCGTCTCCGTGAGCTACTGACAAAATTCCATCCCGATTGTCGTCCTTTGGTGTTAGGAGGTGTTAGGTCAGTTGAAAAGGCCTTATGCAAAAGCAGTGCGATTTGGATTTTTTCCGCTGTATTGTGGATTTTGTTCCCTATATTCACTCTGAGTTCTCGTGTTTTCGGGACAAAAAAAAGGCAGACAAGAATTTCAGAAAGGGTACGTATGATGAGTCGTTATCTGTATTCAATAATGAGAGAAAATACAAAAAAGGGGAGGGTTTCAGAGAGCCACGAAAATTCTCAAGACAAAATCGACAACGAAGGAGAGTCGGGGACTGGCGCCCGCGCCCTTACGATATTATAATATCTTTGTTACTTTGCTCTGTACAGTATTGTTGATGTACCTGTTTCGAGGATCGCATACTTTCCACTGTATCGACATGCCACGATTTAATCCAGCAAGCAGCTTAACCTTTGTAAGCAAGCGGTTGTTTGGATCCAAAGGTTTTGTCAAACAAAACTGCACACTGCAGTAGTACCAGCCCCCTCAATGTTGGCCATTACTCCGTGTAAGTACTCGTGATTCCATGCTGCAAGTATTGTTGTTCAAGCTTGTTTCTCCACACACATGACACTTTGATGCATGTCACAAGTCTGTGATCAATGCGACATCTGTTGTACAACTTGTTATATGACTTAATTCACGACTAGCACGACCTCATACACGGGTCCAATATTTTGAAAACTCGCCCATCTCACCAGCCTGTGGCCGAGGGAGAGAACGGCAGACCACGGGTGAGTACTATATATTTGAATGTTGCTGCTCAGCTTTTGAAATTGATTTACCAGATGCCTTGCAGATTTTATACACAGTGCTCAACCATCACACATCGACAACTTAGGAGAGATGGAACGCGAAGCGGAATACGTCTGCCACTGACTCGGACCTGGTCAAGACACTGATTCAGCGGACGAGTACTCGGCAGATTCGAGGTATGTCTTGCTTAATTCAAGTTCCACAACGACTTTAAAGAGACTATCACTGATTGCGTTGAATTTATGGCTCGCATGGACTCGTGATGGAGCACCTTTCCTCTCAGCTGGTACCTACTAGGCGGAGACCTCAATAGACTAGCCATCCTAACGACGAGAAGTCTTGGACCTATTGTCCCTTTCTGCTCATGCAGCTCCCTTTCCCGGATCCCTGTGCCAATTTCTCCTGATTCGCGCATTGAAAGCACTCTCGAGGTAGCCGGTCACGCAGTCTGAAACCCAGCTCTTGGTAGTGCGCATGGTCTTCTTCGAGGAGAACTTGATGTTTGATGGGAACGTGGCCAAGCAGGAGGTGGGCGGCCCGGTTTGTGGTGTTGTGACCACTGACAAGGGTGCACAACCGGACACCGCATGGGGTCTCGGGGTGTTGATTGGGGATAGGATGGTGATGCGTTGATGACTCGATTCTGGCGTTGAATTTCAAGCTACTACTTTCTGTATACATACCACATATTCCCCTCTACTTTGGTGATACTTTCCAGCGTGCGTGTGACTGGCAACTGCATGTTATTTCATAGTGCCTCGGGGTCAATTAAGGATTAGCTCACTGCCATGCGTTCTCACAGTCAATAAGGCCCATATAACGTTACATCATGTAAAATCGACCGAGTAGCAGATCTCTTTGTCACATCCACCATCTCTTATCGCTCTCGACTCTTATTTTGTGTAAAACCGTGCTCGACCTCTCGTTCAATTGTCTGTCAAGCACGTTGTTGTTTTCTCGACCAGGGTCATGCTCAACGAAGAGGCTGAGTCAAGCACGTCGGCAATACAGAGAGAAGTGTTAGACTCACCAGCGCGTGCTACACCTCTTCGAGCGGGAGAAAATAAACCACCACCATATGGTGCACAGCACCGCCAGGACGCTCTGTGGAAAGGTGATCAACAGCCTTGTGATACCCACTGGTTTACTTAACAAGAAGCAGGCGGGAATGAAGCACTCCCTCCTGAGTGGAAACAGCATAAGATGTTGGATGGTGGAACATTTTATCACGACGACACACTTCTCTTGTCTTCATCAAATCGACCTTTACCAGGAGTACGACTAGGTGAGCGAAGAAAGTCCCACTATGAGCGAGAAACTCATGGATGAACATAGATTATGCCGGACAACTTGTTGTTGCCGGATGCGAATGGCACATCTCACCACTCGGTCAGTCCTACTTCGTCAACCACAATACACGGTCAACATCATGGAAGAAACCAGCACGAGAACGTCCAGCAGGGAGCCTGGCGCCAAAGTGCATTATGGAGGGTCACTCCAGGTGCATATGGAGCCTTGCCTGCCTGGGCACCAGTTGTAATGTGAATGTGCTGAGTGCGTCGGAAGACTGTTCAATTCGCCAGTGGAAAAGAGACGGGGAGCCAGTAGGAAAGCCTTTGAATAGCCCTGGGGCACGGATAGGCTCAATGGCGCTATCTCCGGATGAAAAGATGGTCGTGAGTGGAAGTGTAGATGGCAGACTACGGCTGTGGAATATAAAGAAGGGCAGTGTGATTGGCGACCCATGGGAGGGGCACAATGATCAAGTGAGGTGCCTTGATTGGTCTCACAATGCCCTGGAGATAGCAAGTGGGTCGAACGATGGCACCATACGACGCTGGAACCCGGATACTGGCCTGCAAATAGCACCACCGATAGACACTCATCACGGTTGGGTTCATGCCATCAAATACTCTTCACAAGGTGACAAATTTGCCAGCGGCGGTCAGGACAAGATGATTCGCGTGTGGTCGAAGGATGGGCAGCTGCTCGTCGAGATCGAGGGACATGAGTACTCTGTGACATCGTTGTGTTGGTCCAAGGACGGCACACATATCTTCTCCGCGTCATACGATGCCACTGTCCGACAATGGCGGTCAATTGATGGGGAGGAGCTCATTGTTCTTCGGGGTCATACCAATCCTGTCAGATTCCTCTGTCTGGCTCCTGATGAAAGCCACCTTGTTAGCGCATCAAATGACTGCTCCGTTCGCATTTGGGACCTAAAGACCAATCAGCCAGTCGGACACCCACTCTTGCATGACGACGAAGTCGTCGCTCTTGCCATGTTCCCCGATGGAAAATACTTTGCCAGTGCTGGAAAAGATGCCAAAGTCTATGTTTGGAGCGTAGAAGCTGCGCTCGAACAGCAGGTGGTGACCAAGTTAGTGTGTGCATGTACATTGTGTTTTAACGTATTTGGGCTTATTTAGGGTATGAATGACAATGCAAAGCTCGACGGGAAGTTGAAGGCAAGCCAGTTCTGCTTCTCTTTCACACTTGATCTCACTTCTTTACTACCTATAGGGACCTCCAGCCCGACCAAGAGATGTGCGCCAGTCTGTTTCAAACGACCTTAACCTTCGCTCAATTGTTTTATAGAACTTTCCCTCACGTCCGATCGTCTCCGAACAGCATGCGAACAGCAAAGGCTCGGCGAAATATGTCAGTGTAGCTTTTCGTTCATGAGCTCTTTCTCACTGCGTGACGCTGATACAGGGTAATGACTTCTTCGGCAACAATACAAACCATGCAGCTCCACCTGCGAGCACATCAAATCCCCTGCATTGGCGCCGTTTGCTTGACTACATAGGCTTTGGCGCTCGACCTGCAAATGCACCTCAGCTAATACCCCGCGAGCCACGAAATTGGAATTTTAAATTATTTACTGTAGGGATTTCCAGACGCACCGTCGATGTAGCTGCTGCTCGCGATGAAGATGTGAGTGGCTCGTCATTGCTCCTCTGATATCATCGACAAAAATTGCAGAGGTATGGCATTGTCGTTGAATCTGACGCGGAAGCCGCTGCAGCTATGCAACGTACAAGTAGCAAAGAGACCAACGGTTCGAAGCAACGAGGTCAACCTGCGCCTCAGACACAAGGGTCTGAAGAACGGCCGACACAATCACAAGCCTCAACTGGTGGAATGGGAGACGTTTCTTGTGAATTTAAGTGCTGCGGATTTTCCTTTGGTTGTCGTCGCTCCGCTTCGCATATGCAGTCATGAGGACGTTTGACCAAGGAACTCTCTGGGATTCGATATTTTTTCTCTCGTACGTGTTTACATATTATGCCTAACTTATGCTGTCCCATGTGCATGCACATGGTATGTACTATATTGATAGATCACGCTATGCAACCATCCCATGCCTGTTGCGTGCCTGACCACCTCCATGCCAGGGCGGCCGTTCAGGTTCTATACGTCACAAATCTTATTTCTCTGGTCTGCCTGTCGACACTAAACAAATCACAACACATAACACAGCATTATGCGAATGTATATACACACAGTATGGCTCGAGCTCTAGACATCTGATTTCAAGGCCGGGCTGTAGCAGCCTGCAACACACCAAGAATGGAGCTTTATTGATGCAAAGGGACCGGGGAAAGAGTATTCTAAATTGTAAAGTAAGATATAGAACTCAGATACAAAACACACGCAGCCCCACGTCCTGGTGCAAAGAGTGCATGAATACAAGCCCCAAAAGCTAACTGTGTCGAACTTTATAATAATTGTGGCCATCATGAGTGGTGATACACGAGATACAGCACAAGCGTCGTAAGCAACTAATGGATAGGAAGGCGATCACGACGAGAACATTGGACCATTGAAATACTTGAAACAAAAGTCAGCAGTCTAAGGCTCGTTCATCGTCAATCTTACACAAACCACTTGACAGACTTCGTTGTTACTTCCTATTGCACATATTTAGTGTTGTGTGAAGCCCAGTCGGCTAGTCAGAATTCTACCGACAGGTCCACGCCGCCATCTCATGCGTTTTTGAGCCACTCATCGTCTAGTAGTTCCAAGGCCGTAGGTCGTGCGTGGGGATCAATAGTTAAACACTTCCGAATAAAGGCAGCAGCAGAGGATATATCCTTCTCGCCCATAACCTTATATGCTCGGAGACAACTTTCCATTGATTGAGGGATCAGATTATGAACGCGGAGTGATCCTTTGAAAGCATTTCAAATCCGCCAGCTGATAGATGCAGGCGCGAAACCTTACCTTGTTCGTCAAAGAAATCAGCCCTGCGTTGGCATCGTTCTAAAAAGCTAGGTGGGAAAGGACCAATATGTTCAAGGATTCTCTGAAGATGGAGATTCTCCATGCTGATGGAAGGGGACTCCGAGAGTAGAATCATAGGTGCACCAGTCAGGTATTCGAAAGCCTAGATGGTCATCTGTGATGGCACCAAGCACAATTAAACTATATCTTACCAAACACCCCATGGACCATATGTCGATGGGTGTAGACCACTCATGTCCAAGAATAACTTCTGGTGCGCGAAGGAGACCGATTTGAGCCAGTCCCGCTAGGGGCTCTTTGGCGGGAAGTGCTATTTCACAACGGGAAGGATGAGAAATCATTGTCGAAATGTCAGGTCACTAACCGTGACCAAAATCAATCAAGCAAACCTTGAGGTTGCTCGCATCTTCTCGAAGACCGAGATTGGGGAGTGGCTGCGTCTTGACTGTGATGATAGGATCAGGAGATAAAGTGGGTTCGAAACGAGGTTCATATGTGGCGGATGGCGTTTCTTGAAGGACGCGAGTTATGGCTTCATCTTCGTAGTCTACACAAACTAGAACGTTGTCTGGTTTCACATCTTAAAGATCAGGTCGTCAGTTACGGGCTTTGGTACTGAACAGAGCTGGAACATATACCTGTGTGTACGAAGCCGCACTCGCGGTGAAGGTAGTCCAGAGCAAGAAGTGTCTGTTTGACTATACGTTTAGCGACAGCAAGAGGGAATACACGCTTGTTAGGTTGCAGCCTGCCGAGACGGTGCATGTTCTCTCCCAGAATGTTGGTGACGAGGCATATGTGAGGACCGTGTCGGCTCTTATCAGTGAGCACTTCGTAGAGATTAAGGCAGTGTTGGTAGCCGGGGTGATCAGGATTAGCCGTTTTGATGGTCCTAAGCGAGTCCACCTCACATAAAAATCCTCGCACCACACCTGCAGTTGCGTTGACTGTAAGAACCTTGACGGCAACATATTTCGCTGGATATGCGTTTCTGAAATGACCGTGATCCTGATGAGCAGACTCGACGGGAAACAAAAAGATGTACTTACCCCAGGGTGCGTGCGAGCCAGACACTGGAATGACCGGCCCATCCAAGCTTTCTCACAATCTCAAGCTTTCCTTCTCCTAACTGCTGTCCCAAGGTGATGGGGTAATATCCGAAACCTTTCTCAGGCGAGAGCGCAAGTGGCTCTTCGTCAAACACAAATTGTCCCCCGTCGTCTTTGTCGTTGATCTCAGGCTGTACACGGACCGGCAAATCGTTCCAAGTTCTTTGAACATCGCGAGCTAGTGATGTAGACGTGGAAGTAAAGCGAGGAATAGTACGATGTATGGTCTTCCGTAGAGCGCAACGAAGTGAGTTAGCTACGACAAACATCACCTGAAGTCGGTGAATCTTGATGAGTCTCGTAGTTTTCTCGCATACTTAAGGAGATATATGCATACAATAAATAATAAACAAGGGCCCATGAGTGACTCATACTTACGTTACGACTCGGATCCAATCATATTAAACGCGTTCTAACGCAATCGCTCTGGATTCGAAACTACAGTCAAAAGCTGTGTGCTAATGGGTACGAGTTTTGACTCATTTGAACAACAAATGGGCGCCCAGTGGAGGGATAGAAGTACTAGTGCCCACAGAAAAACAGATAACACATACGGAGCTGTAGAGTAGCTCGCCATCCTGCCCGTCACTTTCTTGTGGCGCATCAAAACATTCGGCGGGTGAAAATTTCCTAGGTCTTTATAAAGCGTCTCAAGAGATAGGATGATCCAATTAATATTGGACGTGTATCTGTGCGCACACAACGCGTCACGCGTAGGCACGCCCACTATGAGCGTTCGTATGCATGGCCACTGCTGATCGATGATCTGCGCAATTTCTTACGAGTCATTGATTAAATCTAGTCACTTGAGGAAATCATCAATTATGTGGTCCAATTCCGGAGCGGATGCTGACAAGAATATGAGATCACAAAAAAGAGTCGCACATTGGTGGAGTTTCATATCTCGCGAGGCGACATTCCACTGAGATCCCATATGATGTATTCTGCGAAGATCGCACTGGCTGGTAGGATGAACCAAAACGCCTGGAGAACAACTTCGGAAACGAGTCACCCACCCCTAGACACAGCACACGGCGCACGCTCACCGTTAACTTGGGGCCTCGGGCTGCACAACGACACACACGGTGGCTAGATGTAGAATCCAACAGAAGGATACCTAATTTCCCTCTTCAGCGCTGCTTGATTCTCTGCATCCTCCAAACCCAATAATTGCCTCGCATACGAGGTCTCATAATCGGCACGTATAGGACTCGGACTACAAACCAGAAGCAGGATATAGATGTTGGTGCATAATACGTACCATAGGGATGAGGATGGTAACCCATGACAAGCTGACTTGTTCATTCCGAGTGCACATATCCTGGAGAGCCGAGGTACTTATTGGTTTTTGCAGTGTTCGAGGTCTTTCTTGTGAGATGCATCTGCTTGCTTGAAAGTAGTGTCACAATGGGCCCGATGGCAAATTTGCAACAGTTGTTTGGAATCAAAGGCTTTGCCAAACAAAGCTGCACAGCCCCCTCCATCAATGGAACGGTTCAACCAAGTCACAACAAGTACTTTCACGGCGGCGCACGCTGGGCGAAGCTACATTCATTGTGCATGTACGACTATTAGTATGTGTCACTTACATGATGATCTATTTCATCACTGAAAACCCTGACGTTCGAAGCTTGTGTCTGTGCTTCCACATTCTTACTTTACCAATGTGCGGCTGTTCTGCGGACTGCGAACGAGGGTATACGTGCCGTTCGAAGACAGCATGGAATCGGCCGAATGACCATGAAGTTTGTGCGTGGGCAACGTGATTTGCATACGGGAACTGGCCATGATGAGAGAGAAATGGCTGTATCACATCAGTCGAAAAAACTTCAAAATCTCAACTGTGAGGGTTGCGGTAAATTTTTCTTATTCCTTGGCATTCAGCGCGTATCATTCCCGTCTATCGTTAAAGTTTGTCCCGCGAACCACAGCGGCCAACTCGGAAGGAATTTCATACATGCCTTCGCGTTTCAGTTCATTATTCGGTAGAACCAGTTCTGCGTCATCAACCAACTCCTCAAGTAAGTTAGTACTCACCTGCGTATCTCAGGCTTTATGATCCGAACTCTTTTTGAATCAGATCTCAGCACCGATGATATAGTAATATCGTTCAGTAGCAAGTAATATCAAGACTTCGGACTTGGCTAGCAAGACACTCTAAGACCTCGTGGCACGGATATTGCACCCTCCAATCATTGCACCTAACCAACCTCAGGTAAGCCAGTCCTTGGCATTGCATTCGCATGCACTTCTTATCTCCACTCCACTAAGCATCCAAGTCCGTTCCCAGACTATCGCCTAATCCAGCGTCTCTTCGGCTTTTGTCTCAACGTTCACCTCAACGGGGCTACAGAACAACGGAGCCACTACCCCCGTACAAGTAGAACCCCGTTTCATTCCTTCCAACCCGCGGCATCACTTCTCACCCCCATCTCAGATAAGCTACAGCGGCCTGAACGTGTAAATGGACCAAGAGTTTAAAGTGTTTGCACCAATCGGAGATCGGGAAGACGCGCCGGGTTTGAGGATGACGCATCTTATTACGCAACAGTGTCGAAGACACACGCAGAAAGATGCACAGGGTACGTGCTCGATGTTTTGTACTCGCCTTTATCGCAATACTCCAGTATCCCACAACCTTCTTTCACTGTATTGATTATCATTTATCCCCATTCTCTTCGCCGAAAATGATGTGTGTTTACGTGACTGATAGCAGCTGCCAGAGTCATATTTAGAAACTATGGCAATTTTAGCCCCTCATTCACGATCGCGAGATATACGCGAGGTTGAGAGCGACAAAACCCATACGTTTAGATGATGTTAATTCATCCGAATAACCTTATATCCGGGAGGCCGCTTCACCTTCACATCCTGGCAGGTGTCGTTTACGTGCTATGTCGTTCGTATGTGCGGTCCGTACACCAATGGTTCTGTTCTTTGTGCGTGGACACCATACTAAGGTCTTCGAACAGGGATCGTTGTTGTGCTATTGGACTCGGCTGGGAACTTGAAAGCTCAGACCAAAGCTGCAACACAAACCCAACTTGAACATGTAACCGGCGATGCTCGAATACGGCAGGAGAAGTAAATTCGTACATCCTTCGGAATCCGGAGCAGATTCGCCAGTAATCCTGTCGGCGCAATCTCCGATAACTTGGCTAGCCAGTCTAGGATCACCTTCACGCAAGGTGCGTACACGTACTCGGTACATACCGGTATCACACTATTTTTCGGAGAGCGTAAGATTACCTTGCAAGTGGCCCCTTTGATTGTATAAGAAGTAATCGATCTTGGGACAGAGGCTCAAAGTTCTGCTGCTTCGTCTTTTTCAATCTGTGACTCATGGCTATTCCAATCGTGGCAAACACGCCTTCTGTGTCTGAACACAAAACGCTACGCCAAAATTCTGATGTTGATGCGTCCACAGACGCAAATGATATCATTGACATTGAACATGTTACAGTCAACGACGATCCCCGTCAGTGGATTCGTACAAGAAAAGTGCGTGTATAGCATTTGCACTCTGTGACTAACCTGACGCTGTACCATCTGTAGACGATAACTTTGTGCATTGTGTCGCTGGCTACAATGGTGTCTGCGTTAGCTTCTAACATTCAAAATCGTTCGTGATATGTCTTTTCCTCATGAGTTTTTAATGATATCGTCTCGCAGCCTCGAACTTTCTGATACAGGAAGATCTACATGCAACAAGTAGCCAGATAAGCTGGACATTAGCGGCGTTCCAACTCGTACAAGGGAACTTTCCGCTATTATGGAGCGCTGTCAGTGAGATAAAAGGCCGGAAGGTTGGTCCAGGTTTACCCTTCTTAATCTGCTTGATGAATGTGGATCTCGTTTATCATAGCCTGTCTATTTGGTGGCTTCCGTTATATTCGTGATAGGAAATGCTGCGTTGGCGCTCTCAAAGACTATCGAGGTAATGATAGGTATGCGAGCACTTCAAGCTGCCGGGTAAGCATCCACCCAAAAAGCTTGAACACTATTGACTTCCCCACCTGAAGTTCATGCGCTGTCATGGCTATTTCGGCTGCGACCTTGGCCGATATCTACGAGCCTCGTGAGCGTGGTACCATGATGGGCATCTTCTATGCTGCACCTCTATTAGGACCCGCACTCGGCCCTATACTTGGCGGTTCGTTGTCACAAGCCTTCAGCTGGCGTGCAAGTTTCTACTTTCTGCTTATCTGTGGAGGAGTCGTCTTCTTGTCCTTCCTCATCCTGTTCAAGGACACATACCGACGTGAACGAAGCCTCTCGTATCGCTCTGCTTTACAACGATCTCTTACCTCCAGAGAACCCGTTCGGAGTTCCAGCGAGTCTACCATTGCCGGGAATGAGCCCAGTAAGGACCAAACATTGGTCAAGGATACCGAGAAGCAGCTCTATAGCTCAGCAGTGGCTTCTACACCGGGGCTAGACAATGTCAGGCTGTCAATAAGGGACATAAACCCCTTTCCACCATACTTTCGAATTCTGTCGCGAAAGAATAACGTTTTAATTCTTATAGCTAATGGTGAGTGAAGTGCTGGCCTCCTATACACGGTGTTAGTGACACCATTTTGGGATAAGGACTCGTCTTCGGTTTTAGCTATTGCCTTTCATATACGTGCGCCCGCACTCTCGCCAACGTATATGATTATAACGCGTTTAGCGTTGGCTTGGTCTTGCTTTGCTTGGGCCTAGGTGAGATCTTCGCAATCTGGATTGGGGCAGAAGACTGATTTCCTGTGAAGGAAGCATCGCTGGGAGTGTGATTGGTGGGCGTTGGTCTGACCGGGTGCTTGCGAAGATGATGGAAGCGAACGGAGGAAAGTGGTATGCAGAAGTGAACCTTTTTTTCTACTCCTGCATCGAAACTCTTGACTGATGTCTTCCGAAGATGCGCTTGGAAAGCTCGACACTGGCGATGCTGTGGCTACCTCCGTCTGTCATCGGTTATGCTTGGGTGTGTGAAAAGCAAGTCAATGTCGCCGTCATTTGCATCATGCTCGCTCTTATTGGATTCACCTCCATGTCAGTAGATCAGTCATTGATTGTCGTTGTTGCCCTAACCTCTACTTCTAGATGGATGTATACTGGTACATTGGCATACCTCGTTGATGCCAACCCTGGTCGCTCATGTACAGCGGTGGCAACAAACAGCTCGTTCCGAGGATCCTTGGCTTTTGCTTCGGTGATGATTGCTATACCGCTTCAAGTGAGTTTCCCTGATATCTGATTTATTTCACAAATGCTGATGCTAGCCCACTCTCCGTGCAGAATGCTTTAGGAGATGGGGGATTGTATACTGTGTGGGCTGGGATCTTGGTTGTAACGGAGTTATTGGTTATATTGGTGCTGCGTAAGGGAGAATCGTGGCGTAGGGAAAGTGAGGAGCGTGAGCTGAATACTAAGTGAATGTATCCGTATTTTGTACTACACTCATATGATAAAACAGGTACAAAGGCAGCTTTTGAAAGCATGGTGGGCGACAAATTGCTGCTCACCTTCTGTGTAAGTTTTAGACGCACGCAAATTAAATGTCGATAAGATGCACAAGCTGTGGTTTCCGCGTAAGGTGAAGACGACTGTGGAATCCATTGCGTGCTTTCACTTTCTTAATATGTGGGATCAATAATAATAATTACTTATCTTGCTTCGTTATTCAGGTAACAATAGACAAGCTTACTGGTGATGCGTTCGGTTTGTCCACAAGGAAACGCGAAGAGACCGCGAAAGTGATGGCACATTTTGAGAGCCGATCTCCGTGATTGGCGAAGAGATAGCGCAGTCTCAGCACAGACCGTTATTCCCCACGTTACAGCCTGCTGCTCACAAATGCGCTGCACGCGTACTTGACAGCTGATGATGACTCTTGCGTCGAAAGATGTGTTGTCTGTAGCGGGAAGCGTGGTGATTTGTGGTGGAAAGGTTAGCGTGATTCAGGCATCTCATGCTTTTCTTAGGACACTCGATCACGTTGTGCGGATTGGTGATATCTAAGTGTCCAGTGGGAAGTGAGCCCATGGCGTTGTGATAACTTCAAGTTTAAACTTTGCTCCCAAATTGTGCCCGGCTAGTATTATGCATTCCTCCGCTCTTGATTTCCCGATTCGCTTGAAGCAGGGTCTTCCATTGACACGCCCAGAGACGTGCCTATCCACATCTTGGATCCCAAACGCTCACCACAGCGGTCGCTCGCTCGTCATCTTATATGTTGTTGTGCTTGCCTTTTCTCACTCTTCCCTCCTGCAAACCCTCTCTCAACATCAATGCAAACTTGTATATCGTGTATTTTACAGGTTATGAGTGGTAGGTCACTCAGTAACGCATGGGCTTCATGAGATAAGCCCTCAAATCAGCGCACCTGGCAGTGTAAATAGCGGTGTAGGTTAAGCGGAGTAGAGTCTTGACAGCGTGACATGAACAACTCATCATTCCCATAATATGCCGGTGTGCTGCGCGTTATGGCCGCATCAGTCATTCAAAGACTGTGCAGACGCTTGATGTTCCATAACTGGCGTTATCGTGGCAGCGGGAGTATTTGAGCTGGCGTGAAAAGAAAGTACCATCGACGTTTGAACGAAAGCCCTATCGCATTGCCTGGAAAAACGTGTGCTCGGGTTGACGATTGATTAAGATGCGACTAAGAAAGGGAGTCAGTGCATGCGTGTGGACAGGAAAAACAATCGTGGCATTTGATTGGACAGAGTGAGCAGAGACATCCGTCATTCCAACCAACATCAAGATTTGCATTTGTTCATCCTTCCTTCCTTCCTTCCTGGACAGACGAGCAGACGCGCATAGTGTTCCGCGGTCACACGCGAGATGGGCCTGGAGCGAACATGAAACTGATGGGACAATCAGAAGACACAGCCCAGTACGAAAAGAGTATACTGTACAAACATCAGAAGCTCAGTGTACTCACCTTTAGTGCCCAATTCCACTCTATTTTTAACCCATTTATTGACATCTTAGGCTTGCCTAATGTCGACAGTACTTTTCCATGGCATACTAACATGATCAGAACGGCATGCAATGAAAACCGACATCATCCAGCCAATGATTGCATCACTGTTTACAGCCGAAATGCTGTAAAATATTCGGCTGTAAACATCGACCGTCACATGAACCTGTTAATTAGTACCACCCTGTGGAATTCATATTTAACCACTCACCCACATAGCCAGCTTGCTACCAGACAAAAGATAGTAGACAACCTGGTGAGGACTGGCAAACTGTCGCGCCCATGATTGATCACTAACTGCGTCAGAGTTAAATTGATTCACCAGACTCCTTACGATAACAAGCTATGGCTGCTAGATTCCTCGCAAGGCGGGCTAATAGCAAGGATATTCCAACCGCAACGCAATCCAACAGACCAACTTCAAAGTACAGATTTGAGGGCCATGAGAATGCTGTTGAAGGATTTGTCTTCTTGCACGACAACATCCACATCGTGAGTGGTTCTTGGGACGGCACGATGCGGAAGTGGAACTGCGACACAGGACTTGTTGTCGGGGAACCGTGGAGAGGCGAGGGCGGAGGTATATATGCACTGGCACTTTCCCCAGACGGCAAGACAATTGCGTGCGGGAGGGAGGACGGAAGCGTTGAGCGGTGGAACACCGATGGGGAGATGATGGAAGGTGTTTGGACCGGTCATGGCGACAGGGTGCAATCACTCTCATGGTCTCCCAGTGGAAGGCATATTGCCAGTGGGTCGCACGATGAAATAATTCTGATTCGAGACGCAGAAAGTGGAGAAGTGGAGGTGGACCCGATTGACACGAAGCAGATCCATGTGTTTGCTCTTGCGTACTCACCTTCTGGCGACAGAATTGCATCAGGCGGAGAGACGTTTGGCAAAACAATTTGCATATGGGACAGCACAACAGGCAGCCTTGTTGTCACTATCAAAGGCCTGGGCATGGGTAGTACTGTGACCTCTTTGGTGTGGTCGCCGGACAACAGCAAACTCTACTCAGCTGCCTCCGACAAATTCACACGCGTTTTTGATAGCACCTCGGGCAAACTACTCCATCGCTTCAAGCACTGTAACACCGTGAATTCTGTCGCACTTTCGCCCCACAACAATGTTCTAGCGTGTGTAGGCGAATGGAACGTTGCGCAGCTATGGGACGCAGAATCCCATCAGCCACTCGGCCAACCATTTTGCCAGTCCCAAAGACAATATTTCGAACGTTTTTATTGTGTGACGTTCTCTCGAGACGGGAGATACGTAGCATATGGCGGAGACTATGGGGAACTTACGCTCTGGACGGTAGATGACATAGCTCCCGAGCCTACATTGCCCATACTTCCACAAGGTCAACTTGGAGCTGTACAACAGGAAACTCGACCGCAGACCAATCTACAGCGCGAAATTGGACCCGATCCAGAGCATGAAAATCGACCCGATTCTCCAATATCATCTTGCCTTGACGTCAGTAATTACACTTGACTATGCAATTGCCTCACCACGCTCACAAGTCCATCACAGGCTGATGCTACAGGGGGTGGAGGTATAATGGAGGACATGCGCGATGACCCATACAATAATTTTTTCATGGTAAACTCGTGTTTGTCCTGCAAAGGGCCCAGTGCTGATATTAATCCTTGTAGTCGTCCCAAACATCTCTTCCTGCCGCGACATCCAGTCCCACCCAGCCTCACAACCCGTTCTCTGCTCGGCGGTTCTGGAACATGATCTCCCGACATTACCTGCCAACAAATGAGTCCGATCCATTGCGAGAACGCCCCAAGCGAAAGTTCTTGGCGCGCCGTGCTCGCTCAAACTCCCCATTACAGCCTGAACAAACCACACCCAACCAACCAGCGCTTGATGGGAAGGCCCAAGCAGTAGAAAACGACGAAGAAGATGAAAGAGATGATGTAGGTTTTTTCTCGGCTCTCGCAGACTATGGCCTCATTGTAAATCTTCAGCTCGGCGTCAGTAAATCAGAAAAGGATAAAGGAAAGCAACGAGATGAATCTTTTGTTAATGCACAGAGCCCACCACCTGATGATCACGCTGCTAAATTCGAGAGCGCAGAAAATTGCAGCCTTTGGAAACGGCTATTGCGCACTCGAAGGAAGAATCCCACATCCGTTAACATGGCCCCAGCAATGAAACGTCCTGAGGTCGTTGAGGTATATGCCGTGCGCGGGTTCCAGGTAAGCTGCAGTTACATCTTCTCAACAATTGTATCCTTACTAGAGATGGAATTTACAGGGATATGTCGCAATGACACCGAAACGCAGGAGAGGGTCATCATCGGCAACATTCAGTACTCCTCAGCTTGGCGCAGCTCACACAGGCGGCTCGTCACAGTCGAGTCCATCCTCCCCAACTGGTGTCGCACAGGCCGGTACATTGTTGCAAGCTTCGTCGTGGCAGGAAGGGCCGTCATTTCCAGCAATAGCGGGACGCAAAACTCAATATGTGCGAGCTGTTGGAGGTTCATCATCGTACACGTCACCATCACGCTTTGGCACCTATCACGCTGATCATGACTCAGATTCGGATTCAATCCAAGGTTCCTGTCATAAGTTCCTCGACAAAATCTGTTACCCCCGCGGACGCTTCCACAACGATTCTTAGCGCGAGCATGTCGTCTGGATTTCTATCTGAGTTTGACCTCCTTTCCTGGTCGTTTCGTACGAGCTTTTCTGTATTTTTCCATCGATTATCACACCCCCGCTACTCCCAATTTACTGTGCTGTACTGTAGTTGGATAGTATGCGAGTCACCTATTCATTTGGAGCAGCATACACCTTCTACTACCGCGATCTGCTGTATTAGTACTGCAACACCTACTTATTAACCTTCATAGGCACGTTCAATTACTAGGGATTCGTGAAAATCAAGCTGAATATTCGTGGCTCAAATTTTGGTGGAGATTAGATGGATTCAGACATCGTCAGTGTGACATTACCAATTTATCCGTTTACGCCCATTGCATAGGTGCATTGAATGTTATGCCTGCGGAAATCTAACCAGGAGAAATGGGTCAGTGTGTTGCGCGTAAAGACAGGGAAGACGAGACATTCACCGATATTGACATAACCGTCACGGGAGGGGATAATGTATTGCGGCTTTTTCCGGGAGTGTTAGTTGGTTGTTCTTCTCCGCCTCCTTCCAATTTTCAAGTGCGGTGTCTTGTTACAGGCAGGCGTGTCTCTTGATTCCTGGAGTGCATTTAGCTGTAGTTGTCGTGGAATGATATCCATGTCTTTCTATCGTCTATTCAACCGCAACAGCTTGCTTTCAACCAATTTGAGGTTCTTTAAACATTGGACACGTGCTCAACGTGTCTTGAGTCGTCCCAACGGGTCATCCGTGAAACGTCAGAATCATACAAGTACCACTACTGATATGTCCTTACTTCAGCACACCGGTCCATCAACGCGTTACACCGAACTAGCAGAGTTACCCCTTCCTGTGTTTGCTCATTTTGTTGGCGGCGATGGTGCGTCCATCAACATAATCAGAGATCGTTCATAGACGGCCCCACAGTTGCACGCGTCACTTATGCTGTTCGCGATCACGAGCGCAACATCATACGGTCCCTCACCAAGACTATCTCCGGGGGCATCACTTCTGACCATCATATAACCTCCCACGATTCCCTTGAAGTTAAGGCGTTTACAACGTCTCCTTCAAAGTCTCGTCAGGCAATCCTCCGAGAGGTTGCGAATGGCACAAGTACGAAACGATTTGTCGAAATCTGGGCCGGCACCCAGATAGAGGCTTCCTTAGATGTTACCAAGTACCACGATGCTTTCCATACAGATGGTGGGTTCATTTATCTGTGAATGTCCTGAAATACTCGCTAATCGGATGCCAGAATTCACATCGTCGCTCTCCTTCTCCCCATCGGAAACATCCCTTCTATACACCGCCGAAGCCAACGTGAACAGCGATGACGATCCTTCAGATGATCCGTACCCCAAATTCAGATACACCCCACACTTTGGTGAACAATCTCGCTCCAAGAAAAGATCCACCATTTTTCTATTTCGCTGGACGAGGTCCACGGCTTTCACCAAGGCCGCTAAGCAAAACATGTTACTCTTTGCCCTTTCATTGGCACAGCCTACCCAAGTACCCGTCCTATTCGGCCAAGCTACTTTCGCGACGGAAGATGTCATCTATGCCAGTGGACACGAACACACCAAAGATGGCCGACTACTGGGGGTCAGGTGGTGTTTCAATCGTCCCATGGGCATATGGGAGATCAAACTTCCCGAGTTAGCAACCGTGCAAGGGACACCTTTTGGCACTAAAATCCCTTGCAACTCATTGAAGCTGACTCCACCAGAACGGTCTTGCCGTTCACCTCGTGTGTTATATGGTAACAATCAGACGCCCATTAAACTCTTCTGGTTCTCAAATCCCGTCGGCGGTCCTCATGCATCTTGTGTTTCTCTGGAATCTCGCGACCTAACCACAGGTACCAACAAGGTCCTCGTAGACACCGTTTTGGAGCCTACCCCCGAAAATGATTTTCCAGGGCTATATCCCGAGTATAACATGTCCTCCAGCCCGTTTTTTGCGTCGTGGAGACCGTATCTACATTGTGCTCCAATCCATATGGCGCTCTCGCACGACCATCCTCTTCATTGATACAGAATCAGGAGCAATTACAGACGAGACAAAAATACACAATGATGAACCTTTGTATAGCTGGAACTTCTATGCTACAGACGACAAGACCCGCTTCATCTGTTCAAGGAGCACGCCTACTACCCCATCCGAGGTATTGCTAGGATACTTTGATCAACACGACAACCTCAATTGGAAAGTCCTAGATAAGCCAACGATATCTTCCGCAAGTACGTTCATGTCAATTTGGGTTCTTGCCAACTCTAATCACGCTCTTCAGCTGAAAAAGCGCTCAGCGATCTCACTGCGTCAGTCATACCCATCGGTGCACGTCCTCCAACAGAGACTCTTGTTATTCAGTCCAAGAAAGCTTCCACAACACCTGGCCCGAAACCCATCTGTGTTACCATTCCACACGGAGGACCCCATGCATCATCGACAACAGCATTCTCCCCAGCTACTGCTGCACTGGCCCTAGAAGGATGTAAGTCTCTTCCAACTTCGCGACTACCGATCATTCATATACTCACAGATACCATCTCCCTTCCCAACTATACCGGCTCCATGGGATTCGGCGAGAAATACATCCAAAAACTCCTCGGGCACTGCGGAACAATGGACGTACAAGACGTCTTAGAGAGCGTCAACGAGCTCATCCGACTTGGTATCTCAGAGCACGGACGGCAAGTCGTCCATGGTGGAAGTCACGGCGGTTTCCTCTCCGCGCACCGTAAGATTTTTCCCCCCAAAAACACATACTTTTTTCACACTAGCACTTACACACAGTGATCGGCCAATACCCAACCCTATTCAACGCAGCAGTTATGCGCAACCCCATGGTCAGCGCAGGCGAAATGGCAGCATCTGACATTCCTGACTGGGCCTACGCTGAATTTGGGCTCCAGTTTACATCAGACTCACTGATGACGCCCGCTACGTTCAAAACACTATTTGAAGCGTCGCCTGTTGTGCACGTGGATGATGTGCGCGCGCCTGTGTTGTTGTTGATTGGAGAAGACGATTTGCGTGCTGTACCGGCGCAGGGGTTGAGGTTTTATCATGCACTTAAGGGGAGGGAGAGGAGTGTGGAGATGTTGTGGTTTAAGGGGGAGTCTCATTCACTTGATGGGGTGGAGGTGGCGAGGGTTTCGTGGGAGGCTGGAAGAGATTGGTTCAAGAAGCTGGGGGAAAACCTAGTTGGGTGATGATAGTATGTTAAACAGTCTTCCTGAGAGATACAATTGTATGCTGCCGATCTTCCACTGAGATGAAAACTCTGGGATTGCGGCCGAGGATGACCTAGATTACCCAGGCTATACTGTCCTATTGGTGCATGATATAACTAGGATTGTAGTTTTGGAGTCATGCATGTTTTCATTGTCATGCTTTCATGCATGGCGTGCGAATCCTGCCGCTTACTCTGTCGTCCTACCATGCATGGTGTGCGCATCCTGCCGCTTACCACTGTCGTGCATGGCCTGCTACCATACATGGTATGTTTTCATTGTTGTCCTAGTATCATGCATGACGTGATGCGCACACTGTGCAGCCTGCCGCTTATTGTCGTCCTATCATGCATGGCGTGCGCATCCTGCCGCTTACCAGTGTCATGCATGGCCTGCTACCATACATGGTATGTTTTCATTGTCGTCCTAGTATCATGCATGGTGTGATGCGCACTCTGTGCAGCCTGCCACTTATTGTCCTACAGCTACCATACACGGTATGTGCATCAGAGAATTGATGAGTCCGTGATATGGTTGCTGTGAGAAATATAGTGTGAAATAATTTTGCTACCGCTGAATATACCTATGTATACGGCAAGAAATATTAGTGATCAGTACATAGCCATAGATGTCTGAGAATTGATTTTACCATCAGGAGTTCGCGACAAGACAACGACATTGCGCCATCGCAGCGAATAATGTGCAATAGCATCATTAAGTCATACTTGTTGACTCCTACCATATCCCTTCATTTATATTTTAAACTACAAAGTAATATAAGACTTTATCGTGGAAAAGACCATTAGCACTTGTAACCTAATGCAGATTCCTATGAGAATTTCCGACAACGTCATGAATTTGCGCCATCGCGGCCGGCAAGGTATGATAGTGTAATAAGGTACCACTCGTTGAGCAACCTCATGTTCTCTTATTTATGCGGGATTAACAAGGCTATATAATGGGGGTTCAAATATTGCTTGAATTACAAAGTTATCCAAGATCGTGCACGTGACCGTTAGTGTACCTGAGCTCACGGCCAAATACATTGTACATTCATTCATGTTGAGACCCCTCGTAGTCACTACAGCGAGTCTGAGCAACATTTGTTCTGTTCTGTATCGTATGGTGAATGTCCGGGAGATTCAGAATCAGCAAGATAAATATTGCAAGGAAACTGAACAGGTCTACTAGTAGCTGCGCAAAGAAAGATGAATTGTCCCCACTTTTCCGACGCCTTGTCATCCATCTCCATCAGTGTCTGCAAAATCATGCTCGTAATCTCCCCATTTCCGCTGTCCATGAACACGAATCCCAGAGCGAGAATGCTGAGGGAATCGACACGCTGTCGTCCGCGACCGCAGGAAATACCGGACGCATTCACAAATGTGCCTGCAAAGTTAGCGCGAGCCGAGTCGACTTTGGCGGGCAGCCCTGATCCTGAACGTAATTAAGAAAGGAAGAGCTTCAAAAAGCAGAACGCACTTGTGGTCTCCAGATGACTCTTGTAGACGTCCCCAAGGCTCTTCGGATCTGCAACGCTCACCTCTTTGCTCCTGTTGAAGAACGGAAATAGAGTGGTCGCAACTCTTCGCCGCATAGAAGCCCTGTCCGATCTCGCCGAATTGTATACTCCTTCCCAGCTGCTGATCGTTCAGACGGATGTCGTAAAGAGCTCGGAGGTGGCTGCTGCATTCGCAAAAGCCAAAGAGGCGTTCGGACGTGTCGATGTTGTTTTCAATAATGCCGGTAAGGCTATGATCATCGGGGAGATGGAGTCCACGAGCGACGACGAGATCTTCGAGGTGAACTTTTGGAATCAAATGTCACAAGGGAGGCGATTCGGATGTTCAGGGAAGTGAACAAACCGATCGGGGGAAGACTATTGCAGGTTTCTTCGGCACTGGGCTTGTTTGGAGGAGCTGCAGATGGTAATCTCCATAAGACTGTCTTTCTGGATCTCAGTCAACTGCAAGATTCTCCTCGTCCCATTGCAGGCTGCTACACTCAAGGAGATCAACAAAGACATAGGTTAGCATCTGCACGGAGGCTTACTGCGTTTGTGACCCTAGTCGTCCTGCGCTTCGTGTGCTTGCGCGAGAAAAAGAATGTTCCCGCAAATCGCGTTTTTATTTTCGTCCTTTCAGCTACAGTGAACGCAACAGCAGACTTTCCGAGGCCTGCGGTGCCATGCAGCCAAATGAGTTGATTCTTCTCTTTCGTGTCCAATAATTCGTAGATGTGAGTGAGAACGGCTACGCGGGTCCCTTTCAAACATTTGGGATGGGGCCGGCGTTCACGAGAGTCATGTTCGGCACCCTTGACAGCGACCTGGGACAATTTCTCCCAGGTTCCTTCGGACATATCCAAGAGCTGTTGATGGGTTCAGAGAACGAAAGTGGGGATAAGAGACAGATATACTGACATTGACTCCTTAACAAGGGTTGATGGTAGATCGTGATACAGAATGTGAGATGGAATGGAGTAACTCCGACTACAAGAAGTACTAGTCAAGTACAGCAGTGCGGTCAGAAATAGTGGGGGCAACAATTACTGCGTGCCTTACGATGATACTGATCCAAGAATCAAAGCTGAGCTGTAACTTCAATCTTTTGAGGACGTGTGCTGGGATTGTGAAACGATGTTGTGGCTGTTGTCTATCCAAAGGAGATGATAAGTTGTGATGAGCTGCGCGGTGAAACAACCAGACTCTACCACTTACTGTGGAGTGGTAAAAATTGCAAGGTAAGGAGCTGCCAGAGACCGAATGGATGGATGTTGGTTCTAGCACTGCGGAAAGCTCAGTGGATGATGGTGGAATGAGTTGAAGGACGACTGAGCGCCCGCACACAGGAGGGCACGAGGCTGCTGCTGGCAGCCCAGACAAACAGCCGGAGGCCTGGAACAGAACCGTTGGCGTATCGTGATCAACCAGACTGGAGAGAAAGAGCAGTTTGTTAATTCCAAATTCGAGTGTGATCATGATCCAAGCCATTAACTTACCTGAAGGTATGAGGTCACAAAGGACTTACAATGCACACTCAACTGAATTCATTCTGGGCACCGGTCAACTCGTCGAGGGCAGTTTTCGTCGTGCATGGACGTTACGGTTGCGGCGCTGCGTTCTTGAGGATGCCCTTTGGCTTGGGATTGGAGGCTGATCGGGGCAAGCGAGATGGTTGAGCTGGATCCTGGATGATCTCAACGGAAGACATGATGACTCTTTGTCGTTGCTGTCAGTACTTGGTTAAGATGCGGCTGTAGCAGATGGGGGATGCACCAGAGCCAGCTGCAAGTCATGTTGAACTTCCCCTTCTTTCAAGTTGAGGAGCATACCATATCGGGCATGTTATACCTTTCCTGGCCAAGCGTCATGCAAAGCGATGCACAAGATGTCCAGATTGTAAGTACTCTACAAATGATATCGATCCAACAGATATGCCACCCAAAATCTACGAATTCAGGTCGACAATCGCGCTCACAAGTCTCTCTCCAGCCCTCTCAGGTTCCTGCCTCGCCATCTCGATGATACTCAAAAGCTTCTTGATGCCAACTTGCAAATGCAAGGCCACTTCCTCCTCCGCGTTGAGGTCAGCAGCAAACCCTGCATCTGAAAGCATGCGCATTGCTTGCCGGAGCTCGTTTTCCGAAGAGAAAAGCTGCACTTCGCGTACGACTCGTTCGAGTGACGAAAGGTTGGAAATTGGAGGTACGCGCAACTCAGAATCGAAAATATCGGACAGGCCAAGCTCTGTCAGAAGGGGGCGCAGGGAGGTTGTTGCTATCACGAGTAGACGTTTTTCCTGTGGATATGCGATCAGCCAAACTCGACTGCTGTATATCTGACGGAATGCTAACCTTGGGTGGTTTACGAGCCATAAGGATAAGAAGGGTCTGCAGAACAGGATTTGAGAACCTGCTGCCAAGTGACGTCCAGTCTGCGAGTGAAGGTCAGCGTAATGGCTATGGTCGTGTTGGCGATCCCACCTAGTAATCGCTCCAGGTTGTCAACCACAATGACACTCAGTGGACTCTTATAACTATCGGTAAATGTTCTGGTAATGAACTGTATTTTCTGGGCTTCCGAGAATCCAACCATGCGATCAGGTGAAATGAGTTTGATGAACGGAAATTTGGACGCCCAAGCAATGGATGCAGCCAGCACAGTTTTTCCTGACGAAGGGGGTCCGTGGAGTAGTATACTGACACGCGGTGTCCGTGTCGACCTGGCGACCTGGTTAACGAATAGCTTGCCCTTATCGAGGATTTCCTGCAAAAACATCAGCACGACGGAGAGAGGAGGAGCGTGCAACATACCTCAACAATTGGGTCATGATGAATGATCCCATTCGCAATAACATCCGTCAGCTCTTCTTCTGACACTCCATATACTGGCTTGATTTCCTCAAGTGCCTTAAAGAAATCACCACGATTGACTCTAAGCTTGTCGACGTCCTCCCAAATGCCTGCCATGGTGCCGATCTTGACATGGCGATTGAAGGCAAAACTGGTGGCACTCTTCACGAAGCCCTCAATCTCCGCACCTGAATAATTCTTCATCAAGGTAGCGAGTTCGGCCAGGTCAACATCCGTGTCCATCACATTGTTCGTCCGCATCTTAGTCGTGTGGATGCGCAGGATCTGGAACCGTCCGTGCTCATCTGGCAGGGAGATTTCTTTATGTACTTCAAGACGCCCAGGGCGCAGCAAAGCCTCGTCAATCATATCGATACGGTTTGTCATGCCGAAGGCGGGTGTGTTGTTCAGTTGGTCAAATCTGAGAGGAGTAAGCAATCGAGCTAGGAAGGGAATGTAGTGTATTACCTTCGACAAAAGCTGGTTGACCACGTGACTGTCACCGACACCTGTTCCACTGTTCGTAGAACCACGCTGTTTGAAGATAGCATCTAGTTCGTCGAAAATGATAATGTGAAGACCACTCTCGTCTCCCTTTTCCTTGTACTGCTCATTGTTTCAGCACAATTGCGCAGGTAGGGACGGAAGCTGCGACCAACCTCTTTCTCAGCATCCGCAGAAAGCTTGCGGACATTCTCTTCTGATGCACCAACGTACTTGTTCAGAATTTCAGAACCATTAACAATTTTGGGCTCCTGAGCATTCAGCATTTGGCCAATTTGACGAGCTATGAGGGTTTTACCGGTTCCCGGTGGACCATGGAGAAGGATACCTGTTATGAGTCGCATTAGGCATTTGTCATGTCTCTCAATTTAATACTTACCCTTCACATGTTGAATTCCGAGCTTCTCGACAAGTGCTGGAGGAAATACGCGTGATGCAAACGCGCGACGGAAGATAGCGCCGAACTCCTCGTCAAGACCACCAATACCCATCTCTTCAAACTTGAAGTTAGGTGCGATGATAACATTCGACGCAGCCCTGGACATGGACAGTAAGTGGAGCCCTAGCCCGAGGTTGCAAAACTCACTTCTTCGCGCTTGATTTAATCTTGATCATACTATCACTGGCCTTCATGATAGTGACGTCGGTTCTGTCCATCACGACACCCATCTCCAAATGTGGCTGTTTTCCGAAACGTGCGCTGTTCTGCTGATCTGGGAGGTCCACCACGCTCATAGAGGCAACAATCACCTTGAGCTTCTCTCCCTTGAAGTCGAAGGTGATGATCTCGCCCGGCGCGAAGACGACACCATTGAAGGTCTTGATGAAGTTGCGTGAAATGTCATCTGCAGAGTGCGGCTCTTGGTTTTGGTTTTCAACGCCCTTTCGTAGAAAGCCAACTCGAATATCGATGGATTGGAGAAAGGGGGGTGCCTGGATCGTGTCGATGGTGACTTCGTCGCCTGACAGAGATACGCCTATCCATTGGCGCTGCGTAAGTCCGATGGCGACTGTGCCCGGTCTGATTGTCCCGGAATTGTCATGGCTAGATCACGGTTAAAATGACTTGAATCAGGGAGAGGAAGCTGTACTGACCATATTGTCATGGGGTATTCCCTTTGGACAGAGTCACGATCTACCCTGCGTACGACAACCTGCGCATTATTCGCAAAGTCCGAAGGGTAAACAACCAAGCAATTCCTGAGAGCAAGTCCCTCGTTTGGCATAGTGACCACTGCGTAGCTGTAAGTGTAGTCGGTATGAGTAAGCACGGAGGGGAATGTGGACATACCTCGCCAGAAACTTAAAATCCAGCTCCCCGAAGACCGCATATTGAGTATTTCCCATCGAAGCGTCTACAGGGGGTGATTTTTTGGACAATATGAACCGCCGGTAAAGCGTACCTTTGTCAAATGCCCATGATCCATCTGCGCTTCCCACAGATCCTACGCTTGAACCAGCACTTGACATTGTGCACTGCGCGTTAGTCGCGTCTTCTCCGAGATAGAATTTCAGCTCTAGATTCTCCATCACTTTTATCAAGCGGGAGGTCAGCGTGAGTGCAAATGTTCCTGCACGGTGTCAGTGTTATATCGTAAGAAACGTCAGTGATCAACTTTACCGCCAAACTCTCCCATGTCCATATTCGCTTTGAGGGAAAGTGGTATGGGCACGTTGCTGATGAGCGCGCTTTGTAGTGGTCTATACTGATAGTCTGCAAGAATGAACCGGCCCTCAGGAGGTACAAAAGATAAGGCATTGTCGCGTGTCCATTTCTGTAACCTGATGTCAAGTCGAGAATCACCGTTCAGAGATGACGTCACGCAGATGATATATTCGCAAGACCACTCACCGCACACATGGATGAAACGCGCACTCTGTCATCACATTTGCATTCGTGAATGTCAATGTCCGGTCGGGTGTCCCGGAAAGTTTCGCATTGCTCTCAATTTTACCAAACACGTTGCTCACTAACGTTGTGCTATTTGAACGGTTTTAATGGGAAAGACGGGCTGATGTGAACTTCTAACGTACTTGCCGACTATGCCTCGCATTTCTTCGACAACGTCAAAAAGGATCTCATTGTGATTATGTCGAGCCCCAGCTTTACACCATGGTATCGGCGATGAAAAAGCTCCACTGGCACCATTTGACCCAAAAGAACCTGTATTACCGAGATGATGTTACTTCAAGCATTGCCAATCAAATAGATGACTAGCCTCCTTGTCTCGCGCTTGGAACTCCTGGAGTAGCTGGTGATACCGAAGCGAGAAGCTTCGAGATTAAGGAAGGCGAGAGTACTATATCGCTCAACACGTTCGGTGAGGTTGTCAGTGGATGTCCAGATGAATCGAGCGTTTCCTCAAGAAGCTGCGAGCCCAAGACACGTATTCAATATGATTTAACAGCAAGTAGTGGAGAGCGTCTACGAACTTGGTATACAATGTCAAAGTTGTCCTTGAGAGTTGCTACGCTGACTATGCCGAAGTAGTCGCGGAGTATTTCAATGAAGACGTGGAGAAAGGCGAACGCGATGAGGGGATCCACTGCTCGAGTCTGTCAGTCACCGCCAGAGAAAAGTTCGCGACCGAGCTGATTGTCGCATGACCACTCACCATCTCCACTGATGGTCGCAATGAATCTCATCTCGCCAACCTCGACATGGCAGCACGCACTGGAACACGATAGCTCCCCAACGTATATAACTGGGTCTACGCTCACCGTACCCGTACCCGTGCGTTTCCCTAAAGGGGCGTTGCTGCTGATTTAAACGGTAGCAGAAATGAAGAAGAAGAAGCTGGGCTGAGGGGGGATGTCAAAAACGAAACCGCCACACGAAGATCGAAACGTACGAGATGTGTAGGGTTGAGAGCGTCTTGACAAAGTGCCTGCAGGGTTCACGCTTGGTTTCTGTCGTCTTGAGGTCCCCCGGACATTGTCACCCCGAAGACGAGGTCGCGCATATGGGATTAGTAAGCTTTCCGCTTTGGGGTTCGTGCAATGATGACCAAGTAGTTTTTTCAGCGTGAACGGTGAGCGACAAAAGGAGGAATGTACAGGCGGACGGACTCGGACTCGGACTCAGACTCGGACGATATCATTGTTAGTGCCACAATGTTTATGAATGTTGGTACCTTCGGTAGGGATGAGAATTACCTTCCAAAACAAAATATGTTAGGAAAGCCTGAGCGGCTGTGTGATCCAGTGCGATATCAGATCTACAGTCATCCAATATCATCAGTATTAACATCGATTCTTCCCTATACTTGCTCAACCAATGGCCCCCCAGGAACCAGTAAGTGATGCTGCTTGCCGTGTTGATTGGTTGACGCTGAGAATTGCTCGTAGGTGTTAGTGTGCTACATCAAAAACAAACAACCAGTAGTGCAGCAAGTCTGTTGTGGGCGAAGGCCGATGCGGAAAGGTGCGGCGACTCAGCCAGAGGTGCCAGTAGAACAGGCGGAGGCTCCTATGGGGTTATGGAGTAGGTTGAGGAACTGGATCAGGCGCAGAACTGGCCGTGTCACTGAGGCTAGCATTCTGTAAACGCAAGGTGAGTAGCATGACACGTCTGTCACCAGAGGCCATGGAGATCTGCTAATGGCAACAATAGCTACACGACAATTGTCTCGTACCGATCAGCCACAAAGATTCTGGAGTATAGTAATTTGCAAGGAGATGTGAGGCGAGACACGTCCTCAAACGCCTATCGATCAACGAGACAAAGCACGATTGGAGTAATCAAGTGCTTCCTTGGATCATATGTATTTGTTAACGTCTGCATAATCACGGGGTTCCTGCATGAGAAGAGATGTCCGTCGTTGGAAACGTATCCTAAACTGACTTGGGCATTGTTAGGATCCATCGGCGGATGAATCAAAAGCAAAGTGCAGCAGGATGGCTGAGCAGCATTTCCAGCTGCGGGCCTGGCAAAATGGTCAATGGCCAATGAAACAAGCACAAAATGAATCATACCGCTACAGATCAAGCCACTAACAAGCGCAGGAAATCAATGGTGTTATCACACTTTGAACATTCAAAACGCACCACTTGGCGAAATTTGCTTGCTCCTCCAGAGGTCTTTGAAGCCTGCGGACTATGTGAGCCCAAGAGTATACCGGCGCGACAGTAGTCGACCTGGATATAGCGGCCCAATGCCTGACAGACAAGGTTCATCATCGGTGCGCCCTCATCATTTGAAAAAAAGTGACGGCCATCGACCTCGAGACCCATATCATCCGGGCCATCGACTGCCCATCGTGAGGAAGACATGGATCCGTGTCGCGTACCATCGGACCCACTGAGCACCTTGAACTCATCGTGTTGAAAGCACGTGATGGCGCCCGTATGGGCCGGAAGGGTGTGGCACAGTTCTCCAGATTCAGGATCCCATATGCGCATGGTAGAGTCGGCGGCGGCGGAGACGAGATAGGAAGGGGAGAGGCCAAGTAGACCAGTGTTCACCGGAGCGCTTACGTAACCATCTGATAGACTACTCAAACTCCTGAAAAAGGAAATCGATGTTCTCAAGTTTCTGCCTCGTCGTAGATATCAGCCTGACAGCATCTGAACGTCAAAAACCAGAACACTTACAGTATGGCCTGGAAAAGGAAAGTGCGGTAAGTGATTCATCACCCGATTATGCGTGTTGACTTCTGAGTCGATGACCAGCGCCTCAGTGGTTTGGATCGAGATAGATGCGGAGAGGAGGGGGGCGGAGAGAAGGGCGATAGAGAGAAGGGCGATAGGCGAGGAACAGGAAGAGGTCAGAGATCGTCAAAAGACCCACGCAAGAGGCTAGAAGTGCCGGAATCGTGTCAAAGTGCGGGCGTTGGTTGTTAAAAACGTTGGGGTTGTTGAAAACGCGATCGGAATAATGGTAAGTGTTTTGTGATTAGTAGTCGATTAAGATTGACCTATGCAGGACGTACATCAACCTGCTCGATCTCCGCGGTGAAGTCACGCCCGCCAACAGTGAGATCGAGAGGTGTGGCGCGTTCGAGAGGTATGGTGATTTCGGGAGGGAAGTGTGATAGCATTGTCCAAAAGCTAGAATAGAAAAATGTTCTCCGCCGTCGTTGAGCCCGCTGCCAGTTCCGAACGTCCAGCCCAGCCTCTTTGGCGCCCGGAGTTGTTGCTTTGACACTCCTCGCCAGGACAAAGTCGCAAACTTTTAGGTCACAGTTAGCATTGAGCAACAGGTTCGCCGGTTTCAAATCTCGGCGCTATGTATATATTTGAGGCCACAGAGAGTCTTATAAATAAAGTACTGAAGAGCAATAATCAGAACGCATGAGGGTTCAGATAAGTTGCCAGAGCTCACCTGGCAATGATCTTCAGTAAGATGTTGCGTCCGTATGACACGGTGTAGATCGATCTGCATAAATTCATGTATGACTTTCTGGGGTTCAGCTGTACCGGGTGGATGGATTGAATAAACTCACGGTACACTTCCTTGAATTCTTCGAGTAACGGTGGCTTCGTTATATCCAATATAGATATGATCTGAAATTATCAATCGATGATATGTCCCCGATTGACGAACGGAGAACTGACGAACATTCTCATTGACACAGGTCTCCGAAAAGAATTCAGGAACTTGAGCTCTCGCAATGATCAAAGGCAGAATCTTTTTAATGGCTACCTGTAAACCAGTGGGTTTATGTGATGCAGCTACCACTGGTTCATACGCTCCTTCACCCAGACAGTGCAAAATCTCGTATTTGGGACCTTGAAACCTCACTTAGCGCAATGCATCTACAAGACCATGAGTCATTGGGTACTCACCGACTTCAAACCGAGGAAGAGGCCTTGCCACTTTCACTTATTGTACAGGCGCTGCGACCATTTTGATGAGAAACCGGATCTAGTGATTGAGGCTGTCAGATATTTTGTAAAAGTCGCCTAGACAGAAAAATTGTCACTTTGTAGATAAACTACCCCTTCTTCGTTCATCAAACGCACACGCTCGATGCGTTTCTCCCAGGCCCGGAGAGTGATGGAATCCTCTGACTTGTTAAACGACAAGCACCTCTTCAGAGCAAGTAAGGCTTCATCAAGGGCGGTATTATTAATGTCATAGATGAGATAGCAAGGCTCCGAAAAGCTGGCCAGACCTCGAAGCACCTTAGCAAAAAGAACAAGAGGAGAAATGTAGAATACCCCCAAGTTTTCGTGGGCCAATTTCTCCCTAGAATCTTTTGGAAACGTCAGTGAGATTCTGGAAAGAGACTACTGTTGCGCTGGTCTCGAATATCTTGTGATGGATTCGATTTTCTCCATCGTACAACGAGGGTCCAATGCGGGATGGTTGCGTTTTAGACCGTGAAGATCCAGCAACCGGAATATCCTGGGAATTGGTAAGTATTTGACCGGTTAGGAAAAAAAATCGGCTACAACCAAGGGTTAGTTCCTTCGCCTTGAACCCCCCGTCTGAGCGTTCATCCAAGAAGCATCGAACAGCCGCGGAAGCTGTACAGAACAAGGTCTTGAGATCTGTGAGGTACTCTAAGTACCCGAGTTCTACGATGGTGTTAACAACATCTAAGACCACCTCTTCAGAGCAAGTAAGGCTTCATCAAGGGCGGTATTCTTAATGTCATAGATGAGATAGCAAGGCTCCGAAAAGTTGGCCAGACCTCGAAGCACCTTAGCAAAAAGAACAAGAGGAGAAATATAGAATTCCCCCAAGCCGGAGGAAGACCTCCTAGCGCGCCTGTTGTTCTCGATGATATCTATACCATCGCCGTCACCTTCGACGTCCTTTGCCGAGGAAGGCGACGTGAACACCGCTTTGTAACCCTGGAAAAGCTGGTGAGACCAACATCGAGCTAGGCGACTGGTCCAACAGACCTGAATAAGGAGTTTGCCCTTAAAAAGGCCCTCTTCCAAATCGTCGGGGTTGGCAGTGTACCCCTCATACAGGTATGCCGGGAAGGAAAGATCTGTCACGATGTGACCCTCTGCGCGATCTTGAATTGCTGCCTTCACCCTAGCAAACAGTGAGTATTTATTTTCTCGGGATTCTGAGCATACTACTCACACTGGATTTTTCCAATCGAGCTCGGCTGGGCAGAGCAGCATGCCGCACACATCGTTGGTGAATCCACGGGAATGCTTATCATCGGAGTCGACAGTTTTCGTGGGCCAATTTCTCCCCAGAATCTTTTGGAAACGTCAGTGAGATTCTGGAAAGAGACTACTGTTGCGCGGTCTCGAATATCTTGTGATGGATTCGATTTTCTCCATCGTACAACGAGGGTCCAATGCGGGATGGTTGCGTTTTAGACCGTGAAGATCCAGCAACCGGAATATCCTGGGAATTGGTTAGTATTTGACCGTTAGGGAAAAAATCGGGGTATAGCATTACCATCGCCATCGCCTTCGACGCCCTTTGCTAATGAACATCATGATGACTCGGACTCACGTCCAAGTCATTCACAGCTTATCACAACCCTGCAGGAGCCGGTGAGATCAAGGTTGGGCTACTCCGGTAGGAAAAAGCTGACCAATAAAATTCCTCCCGGTCATCATCACGATTATGACAGAGGACATAGTACTCAGTACTGTGTCGTTCCAATCCGAGCATGAGACTGCGGCAGCAGTGCGTGCATGGGCCGCACATTCAAGTCGATGCTTTCCCATGATGATGGTGTGTGCGGCTCCATGGGACGATTCTTGACTCGAAGTAGCGATATCGACCGGCTTCTGTCAGTGGGATGGCCTTGCTCGCACTGTGTAAGGCCAATCGTATCAGTTTTTATGATTCCACGCAACCAACGGCAGATCGATAACAAACGGTGCAAACAACGTAATACATTCGCAAACGAAAATGTTGAACCGTTGCCAAGCTGCTGGTTGGTAAGCCTTTTTGGCCTGCAGAACTCACTTTTGCTTTTCCCGGGCCAACAGCCGCCTTTTGCTTATGAAGGCAAATTTTTTTTACTCTCACCGGGGTTCTAACAGTCACTGGCATGGTATCGAAAAGCCTGTCTTGAGGTGAAGGCTCCTCGGAGAACCCACCTAGTCACAGTCACCTTGCGTGGTAGCCCGGTCCTATTGTGGCAGTTCTAATCCACTGGCATGCTCGGGATTGAGGCCCCTCTAGTACAGCAGGAACTTCCATGTCAGGCTCTCATCAGAGAACTCGTGAGTCTCCGAGTCCCCAGCGTGCTTTACGTTGATTGCGGGGGTTCATATATGACAATATCTGCGGCTCACCAATCCTCTGATGCCTGGTGGCATCATTTCGTGGTTAGTTGGAACTTAGATAGCGCATGTGGCCCATGATTCCTCCTACAATGTACCCATATAAAATGATCCTTCATTCTACCAAACTTGTACTAGATATCACAATGATAACGATAGCACGGACTCATTAGTTCTCTGATGATCAGATTGGAGGGGAGTTTCAGAAAGAAACATCATCAAACTCATCATCCTCATCTTCCAAACCGTCATCCTCGCCAATGTCCTCGTCCAGTTCTTCGCCGTAAATTTCATCGTGGTCTCCACAGCCCTCATCATCATCGTCATCCTGACCATTATTGCCTTCATCATAAGCATGATCATCACCGACCTCATCTTGCTCTACATCCTCCACGTCTCCGTCGTCTATATTGTCGGCCTGTCTCACTGAATCAGAGCTGAGACAATCTCGGGTAATCTTCCGCAGCATGGGTGAATGTCCGATGCCAAAGTAAGTATAACGCATGAACATATCTCTATCGACAAATCTGGGCCAAACACGTAAGCGTTCAAGTCAATGCGCCTGAGGAAGTGATATTCAGACTTACATGCCGACATAATGTTCTTCCCAGTCATCTAATTGCCCATCAGGACGTGCTAGCGATTTTCCGTGGCGAAGGGAGCTTACGCCACGTTTGGAGGCAAACGCAGGAATCAAATGTGTTCCTCGAATCACCTGCCCTGGATCAAGAAACCCGAATGCATCTGGGTCTGACTCCTCCACAAATGCTAGCTTTGGAAGACGGGTATAGTTCATGCCAGATTTATAGTTCTGCAAGGCCGCCAGCCATCTTACCCAAAGAACCTCCAGGTGGTGTTTCACGGGTTGACCGCCATCATGATTCTGGAGCCACACCTCCATGTGAAATATACCCAATACACGGGCATACCAATATGGGTGGCTTGGTGTTGTCTCCCCCGAGAGTACCATTACATCCCCGTGAGTTCTGGGGTTGACGGTATCGTATTCGCGCCGCAAGTCGTATGTCGTATAATGTACTTGCATTGTCTTGACCGAGTAGATGGTGTTGTTCGGAATAATGACGGAGTTGCGTTCCTCGTCCGTGAAGGTGTGGTCGCAATAGCTAATATCTAGCTTCCGCAACCTATAGAGGACATGGTCCCTCAGCTTTGGTACAAAATTCTGATAGTGACAGTGAGTAACGTGAAGGGTGCGTCCAAAACATAAAGTTACTTCTACCTTAATAGCTGGATCACCGTCATGTTCTTGGAGAAATGCGAAAATGTTTACTGGGTTGCTCCGAGTAGGTGCAATATAGTGATGCATTTCAGTCGATGGGGGAGCGTTGGCAGGTGATCGACTACTAGGGGAAGATACACCTTCTTCTGCTACCCGCCGTAGTACACGACGCCTACGCTCGTGCTTGGCTAACTGCGCTGGGGTATCTAACTTGTTTGTCAGCGGATAAAATGCTTTCAGGGCTCTATGAGCAAGCTCTCCCTGACAGAATTAGCTTCTTAGATACAGCATGAAAGGAGATGAATGGGCACACACGATTTGAGTAGTGTATGAATCTGTAGTCCCGAAGAACCTGATGGTCCTCACGTAGTCTCCCCATTGCGTGGAATTTATAGGTGCCCAGATGGAATTTCTTCGTCCTCGGCCCATTTGCCAGTGATTCTGGAGAGGTACCGTTTGTTCCAGAGCGTTGAGCGCTCTTTCGTTGGCGAGCGTCTTTCTCTTTGGGTAATTCCACAGAATTGAAGGCAGCGCAGGTGTGACGTTGAAACTTGCGCAACTTCTGAGACAGCTTCTTGAACGATTCTTCGAGAAAATTAAGAGTAGATTCCGAATGAATCCTGAGCTTCGCGAGTGCATGCCATTGTGCGAATTGATACAACAGTGACTGCACGACTACATCATGGTTGCCGGGGAAGAGCCCTTCGAAGACCGGAATGGCACACTGACAATACAAGGCTGTCAGTAGGCCAAATGCAGATAACGGGCAAGCGCAATGAAACCTGTAAAATGTCCTTGAAGTCGCGCGCCGCCAATCGTTTCATCTCTGACGTATTGTTTGAAAACTTGCGGATGACGCCGTTACCGAAGGTCGGGACCTGTCGAAACCTACAAAAAAAGTCGAATGTTGATGACCTGTTAGTGTGCAACAGTATCCCGTACGAGCTATACATACCTGCTGTCGAGGATCGCGACAATCTCACTACCCTGAGGAAGGGCATAGAGCAGCCTTATAAGGTGCGTGAACAGTCCCTTCCAGGTGCCCAGCTCGCATTCGTGCATGAAATCGACGACAAGCATGCGGAATGGGTCGAGGCCGAGCGGTGCAAGCTTCTGGAAAAATCGATTCTGCGAGTAGACATGTGAGCTGAGCATAAAATGATAAGAGACAGTTTTCTTGCCAGGGTGGGTACCCATGAGCCCTCTCCAAGAGTATTGTTGATTTTGGCGCCGTCTACAGTATTTCCCGATGTGTAGATAAAATCACGGGCCTGAATAACATTCGTCATAACATACACCCGAAGGTTCGTTATACAGTCTTTTCATGTCCCTCGCGAGACCAAGAAAACTGAACAAGCTCTTGGGTGTCAGACACCGAGGGCACGGACACAAGCCCATATCCTTGATAGTTGCGATTAAAACCCTGTGAATTGATGAGAGGTTCAACATATTTCTTGAGATGGCCCGCTGAGCAACGCACTTTTCAGGATAATCGGTGGAATATGTGAAGATTCGGGGAAAGACCCTTCGCATCACACCGTCAGGACATCTCAGAACGATACCGTGCCGATATGCAGCAACAAAGTCTTCGTCTAACAATATTTCCCAGCAAGAATGAAATAACTCCCGGCGGCAATGAGCATGAAGGGACGCCATTCCCGTTTTCGAGATGCGAGACAATTTACTCAAAATATCTTTAACACGGTCGGGAAGCTGATGTTGTCAACAGCAGACAGGCATACTATATTCAGGAAGACTCACCGACGGCAAAAACCCTACCAGGTGGCATGCTCCCGACTGCGGCGATGATCGTGCATATTTGGTTAAATTCCCGAAATACAGGTAGAGGGGCCAGGCTTTAGCAGTCCCAAAGTTTGCTAGGTGTGTAGCATCGGAAAAAAACATCAGACTCGCGATGACACGTTCCAGTGAACAGCCGGGTTCCTTTGGCAGCCTCTGAATACTGTCTTGAGCTTCCAGCCAGGCATCAGAAGTGTAAAGCTCGTCATAAACACGTTCTTGATGGCCGTCCAAAGGATCCTTCCATAACCGTTGGAAAGGAAAGAGATGGAATGCCTGTGCTTGTGCATCTGAAAATGCCGCGCGTATGACTTCAACGAGAGGACGGAAATGGAATCCAGAAATTGTATAACGCTGGGGGCCATCCTCCCTTGACTTCGTCGGAATACCGATGGTAACGTCGGTCTGAACCCAATCATCTGGAAAAACAACTCTTTTTCCGCTCTCATCCATGTCTAGTTCTCGCAGGCTTCGCCTCACCGAGAAGTTCTCAAGGTGTTTTGGGTCGAAATCCTCCGCTAACATAACATCTCTAACCAGATGCGAAACTTTGCTTTCGGACACCATAGTGCTACCGGAATTCATCCAGGAAAGAAGGCGATAGATAGTCATGTTGGGAAATGGGTAAGGCGGGGCAAAGACCTTTGGAGAATCTGAGTCAGCCCCTGGAGTTGTCGGCGCCGTTCTTGCAAGTAGCGAGGATGAAATGAAATGATCCGGCTCAAAGGAAGGACGACGAGGGTAGAGCCGACAGAGTCCAAATGAGTTGAGGGTAGTCTGCAGGGTGTCTCTTAATGTTAGAAGAACACGTCGAATTCTGGATTGAGCAGGCACTAGTGAAGCCGTTTGGGCTGATGGGATGTCAGCCCTATTGGAATGATTAAGATCGTCGCGTGAAGGTTCGCTATTATCGAGACGTCCCGGAATTCGTTCCATTGGGAGTACGGTTTCCCCTGGAAGGTGCGAGTGTTTATAAACACAAAGTTAGAAGACAGAGGAGACACGAACCTGAATCACGATGGTCCAACTCCGAGTCAATCGTCACTCCAGAAATGTTTCTCATCTCAACATCATGATTCTGACTGATTTGTTGCTGCTCGGAGTCGAAGGGGTGCCGCAAGTCTGTGAGACTGGACTCGGACTCGGCACTAGATAACCCAAGAGCCACAGAAATTGGCCTGCAAGGGGCAAATGGTACCAGCCTCGGACGGTCCCTCACATGTCGGATGGCTGAAATTCTCTGAGATATGTCAACAACGTCAAGTTCAGTAGCTGAAAGTTCGATTCCGAAGCAAGAATTACTCACCGATGTGCTTGCGGAAGGGTTTGGAACAAAGTTTGAAACAACCGCCTCCCTCGCGCGATCGTGTCTCCTCCGATTTGCAAGACTGCTGGCCCTCTTATATAACTGACAGCTTGAGCGATGCCTATTCAGTCCTCGATTGTCTGTTGTCCTCTCCCAGTGGCAACCCGGAGCATCACAAGACACCATCATAAGAAACACAACAATAAGACCCGCCCAAAGCGTTGCAAAAAAGTGCATGACACTTTCAACACGATGGTGGTTTCAAACTTTCAGACAAAGTTGACTCCGGGTCACCCGCTCGGGAAATGCCGAACATGAGGGGGGGGGGGGGGTCCCCAGAGGTCCTTATGAGTACCTCTTGCTCCGGGTAACTTATTAAATAGCGACTGACTCAAGTTTAAAAGGCGGAAGTTTGATAACCATCTCAAATTTGACAGTCCAGTGTTGTACGATTGTCTAGTAACGAATACGTATACATATCAAGAAATACCAGTACGGCCGCTAGGGCAGATCGGAATGTAATGTGTACACTGTACAAGCATCCAATTTATCCCACCTGGACGAAACTTTCAACATACAATCATGGCAATCTTTGGAAATATGTAAGTGACACGGGAAAAACCATGATACTTGAAGCAGAACGTACTAGTTATCCGCAAAGCATTTCTCCTCCATAAGACTACCATGATGCTTCGCCAGGGCAAGTGCACTGTCAGCCCGCCGGATACATCTCCTCTTGCTCTCGTGGGTAACAGCAAGATGTCGGCCATCTGTAGCTGCGTCACAAGGTGATGACAGGTATTTGGCAAGGATGTCCAATACCGATCGCAAATCCTGCTCGACAACACAGAAGTTGGCTTTCGATGTTTCACTCTCAAAGGCAGCCACATCTTTCCGTCTTTCGAATAGTGCGACGTCCCAGCATGAGGCAAAGTAGAGCATGCGTTCGCGTTCACGAATCGCTTCCAAGACGCGAACATTGAGGTGTAAAGAGATCGCATTAAGCCGTCCCATGTGCTTCAAGTACGTTTCCTTGACCTAGAAAGGTGGCACACATCATGAGAGCTATAATGTATGTATAAGATTAGGGCCCACCTCCTGATCGATACTTTCCGATGTAGTACCCTTATTGGTAATGTTGTCCATTAATTTATCCAAAATATGTCTGCTTTCAGACGAGCTGGCCCGGCTATGGGTAGGGAAAGCGTTGTTGTATTGGTTCTCAGGAGAATGACTTGCAGTTGGAGATTCAGCCTCAGCAGAGGTGTCAGCGATACGGCATTCGCCGTTGGATTGCTTAGAATTAGGTGTCAATGGGAACGCATCATCATCTGCATCTGAGGTAGCACTGCCCACTGTCATTTTTATATTTGAGTATATCATAGACTTGACACATCATGAATCATCATTACCTGAGGGAGAGCTTGGAGGAGAGCGTGAACGGCGACTGGAAGTGGTAGGACTATCATGTTCAAAGGCGGAATAGTGAGGTCGCCAAGGAGGTGTGGATGGCAGGAGGGCCCGGGTAGAGCATTGAACTTTTTCAGCTTGAATCTCATCATCGAGGGACATAGGAGCAAAGTGTAGCTGTGACATTATTGTTTGAAGGGTTCAAAGAATCAAGTTCGTTTTCACGGGACGTTTCGTGATCACTAAATAGGCCATCGGAGTTTAAACTAACATTCGAACGCGAGTCTCCCTTGAGCCAATCATAGCTTGTACCTCGGAAAAACAATTGTTGACGCGCGTGGCTCAGCCAGGAATGAATATTCCTGTGTGACGATGCTGCCAGAAGAAGGAACCTTAGAGAGAGCAACATGATCAAAGAACCCTGTGGAAACCTAGTACAATATCAAAACTGGTGAAATATACCTCCGGGAGGAACCTTTGTTGAAACATTGAAACCCAGCACATACCGAGACTGGAAACTGGATTGGAGAGAAGTAAACTTAGAACCATTTAAAACCCAGCACATACCAAACATGGGAACTCTAATATTGCTTCCGCGACCTGTTACTTACTCTATATGGTATGACGTGCACTCTGCCCTGCCAGGCCTCCGAGTCGTACTAGTTGGGTTGTTGGTACTAGCAGTCACAAAAAAACTATAAAGGCTCACCGGTACTAGTAAGGACCAGTCTTAACGTTTGGATCAAAACCAGCTTCGCAACCACTATGTCTGACTATGCCGATAATCAGCCCTCTTGGGTCAAGGACATGATCGCGCATATCCAATTTGATCGAGCGTCCGATGCATCTGAAAATGGTGACGACGTATCAGTGTATTGGGAACCACATTTGACATCTCTTACAGACCCTTTCACAACCCACTCACCGGCAGATACCATATGCATGCTCCATGATGATGATTTGCCCTCGGGGGAATTTTCAATCCCTCCGAGTCGACGGTCACGGTCATCTCCCACCGGAGGTCCCTCAGATACTGACTCGGATGCTCCGAGTCAATCCTCCACAGTACTAGTGCTTTATCCTGCTAGTACTAGTACTGACGGCTCGTGGCATAATTCACCGTGCGCATCCGAGTCAAGTGCTGTCACAGTTCCTACCAACCTGGCCCGGGGGGATTCGGAGATCTCTCCCGGTATTGCACCCAACGAGTCAGACTCTGATGTGGAGCTAGCTGCACTTGTGCAGCTTCCGAGTTATCAAAGAGTAAGTGCTCACTCTGATGCTTTGCTTGCAACATGCTCACGCGTGTCTTAGTTGTGTTTAGACAAGATATCAAAAAATCACAGGCCTACCGCAATGAGAACTGTGGGTGCCTACATTCGCATGCTTGATTTCGTTGTACTGATCTTGAAGTTAGAAAATTAAAGTCGGCCTCGTAGCCTGTGAAGCCCAAGCGTCTACTACTCGTCAGACATGCAAGAGGAAGATAGACGATGACGTCGACGCTAAACATGACGCTGACAAGGAGAACATATCTCTGAGTTCTACCCCGGCTATCAAGCGCATCTGCCGGGAGAAGACAGGCACTGATTGGCAGTCTGTCCTTGATATCAACAAGTACGTTGAAGAACGACTCGGATATAGGCAGAGCAAAGGCACAGTCACGCCAGTGGTGGAGGAAAATTCACGGTAGCCTGTGTAAGTTACGACCAAACTCAAATTTACCTACTAGTACTTGGTTTCCCCAAGTCAGATCATAGGCGAACGAAGATAGTCATTCCTTCGTCTACTCGTTGTATATGCAACCTTCTTTTCACAACTTCAATACGAACCATCACATTGGGATTGAACGTTCGAACCCACACCAGTATGATAAACAAGTCCAATCTCGTTCGCGTTATTAAATAGAATTTGAACGGTGCCAGAGGGATATTCCCTTCCATCGTTAAACGTGTTTGGCAGGCTATTTTAATATATATGCCTGAAGGCCGCTATGAACGTTTTCAATGACGTCCGTGACGCAGTAAGTTGGTGTTTCGCGCGCAAAAGCACCGTGACGATGCCAAAGTTTAGATGATTAATTGAATTAGTACTAGTACCGGGTTACCTCAAGTGACGAGGTACTACACGCGGCTTATTACAATTCAATTGAATGTAATAATCAGAATGTTCCGCCTTGATGCGATGCGATCTGCCTCGTCACAAATTCTATGCAACATCACCGGCCAACCACTACCTGCGAGGCGGCGATTCGAAGGTCAATTCAATTCATTATTAAATCGTGCTGGTGCTGAAAGCCAATTTAGGGATGTTTAATCTAGCGCCCATGCCTCATTGTTTCGGCTGTGCGATTTTCAATTACTAGAAGCTTTTATCACACTGATTTCCTATCACAGATTCAGTCCAAGGATTTCACGATGCGCTGCCATAAATATTACTCGAGGAATTCTTAAGGATGTTCCACCACTCAGTAGTGTGCGTCCAACACGATCATGTACCATCCAGGCTTTCAAGCTGGTTATTATGACCCGGATGGCTCTCAAATCGGTGCACAAACGCGCCAGACTCAGTACTACCCCTCTTCGGACGACCAGCGTCTGCCCGCGACAATTTATAACGGCCTTCGTACTAATATTTTTCTAGAACCCTCCGTCGTGCCGCCGCCGCCAGTGCCTGCCGCGGGCCAGAGTCTCAGTGTCCATCTAGCCACTGCTCATCCTGGCAACCTAGTAACATCATCGTCCTTTGCCGATCGCCCCCTGTTTTCAGACCCCAACTCCTTCGCTACGCGCGAACGTCGTGATGATTATCACTCATCCGTGAACCAGTCTGGTGAAGGACCGCCTGTATCATTTCCCGGTGACCCGTCATTCCATCCGAATCCATACGGCTTCTTCGAGCCGCACACCAGTCAATACGATCATCTGTTCAGCGGTCCATCCACTCACGTAGAGCCCGTACCATCACAGTCATATTATCATCCATCGCTTGCTGCGTGCTTCGAGGAAGTCTCTCACGCTGGGCCTCAGGATGTCCTCTCCGCTGATGGCATGTGTATGGTGCCTGCAGGCTTTGAGGATATACCAGCTCTCAATGAGTCGTTACCTCCCAATGGGCTACATCCCGGACAGCCATGGTCTCCTCTCAGACGTCAGGAACCTGTCAATGATACATTGTCTCTTCCGACCTGTCAGCCAGGGTCACGGAGTCGTGTCTCGAAGCCATTAGAGTTTCAATTCCACCCATACTCCCGTCCGGCGCAGTTAAAACTGAGGGGTGTGGCGACAACCAAGGTAGCCGATTTTTTTCCTAACCGTCAAATACTTACCAATTCCCAGGATATTCCGGTTGCTGGATCTTCACGGTCTAAAACCCAGCCATCCCGCATTGGACCCTCATTGTACGATGGAGAAAATCGAATCCATCAAAGGATATTTGAGACCGCGCAAGAATCGCGCATTAGATCCGCGCTGAACGTCAATCCCTTCTTGTTCGAGCAAGACAGAAAAAACGAAGCTCTTGCAGCGCTAACCAAATCTGCATCTGAATATGATAAAGGTAGGCAGTAGTCTCTTTCCAGAATCTCACTGACGTTTCCAAAAGATTTTGGAAAGAAATGGGCCTACGATAACTTGGGGGTATTCTATAAATCAAACCCGTCACTGTCCGCAAAAATCATGACGACCTGCAAGAAGTTAGCACGCCCACTTGTCCAACGCGGATATGAACTACGTCCCTCAGTTTGGTCGCGTACCTCTGAATCCAAGCACCAGATGGAGATGGTTGACCGCCTCGTTAGTTCGTTACCCCCGGAATTTATTTTCGGGAAGGATGAATTTGGGAGGTCGTGGGCCTTTGAACACCACGTGGTCTTAGATGTTGTTGTGAACACCATCGTAGAACTTGGGTACTTAGAGTACCTCACAGATCTCAAGACCTTGTTCTGTACAGCTGCCGCGGCTGTTCGATGCTGCTTGGATGAACGCTCAGACGGGGGGTTCAAGGCGAAGGATTTCCTCGTCTCACAATTCAAAGAGACGTTTGATTTACTCATGAATCATATTCAGAAGCAGATCGTCCCAGATGTAGAGTTATCGGCTCGGTGGGAAGAGTACCAGAAACTCGTCTTTGATACGTTGAGAGACATATGCCCGCAGTAATTTTCATTCGTTATTATACTTCTACATACACTTCTCGTGCGCATATATGGCGGAACCATCTCTGTCGCAGATCGCAATCTGCCGAGCATCTTACGTTTATATGAGGCTGAAAAATTGGCGCCTATATCATCCATTCTCGCCAAGTGGTCACCTTCTCCTGGTATATCCGTTTCAAACCCAACTTGAGGCAGCACAAAACATGGATCCCATACGCATGTTGAGAACCTGCCACGTGTTCCCGATATGGAGACGTATGTCAGACGAACAGGAAGACGAGACAGTTGGCCTGGATGAGCAGGTTTACGATCCGTTATTCGTGACTTTGCTCGTTGCCCAAACGCTTGCCCATCACCCTCCAGCGCTTCGTCACTTGAATGGGTCCAGACGTTGCGAAGCCTCGCTCGGCTTGTTGGCAAGGGTGTGGAAATCGGTGGAGGTACGGTGCTATCTCGTCATTCGTTATTTTAAGGCGTCGGGATGCTCACTCCTTGTTAGCCTTCGGAGATGCAAGAAAAGCAGCACGCACTGTACATCTTTAACTCCCTGAAGAACCTTGTCAAGCCCTCATCCGATGGTCCTCCCTCACGGCTGCCTTCGTTTGCAGTCATTTTTTATCCTTCCAATTTCATCTACCCACGCACGGCACGTTTCCTTCTCCAGCACCCAGAACTCGACGTGACTGATGTGCCAATGCTATATGGCATACTTTATGGGAGTTCGGATGACTGGAAGAAAGGGCGTGGATGGATCGTTAGGTTCCTGTCCGACGGGATGATGAGTACGGAAGATTGGAAGGTGCTTAAAGACATAGTACATGGGAGCTTCTTGCCAGTCTTGTGCAAAGCTCTGTTCGTGATCATGTGTTACGACGTGCAGTACTGGAGGTCCGTGACGCCAGCACTCTCGTTTACCCTTAATTCAAGCTGTTCTTGCCAACCTGACTTGTAATGCCCAGGCAACGACTTCCCTCGTTTTGAAGTCATCTCTTCTATCCTGGATCGAGATCCAAGTACAACTGCCACAAAGCACTGAAGACACCCTTGCTTGGCTAAAGATCCTTGAAAACATTACATTCTGATCACAGCCAATACAGCGGGCCACGAACGGACAGTGGCGAGATACTCTGTGTAGATGCTTGTCGCTGGTCTTACGGAATTGCAGTGGTATGGGCATTGTTTTCACCCCGGTTTTGAAGCTCATTCACTTTTCATGTAGCGCCATCGCTCCCCATTCTCCAACAAGCCGCTCGTGTGACGCTACGATCAAGTCTAGCGTCGCAGACTTCAACTTTCCATCTGTCGCAAGTTCTCACGACCGCACTCGGCATTCTCGAACAGCTGGAGGCTTGCATAGATTTCAGCAAATCTAGTTCCATCAACGGACCTGCCATCCCTTCTAAGCCGCCGTACCACGGTTATGGGTTGCACATCCAACTACCAATAACTGATCCCCTGCGTGCATGGGGTAATATTGTCGAAGACTTACTACTATGGCGGGCGAGTATGACACTTGACGAAAAGTTCGCGAAATGGGATGCCCAGTCCCGCTCTGACTCCCCCAATACAGTTCCGCGCCTCTGCCCCTGAGGAATGTTTTTCGTCAGCCGTGCTGTCGCGGTTCATCCGCGTGGAAGAAGTTTTCGACTGCTGGTTCGAATCCATTCTATACATTGTTCATCCTTTCAACTCGTCTCTTCAGTACTGCGGTCCTGGATGCACGATTAGTTCACTTCCTCATGTTCCCCGACGTCAAGGAAGAGTACTTCGATGAGGTGATCGAGCGTCGTTTGAAGCGCATGCAAGCTGTCGTTGATCTCACTCGGTAGAAGAACTCATTGACTCGACCTGCGCTCGCCCAAAAGGTCCTTCAAGTTGATCCAGCGTTGACGCCGGTACAAGCGGTGCGTCATTACTCATATGACTAACTCGTATGATTGCTCAGATCCTACAGGCGAACCAACCTGTCCTCAAAATTCGGTGTGTTTCTCATTCTTCATGTGTTTGTTTTCTAACTTTACACTTTATTCTAGGGCGATCTCGTCAACGTCCACCAGCGTATTGACTCGGATGAGCGACTCTTTACCGTGCAATAAGACGCATGCACTGCGTCGATTCATTCGTCAGCCCAACTACCCTACTACTGGACACTGGCTTTTTGCCTTGGGCGCAGTGATCAATGAATCAGTACGGGACACGTGGCGTCTGACTATGACGGTAAACTTCAAAGTTTCTGTAACGTTAATGGTTTTCTATTTAGGCAACGTTTTCTATAACGTTGATGGTTTCCTATTTAGGCATCTGTTCAAAGCGAGATGTCATCCCGCTGAATGGTCTACCCAAGATAGGGTAGACGCTTTTAGCTTACTAACGCCGTAGCTGGTCCCCACCAGCATATAAGACGCCAACTAATTAGTATTATCCATTGTCCCTCGCGCCTTCCCTTTTCCCCTCGACCGTTGAGCAACACTCTTTTTTCTATTTAACCTATTTTATATCTTCTCCGTCTCCATGTCGCACGTTGAGGATGGCACATCTTCCTCTATGTCGCACGTCGAGGACAGCAACGAGGACCAGCAGGAGTGCAACCAGCAGTCCAAAACTGCGGCAGCAGCTGTGGAGGCCCGACAAAGACGTAGAATTGCGCAGCTGGAGCAGCAGCTGGAGACTCTCGAGTCGGGGCGTGCAGTTAAAGAAAGGTATGATGGCGCGCAAATGAACGTTGGCTTTGCTCACAGTCCGATTGTCAGGCAATCCAACTATTACATGTCTCAAGGAAGGGCCATCAGGCGCATTGTTACTCTATTCGATAATGTCGAGGACCTCGTCGCTGAAAACGATCGACGATATGATCATGATGATGACGGCGACCAGGAAAACTACTCTCGAGTAAGTTTTCACCGTTCAAGTCGGTATGTGAGTGCTAACTGCTCGGCTTGTTTATATAGCCAAGATAGGCTGCAAATAGGGTACCACGCACTCACTATCGCATTGCCGTGGTTCTGTCAGAAGGGTACGGAGATGGAGATTGGCGACTATGTGCACCTATTGAAAATAGTTGGTTTTCGCTACTTCGATCGTCTTGACCGTACTAACCATTTAATAAGCTTCGGCAGGGCGCCGACAGTGCTCGAGGTGACGACACTTCGAAACTTAAGGCTCTCGTTGCCGATTGGGTAAATCGCGAATTTAAACCAAATCCCCCTGTCGACTCCGATGATAAGCATTCCCGTGGATTCACCAACGATGTGTGCGGCATGCTGCTCTGCCCAGCCGAGCTCGATTGGAAAAATCCAGTGTGAGTAGTATGCTCAGAATCCCGAGAAAAACAATACTCACTGTTTGCTAGGGTGAAGGCAGCAATTCGAGATCGCGCAGAGGGTCACATCGTGACAGATCTTTCCTTCCCGGCATACCTGTATGAGGGGTACACTGCCAACCCCGACGATTTGGAAGAGGGCCTTTTTAAGGGCAAACTCCTTATTCAGGTCTGTTGGACCAGTCGCCTAGCTCGATGTTGATCTCACCAGCTTTTCCAGGGTTACAAAGCGGTGTTCACGTCGCCTTCCTCGGCAAAGGACGTCGAAGGTGACGGCGATGGTATAGATATCATCGAGAACAACAGGTGCGCTAGGAGGTCTTCCTCCGGCCTCAAGGTCAAGAAACACGTGGCGCACATTATTAAAATGAACAAAGTTACGCCTCGCTCGATTGCGTACATAGCATGTCAAGTAAGTAGCATTTGGAAAGCCTGAGAGTGATAGTGATGACTGATGACTGTACACTGGCAGGTGCGATTTGCACTTTCCTCTGTTACTTCTTGGCGGTCCGTTGATGGCGACTTCGACTATATTCAGTTCTGGCGAACAATTGTCGATTTTTTCGAAAAGCCCCCTGGCCGAGGAGCGCGTCGCAGGATTAACAAGCTCCTTGAGTGGTGGACCAGGTGGGTCGTATACATTTTCAACAACCCTCACCTGAATTCCGCTGTGTAGGAAAGTTTTCGGAAGGAGTCACCGTGATGACATTAGCAACGCGACAAAGTCCAACATGTCCGTCAACGCTCTCGCACAGCAGAGGGCGCAACGTGATGATGCCGATTTCGATTGACCCTAAGAAATATGTCGCTTAAACTTTCTCTCACAATCGTAGTTGGTATCGCTTTGTTTTTAATGACTCGTCTAATTACTCGGTTCGAAATGTATGAAACAATTAAATATTATTTGTCTATTATTTTCTATTGCGTGCATCCGATCACTGGGTTGTCAGTAAGTTCCAACGAGGAGATACAGCGCGACCATGGTAATTCCCGCATCATATAGGCATCGAACGCTAATAGCACCAATTAAGTTACAGTTCGTGCATCCACCCGCTGGGTTGTTTGAAAGTTCCGGCGAGGAAACACGGAGCGATGATGGTGATGTCTGTATTGTCCCGACCTTGCGCTAACAGCATCAATCGAGTGATATTTCGGCCATCCAACCGCCCGTTTGAACAAGCTGCATCCGGCACACTGGATTGTCGTCGAGTTCCATCAAGAAAATACAGTGCGGCCATGATGATATCCACACTGTCTAGCTGTCGCACTAATAGCACGAATCAAACTCCATGTTGTGCATCCTCCTGCTCAGGAAGGTGTGTTACAGTGAGGAAATACAACGCGATCACGGTGATCACAGTACAAACAGTATCGGCGTGCGAGATCAACACGATTGAAAGATAAATTGACTTCGCCCACTGAGTTGTTTGTGAGTTTCATGGAAAAAATACAGAGCGGCTGTGCTCAACTCTGTATTTTCTGGCCGTCGCGCTAATCACATGAATCAAACTCCAGTTCAAGCCCATCTGCCCGCTCGGGAAGGTGTGTTGCGGTGAGGAAATACAGCGTGATCATAGTGATCATAGCGCAGAAAGCATGGACGTGCGAGATCGACGCAATTGAATGACAGTTAGACAATATGCTCACAGTACGCAAAGCAAAATACAATTGTCAGTCATTGAATAAACACAGAAGGTTGCGTGTAAACTCGAAGTACGATATAAATGATCTCTTGCTCACGTGGTGAACAAATCCCGGCTGTTGTATATAGGTAAGGCTTTTTCGCACAGATTCCCAGTTGACGTATAGTTGACGAACATGTGTCCCCGCTGCCGAGCTCAAAGTCAAGGTACATTACTACATTAACACAATGTCCGCGCAAAGTCTAATTTTTTTGGATGCAGTCGCAAGTGGTATACTACTACTGGCCATTAGCTACCCAAAGAAGGTCGCCTTGAGACTCGAGCCGTGATACGAACTAATTGTCGCCCGCTTGCAGGACATACCCGGCTGCCACGGAAAGGTCAAGCTTATTCACACGCATTCCAAATTGATATATAGCTGACGAACATCGGAATGACACGTTTGATAGCGTTCAAAGTCAATGCACGAAGGAATTTTTGTGGTCGTGCGTTCGGGTGAATATATTCTCATAGTCGGGGGTACAGGCTTTCACGTTTACATGTAAATTTGATATGAAAGCGCCAGAAAATTAGCTTTTCAAGGAGGTGTATCAAGATTTAATACCAGACGCTCATATATAGTCCCCTGTTGAGGCTAGCGCAGCTTCGTTCCCTGAAAGACACAGGCAAAAAGTCTGAGCCTGGATATTGTGATCCTTACCACTGATGTGGCAATTTTGATTCATGTAGATCAACCAGTAGCTTTTGTTTCACCTTCCCTTCGACTTTGAATTTGAGCGATGATGAGACCTGTTCCTGACCGTAAAGTTTTATCGCGAAATCAGGAAAACTCTTGCGCTATACAAGGGCAAAGATCACAATGTGATGCTCGATAACAGAATTATGCTAAATATTATGATTATGGGCTATATATTGTGATATATGGCCTTCTCCTTTCCTTACCAGTTCACTGATGTGAGACCGACACTCGAGCTCGTTGCACTTCTCTTTCCACAGAAGGGTTGAAAAGCACGATCGACATGAAAACAGAGATTGAACGAGGTGAGCACCTTGACAAAAGTAGTTATCGCAAGTGACACTTGAACAACCATGGCATATGATGAGACGGTGCACGCAAATCGGACAGCGAGGATAGTCTGGTGTGGATGTTGAGTTGAATTCTTCGAGTGCCTGACTTGCTTGTGACTGGGGTATCAAAGTGCGATCGACGAGTAGCTGGCAGTAATTCTGCGAAATAGCGTCATTTGAATGTGAAGTGCTTGAATGCTAGGTCGTACGCACCTGGAGATCGACCTCTGAGAGATTATTATGATTCATCGTTGACTATCGCTTGTCCTAGGGCTCGCAGCGAGAGCCTACATATCGGGTTTTCGCCATTCAGTTCATGTGCCGCGCGCGCTCAACCAGACACCCGTGCGATTTATTCAATAAGCGCCAGAACAGAGAAAACACCAGTAGGGAGCGTTCTAGGAACTGGGATCATAGCATCGAGCGAGAGTGCTTTCAATCAAACAAAGCATTAATTGAAAGATGAGATGCCATTAAAGCTACAAGCCATGAAAATACAACGCAAAATAATGTACCGCAAAACCATACAGTGTCAATACATCGACATGAGACAAGCGTCCCAGCGCTGGGGTTAACGTTATCCGTAGTGGTGCACATAAGTAGACTATACAAGTCCGATCATGCCATGCAAATGGCGTCGTGACAGTCCTCAGTGGAGGGATTGTCGTCGCTTCCATCAAAGCGCCGAATCGCTGGAAGCAAAGTGAGGTTGAGGTGAGGGTGAACGCGAGGACCGGGAGGGAGCGCTAGTGGGTCGAGCTGCATAACGCGGGAGGGACTCGAGAGGCTTGGAGATCAAAAAGCCTGAGAAGCACAGTAAGCAAGTTTCACCAAAAACGAAACAAGAATCACAAACCTTTGAGACCCGCAGCCTTCTCACCCTGGCGACCAAAGCCATAGCCAGCTCTGCTTCCACTCCGCGCAGCACCGAACTCAGCAAGACTGCTGGTCTTCTCCTCGTACATCGTGGAAGAGGCGAATGATTGTGAAGAGCTAGACGAGCCGGAGCGGTTGAGATCGAGGTTGGCAGCAGAACGAAGATTGGTAGTTGGCAAGACACCTTTGGCTTCTTCACGCCACGAGGTGATTGAACGTCTGCTCTTGGCGGATTCCCGGAAGAGGAGACCGAGAAACATGTTTATGCAACCGAGGACGAAGAGGAAGAAAGCGGAGACGAGGGTGAAGTCATCCACATGCTGCGAGAGGACTGCAGCTCCAATACTAAAAAAAAATCAACGCTGTGTACGAGACACCCGAGAGAAGAAAACTCACAGTCCTTGGAAGATACCGAGAGCGCCGAGTCCAAAGCCAGAACCAAGCACAGGGAAAAAGCGATCAAAGAAAGTGGATGGCCAGCCGATTTCAGAAAGGAAAAGGATGACAACTTGGAAGATGATGAGCAGGCGATTGATAACGGCCCAGAAAACACCCCCAATCTGGTTGGGTACGGTGCTGTTCCTGTTTGCGATGTCAGTAAACGATCATACTTGTGTGAGACGTTTGAACTGACTCAATGTATTCACAGTCAGCAAGGTCTTGCGCCGTGACGTTGCCGCTTTGCTTGGCAGCTTCAAACGCGTTGACGGCTTCGACGTCTAAGACTATGACGAAGATGCTGCTGGCGAAGACCAGTATGAGAGACACGATGCTCAGGAAGCGGACAACATTAAGTCCAAAGAAAATATCTGAAGTCAAGTCAGCTAGACCGCTCAAAATAAAATAAACACGAGGTGTACTGACATGCTCGAGCGCCAACCATAATGATAGAAAGGATTGATGAGGTCTAGAGGATACTTAAGATCGTAGATTGTTTGACTTGAAAGGATAGCGATTGCAAGAAAGTCTCTAGTGAAAAAATAATCAGGTGGCCCAGCACCGGTAGAAAGTGACGATGAAGGATAAGGAAGGGGATGGAATGCATTTTGGCCAGTGAGAACAACGGGTTTATGTAGCTTGGACTGATGTGGACGGTTCATTGACCTCCCAACCTTATTGTTCTTCGGAGAAAGCACACGGCTCTCAACCACATTTATTGACCAAAAAGAGATGGACAATGCTTCAACCGACGCTCACGTAATCGGGAAACGGAAACAAAATTAAAATGTCTGAATCGCGGACTTGAAAAGTACCACAGCGCCCAACCGGCTTATTGTTGGTCCACAGCTTGGTGCTCATCGTTGTTAGCCTTGCGTTGCCCAGTGGACGTAGTAGTAGTACAACACATGATAATTATACACGATGACCTCCAATTGACCGTACTTCTCGAATCATAATTTACAGTATGTATGTAACCGAGTCCACTGCTCACCAAGCTACGACAGAGGTACTTGTAGCCAGAATCAGTGAATATATACCAAGATAATAAACAGCGCTAGCATACAATTCGTATCCATCCACTCCGAACGCAGAATCAGAAACCACAGACAGGATATCTTCAGAGACGATTAGAGGATGTATGTATTGTCCATAGGCTACGTTGAAACAACTGTGTATGGGCATGAAGAACGTGAAAGCGTGGGTGGTTATAGTACGATCATCGTAAGTCCATTCGGTAGGGTTAGTAAAGATGATATGTCAGTGCTCGATGGACTGTTTTGTGCAAGTGGAATCAACTACTCTCTCGAGTAGGGCGGGGGTTCATTTGATGTACCACCCACGTTGGGAGAAACAAGTCCGGCATCTGTGTGCACGACCACACTATTAGATCGCCTTCGTCTGGCAGCTTTTTTACCGGGCAACTGGGCAGGTGCAGATGAAGAAGGAGCTGGAGCAGCACTGGGTTGGGGCGACTGAGGAACGTCGTTGATGATTTGCAAAACCCGTCTGTCGATCACAGGGGCAGGACTTCCTGTGCGATTAAGCGGATCAAACGAGCCAAGCTCATCGACGCGGTTGCTCGATGAAAGTGAGGAAGATCCAGACCCATCTAACAAAGGCGTCGAGCTACTGCCAGTAGAAACCACAGACAGCGATCGAGGACCCATCGAGGATTGGGATGTCGATTGGGACGTCGCACTGAGGTGCCTTAGTGCAAGTGTCTGTACTCCCTGCGTAGACCCCGAAGTGGAAGACTTTGAGGCGTTCCCGGGCGCAGAACTAGTGCCAAGCAAAGGGGTGATTGATGTGTTGCGACTGTGGGTGCTTGCCACAGAAGCGCTGAATGAAGGATGTGATTGACGAGGAGTGCTTGGCGGAGAACCGGACCCTGGAGGTGGCGTTACACGCCCGACAAGGCCATACTGATATGGTTTAGGTTCAGCGCCGAGATCCAGCCTGTTCCTGTCACGGTCTCGGCGCACAGCAATCGGTGCATCGAATTCCTCATCACCAAGAGCTTCTCTTTCAAATATATCATCCCATGACCTGCGTCTCCGGCTGAAGAGGGGGACAAACATAAATCCAGGAAACAAGATACAAGGGTAACATAACTTACCAGAGGTACCACAAAGCGCTCACGATCACGATCAATCCAACAAAACCGCCAACGACACCCCCGATTATGGGGGCTACGTTTGTGCCTGACGAACTTTGATTCGAACTTGTGGCAGTTGGGTTTGATATCACAGAGGGGACGTAAACAGAAGATGGTGGCAGTGTGGACGTCGTGGTTATCACAGTTGCAACCACATCACCATTCGAAAGGGTTGTAGAAGACGATTGAGTGATGATAGACGGTGATGGTGTGGTCACTACCAGCACAGACGTTGTCTCTGAGCTAGGCGTTGGTGAACTGGAAGTTGTTTGACTGGTTGAGGACAGCGATGTCGGCTGCGACTGTGTCGAACCATTGGAGCAAGTGGCAAAGAGTGTGTTCGTTGGCTGGGTCACGGTGACCGGGACCGTAACGATTACAGGTACTTGTGTGGTGATACTTCCGCCTGGAAAGAATGCAACCATCAGCGCCCATTCAGAAGCATGTAATGACCCAAAATAACCACGATAGGTTGGATAGAAGCATCGCTGCCGTCAAAGCGGTCACACAACACCGCAGTCCAACGGCAGAAAGGAAGCAAGGATGAGAATGAACTACGCACCTCCAATGGTGTTCACCTGCGTGACTGCTGCACTTGAGCAACCTGATCCACTCACGGTGCCTGTGGCGATACAGGTCTGCTGCACGATGGTCGTGACTGTAGCCTGGTTGTTCACTACGCTCTGGGAGAGGGACGTGGAGGTCGTAAATGTAGTGATAGTGGTGTACTCCGTTGCAGTGGCAGACGGAGTGCAAGACATGGCCCTTGGTAAAGTTGGGCAAAAGAATCAAGCAAGTCTGACGCCAAGGGTCAGCAAAAGGGTAGAAGAAAAACAATAAACCCGGGTCCAAATAGCCCGCAGAAAGGAAAGGGAAAATGAGAAGAAAGAAACAAAGAAACAAAGGTGGAAAGTTGGTGAGAAGCAAGGTTACTTCTGCAATTCCAAGGCTTGTCCAAGGCAGTGCTTCGCTATTTTTCATTCTCGGCAACGTCGGTAACCGTCATATCTACGGTCGAGTTGAGGGTAGGGTGGACACAACGGGCAAACCAAGGCGCCGTCGACGAAGTGCTCGGGTGCAACAATAATAGTAACAGTATTACTGATAAAAACTACCATTAAGCAAAGCAGCACAACAACACGAGAACGCAGATAAGTAGAGCTCCTGGCACGAATTATCTGCAATGAAGGATGATCAAGCATTAACAAAAATAGCAAATCCGTCCATAAATGTCTTGAAGGAATTAATGTAAGCCTGGACTAGATGGCATAGTGCCCGTACTCCTTCTCCACCGCCACTTCATGTTGGTATCAATGTTACTGAGCACCGGGCGCGTGCCCTCTTCTGAGACCACAGTTTGCCTGTGAGGCTCTGGTATCGTTTCCACAGGCTGCTCCTGACCATCCCTTGGTCTGATATCGAGAACAACATCATGTTGCATAGGCTCCACCTCACCCACAAGCCCATTCCTCTCTCTCACGCGCCGCCATAAACTTTTGGTTGCGCTTTTCACGAACTTCCCCAGAGTGATAAGCGGATCCTCCAGCAGTGGGTCTGCAGCAGGATCCCACAAAGTCCGTCCTTGCTGGCGGCCTTCCCTCGCGGGACGCCTTCTCCGCGAACGGGCCACTACCCCGAGCGGCAAAGTCGAGCGCCTCCCAGTATGTTCTGGTGATGGAAGCGGTGCAAATTTGACAGTGGGTATGTGCCCCAGCGAAAAGCATGTAGAAGAACGAGAGGGGTTGGATGAATTAGAGTTCGTGATAGTGGGGAAGGTTAATGAGTCAGGGGATGGGGTATGCTCGAACGAGAAGTCGGTCGCAAGAGTGGCCACTTCATGGGCGTCATTGCGGCGGGTTGTGATGGACATATGACCGGTATGTCCCTTGACTGAAAAAAAAGAGCGTAGGGTGTTTAAATAAAGAATGTGACGAGTCTCCGAGAATTTTTTTAACCAAAAAGAAGGCGTCTAGGCAGACACTGTAACCCACTGTAGCCCAGTTCAGCTTAAGCTTCGGAAGGGGATGAGAGCAAAAGGTTGAAAAAATGGTTTATTATTATACTGCATGCTCTTGGTAACCGTGCGCAAGAGCTAGGCACTACGCGCGCGTGCTTGACGTTTGCAACCGATTTCGACTTTGACCGGAGCTTAGCGCATAACCGCTTTTGGATGCACCTTCTCGAGTTCTCTGGAGTTTTTGCTATTCTGCACCGCGGAAGAAATAACCGAATGTCATGAGCACAGTGCGACCAGACAGTCATGCACAACAATTCGGTCGGAGGAGGTCCAATACTGCTCAATCAATTCTTCGTAATCTTCCTGGACCGCCAGCGCCACCTCTGAAACTCGGAGATGTCAAAGTTCTCAATTCATGGGTACACGATCAGAAGGAGTCATGCACCGCCATATTGAATCAAACATGGTTGCCCGGTGTAGCAGAGGGAGACATGCTGCAAGTCTCGGGTTGCAATGCAGGGGATACTACTGCTGGCTATCTGTTCATGGTTCCAAAGGACGAAGGCTGCCCGAAACCCGCATTACAGGTGCCTGTTCTGCCTCGGTCACCGTGAAGACATGCTCAGACAGGCCTTGTCGTAATAGATCTCACTTCCAAAGAATGTCGCAGACGCGTTTGGGATAAAGAACAATGGCGAGGTGACCGTAACGAAAGTAATTGTATCCTTGGCAGATTCGGCCAAATGCATGCTCATCATCGAGGCAGGTGGACAAACAGCAGTATTGCGCAGACTATATCGAATTCACTTTCCAAGACCAATATCTTGGTCGGAATGAAATGTGGAGACTAGCCGAACACCTTGTAGGACAGTGTGTGTTTGTCGACCAAGAAATATCCTTCATAAGCGTAATCGCCGCCAAGATACAATCCATCTATGTGAAGGGTCGAAAAGTAGGTGTATAGCTTCCCGTTTCCTTATTATGCTCAAAAGGACATTCGCAGGTATCTGCAGGATACGTTACGGCCACCACGAAAGCCATATACAGGTCTCTCTCCGCGAAGGTGACAATCTTCATTCAAGTTTGCCGTGAATTATGGGAATTTGCCGGAGATGGGGAACGCTTCAATGAGAAAATCGTACACTCGTTTCTTCCTGCCCTATTCGCCAAATGGCGCGAGGCTGGCACGAATCACACAGTCACTATCGTGCTCATCTCGAGGGTGTACTACGATATCTCCGAGTTAAATTATGCTGCAGGGCCTCTAAGAGTGGACGAAGAGGGTCGATCGTACAAGGATTTCTACAAAGTTATTACTGACTTGGAGGTCATCCACGACTGGAAACCCACACTTGTGGGACTCAAAGTATCTTTCTGGACTTTTCAAAGGGATATTTTGCTCGCCCATCACTACCACCAAGCCACTGTCGAATCTACAGCACCAGAGCAAGCCAGGCTCATTGGTCAGCTATCAGATGCGCACGATGGTCCTATTTTGGAGGCTCTTAACCTGGGTCTTAATCCAAACGAAACGCACTACATCGATCGCTCACTGTCAAATACTGGAGCATCAACCATCCTCATCACCCCCGGTACAGGGTATTACAAAGTGTCTAAGCAATTGCTCCGATTAACTACAACCCGTATGCTTGACCAGGGCTTCGGCCTGGATCTTGTATCATTAGCAAAACGCCCTTTACACCAGACTCCTATATTCGCTTTCAAGGGATACGAGCCACGCTTGGACAAGGACGGGAAGAACGGCGGTCGAGCTCTAGATCCGCTCTGGGGAGGTGACGAAGACCCAGATGAGTCCAGGAGATTGGAGAAGACTACCTTCTGGTGGGAACCATTCTGGATCGGCGTTTCTTTCTGGGATAAGCAGATGGATCTACCTTTTCGCGAGGATAGGTTTGTTGTTCGCGCTTATTTCCTTACCTTGACTGACAGTATTCTCAGGTTCGTTGCCAGGGCAAAAATGCACGAGATACAAATGCTCGGGCTGCTTGAGCACGACGTCCTTTCTGGCATAGAGGTCCCATACCTCCGAGAGATACATGACCCGAACGCCACGCCGCCACGAGACAGCTTCACGGAAGATGATCGTGCTCCCACACAAGCAGATGCTGACCAAGCTGACATGGATGTTTTCTTCTTGAAGAAAGAGTCGCGGCCCGTCGTCAGCACGCGCACTTCATATGGCTCCTCTGCGGGTGCGACTATCATGGCTTCATCCTATCGTTCATCAATCATGAATGAGAGACGTGGGCTGGCATCACAACGCAGTTCCATCGCGTCCATGCGCATAGCACCGATTGAAGAAAGCCCCAGAAAAATTATCATGGATCTGCCTCCTGAAGGCAATGAAGATGGGCTGCTGCCCTCAGTGACCGGACTCAGCACATCTCCTTCGCAGTCCTCCATGCGTTCAGTGAGAACCAACACATCTGTGACAACCAATTCCGGAAGCGACCCGCAATCGCGCAACACGAGCTCTTCGCGTCTTGCCAAAATCGCTTCTTCTTGGTTTTACAATCCCTTCCAAAGAAGTTCGAATGAATCTCAGACACCTTCGACTCCTACTTCATCAGTCACAGGTCCTACACCTCCCCCCACTCCAAGCATGCGCGTCCCCATTGCGTCAAATTTCTCCGCTACACCTTCTGCCTCGCTTTCCCGCTCACCTCAGCCAATGGCCATATTGCACGGCGCATCTGGTCGATCGGCTCTGAGCAGGACGTATGAGGAAGAAAGCATTCTTCCACATCGAAGCTCCTTGAACCGGCATTCTCCGATGAATACCCCTCCTCGTGATGAAAACACCTTTGGAAAGAGGCGCAGCACGACGCTAAACTCACTAAACCTGCCCTTCTCGTCATCGTCCCCGGTCCCGACTTATCGCACCAATCCGTCGCGACCACAACCTACAGTCTCGTACGCGCAGTCTTCACTCGCCAGACGCTGGCAGCATGTATTTCCTACGCCCATGTACAAGCATGAGGTGAAGTGGAAGTCTATGGTCACCCCCTCGTGCCTTCCGCTCACGATGGACCACTTCCCCAGCAATTCAGAGCTGGAATCGTCATATGATGTATTCTCGTATGATTTTGTTGTCGATCCAACCGAGATGCGTTCCTTCCTCGTGAAGCCGCCTTCTGTTCAAGGGAACACCGAGGAGGTGCGACGGGCATGGGCACTCACTGTGATGCGTGGAATGGTCGCCGTTCGCCTTGCACAAGGATTCCAGTTTGTTTTGCGACCGCGTAAAACCAGCGACGCTGAGGACCAGACGGCCATGAGGAGGACGAAATCTTTTATGGGCGAGGATGACGCTTCGCCAAAGCCGGCTGGGGCAGCGGAGGTGCTCAAGACTACCAATCTGCCTGTTTACTTGAGCATGAGCAATGAGATTCATCGGATATCTTATACTGGGGAGGCGATCCAGGTGAGGCGGTATGTGAGAAGGATGCCGCCGACACAGCCCTTCGAGTACGAATGTCTTATCTGGCCCAAGCTCGGAGTGGGTTATACGGAGTTGAAGACGAAGTTCGTCTCACATGGGTTGGAAAATTTCGGCTGGAATAGGTGAATTTGTTTTTAGTGGCTTGTGGGCGATATCAAAGTCCTAATTTCTTCTCCTAGATTGGACATGTTGGTTGCTGGCTATGAGCACCATTTTAACGAATCCTTGCGATACTGGCGGACTCGATTCGTGGTGATTCCATCCGCCGTCCCTGAGGGTAACGTAGGCCCTTCTGGAGACAAGCTCAATGACGAAGAAATCCGACTTATGGGAATCGATAAGCTTGCCGAAATATTCACAAAATTGCGATGGCAGGCTCCGGATGAGCGTGGTTCGCCCGTCGCACCCGTGCGCTTCCTTCCTACGACGCTCGGCCCTGCCCACTCTGTCATGGATGAGTCACTGATGGCACAGCTTGACGAAATACATGCCGCAGGACCGCTGAAGAAGAAAATGCAGAGCACCAGGGAAATTACAGATACCCCTCTGTCGTTAATTGCGAAACTCATGCGTGAGGAGGATGGCGTGCCGATCAAGTTTCATCAGTGGCACGGGGCGAAGTATCCTGATTCTTTCACCGGGTTTGACTTCATTTCATGGCTTGTCCGCGAGTTTCGGGATATATCATCAAGGGAACAAGGTGCCGAATGCGGGGCAAGGCTCCTCGAACAAGGGCTGTTTTCTCATTGCCGAGGACGCCATGGCTTACTTGACGGGTCAGTTATTTCAATGTTTCATGCTTATTACAATATGACATTGAACTCATTTGTCATTTATCATTCTGCAACAGGCACTATTTTTATCAGCTAAATGGTGAATACGCAACAGTCAGCACCCCGAGAGGAGGATGGATCAAGACATCGCGTTACATGAATGGGGATGAGGTCAGCATCACTAGACCAGGGGGACATTACCCGTCCAGTCTCAGTAGACCCGGTGGTCCTAGACGGAACAGGAAGTGCCTGATCCTTAGCCAAACCATGGTCATCGACATTGACCCTACCAAGGTATGCAAAGGAGTGATCCGCAAATTCCCTGATCTCACAACATTTTATACACAGAGGAGTGATCAGGCTGAATCCGTAGTTCTTCACTACGACATCATTCAAAATCCCGGGACAGTCTTTCACTTTGAGCTGCAATGGATTGGATCTACCGCGCGTTGCATCGAAGACTCGCTCCGGCAATGGAGTCGGGCGATTGAGAGGTACGGCCTCAAATTGGTCGAGGCCTATGTCATGGAAATTGGCGACATCCGAGAACGCAACGCGTTTCAGTCTTGCTTCCCTTTGCGCTTGGCAATTCCACCACCCATTGTTCCAGGTCTTGAGAAACGGGTACCTGAAGGAACGCACACGACGCATTACTTCGAATATGCAATTCTCAAACGCTTTGACTTCGTCCTCGATGTGGAAGCTACAAACCTATACCCAAAGGATGTGGACGTCTCCTACTCTTATCGCCGAGCACCATTCAAACATTCGCAATTTGTGCATCGGTCTGGGGTCGCGTTCGTGCAGGTCATAGGTGGTTCGCAGGGACTCCTGTTCCTGACCAATCGTCTGTTGGGTCCAGGTCGCATGGGCAGTGCGATGAAGAGTAAGGAGCAGAAACCTGAAGCTGCGGCGGAAGAGATTCGGATGAAGTTGCAGGAGTTCTGCTCTGATGAAGCTGCATTGGTACAGTTTTATGATGAGGAGCTGGCTGCTCTTGGGCCGGACGATCCTCCACCACTCAGTATATGATGTGTTTTTTTCGGTGCATAGCAATGGAGGCAGCGGCTTGTGAGCGAGCATCCGCGAAATACGTCTACCTGTTTACGAAACATCACGAGCCTCCCATAGAATTGCTTGTTTCATAGTCCTCAGTGTGCGCTTTGACGAGTCAGTAGTAGCATTCAATGGAGTCACACATAGTCTGGTTTTCGGCGGGTCATATAACTGGAATAACCAAGCTCGATGCCAGGTATAGAATTGACATCGAACCAAACTGTACACTCCATATTGCTACAATATAATCATCATTGAGGAGGGCTAGAAGCATGATTTAGCAACTGCGACGGACAGTAAAGGCTCAGAACTCACGCGTCTCGGCAATTCGACCAGCATTGTCCATGGGCCATGCGACTCAAATCAATCTCTGGTTCACCGCCTATCACCAGTACAGTCCCAGGAGTATGTGCTATGGGTGGGCGTCGTCGAGAAGCGGGCGGGACCCAGAAAAGCAGCCGACGATGGGGTCCTGCCATCCACCCATCATCTCTCAGAGAGACAGAGTTTGAATTGGAATATGATTCAGAATGATGGTCAGAGGGGTTTTTGAGTAGCTCGGCAAGGTCTCGCAGTGCATGTTCCGAGCTGGATGCAAAGCAAATGACGGGATTGTCCCAAGTATTAGTTGGCATGATAGAATCCAAAGAGAATGCGGAGGAATCGGTCTCAGTGTACACCTGGAATGGCTGCCCTGCCACTGCATCCCACAGCCGGACAGTGTGATCCCAAGAACCAGACATGATGCGAGTGCCATCGGGGGAGAACGAGACTGAGGAAACCGAATTAGTGTGCCCTCGCAAGGGCTCGCCCAATGGCTGCCCCGTCGCTGCATCCCACAGCCGGACAGTGTGATCCGAAGAACCAGACACGATGCGAGTGCCATCGGGGGAGAACGAGACTGAGTAAACCGAACTAGTGTGCCCTCGCAAGGGCTCGCCCAATGGCTGCCCCGTCGCTGCATCCCACAGCCGGACAGTGTCATCTCGTGAACCAGACACGATGCGAGTGCCATCGGGGGAGAACGAGACTGAGTAAACAAAATTAGTGTGCCCTCGCAAGGGCTCGCCCAATGGCTGCCCTGTCGCTGCATCCCACAGCCGGACAGTGTGATCCCGTGAACCAGACACGATGCGAGTGTCATCGGGGGAGAACGAGACTGAGAAAACTGAATCAGTGTGCCCTCGCAAGGGCTCGCCCAATGGCTGCCCTGTCGCTGCATCCCACAGCCGGACAGTGTCATCCCAAGAACCAGACACGATGCGAGTGCCATCGGGGGAGAGCGAGACTGAGTAAACCGAACTAGTGTGCCCTCGCAAGGGCTCGCCCAATGGCTGCCCCGTCGCTGCATCCCACAGCCGGACAGTGTGATCCGAAGAACCAGACACGATGCGAGTGCCATCGGGGGAGAACGAGACTGAGAAAACCGAATCAGTGTGCCCTCGCAAGGGCTCGCCCAATGGCTGCCCCGTCGCTGCATCCCACAGCCTGACAGTGCAATCCCTTGAACCAGACACGATGCAAGTGCCATCGGGGGAGAACGAGACTGAAAAAACCAAAGCAGTGTGTCCACTGATCACGGTCTGAATAGCCGTCCAGTTCACATGACGTCCATGAATCAGACGAAGGGTGTTCGGAAACCTGCCGGCAAAGCTTGTAGCCACCGTGGATTTGCTGGGTGAAAATGGCAACGCTGATACATATAGATGCGGTGTGCTGTGCATGATCATCCCGCCAAAGACTTGGACGAATCTCTGCACATCCATTGCGGCGGATAAGAGATCTCCGTATTCGGATCGGCCCTGTGTTCGCACGTAAGCCCTTCGCCTGACACCACCAGGTAGCTGTATTCTTACCTTCAGCCAGCGGGAAATGAATGGAAACACATAAACTGCGCTGCTGAGTGCATTCAGAAGCCCGAGTACTTCAATGTAGAAGAGCAGCCGCTCGTTGTCGAAGAATGATTTGATTTCCTTTGCAAGCTCGGTGTCAAAGTCGGTTGCTTGTACGTGTGTAGCCCAAAATCGACAGGAATAGGATAGATGTGGGGTAATACATGTTTCAACCCGTTGAGGCAGCCCGGTGTCTTCGCAATTCGGGATATATGAAGACTTTAAATCACATATATTAAAGCGAAGTTCGTGTTCCATCACTCGAAGTGACGCAAATGCAAGGTCGCATTGAACCTTCGACACCTCAACAAAAAAGTCTCCGCTGTGTGATTTGTCTGTCAGGAATTCGTGGAAGGATGCGTGAAGGGGTCGGATGGGGGTATACGAGTTTGTGGTGCCGCTGAGGAGGGCTCCCATATGTTTGACTATATCCATATTGTCACGCTTGCTTCGTTCTGGAAAATGGTTCCGCATGGCATTGAGGGAAGCGAAAGGGAGTGGTTCAGCCGTGCCAAGTATCTGTCCCATCACGGAACGAAACCCAACTAGTGCTTCTTGGTACTCTTCCACATTATATTGATCCCTGTTCATAACTTCTGTTAAAATGAGCCGATACATATCGTACAACAAGTTTTTGCGATCTCCATCACCACGGTTCACGACAGCATCGAAGCGACGCATTTTGTGTGTACCGGGAGGGCTAGCCCTGATGTGTTTGCAGGCAAGACGCGCCCATTCGAACAATCCATCGGCTTTCGCAGCAAGCACTGTAAACTCCTTGTCCTGAAAATCTGACAGCCCAGTCAGCTCTTCAGATACGTAAGAAGCGATGTCGCGCTTCACGACATCCTGTGGAATATTGTCCATGGACAACCGTAGAATATGTTGAGGGCCTTCGAGCTCTTCATTGATATCGTGCAGCGGGCGAGACGTAACGAGAATCCGAAAGTTGGATGGGAGTTCAGTGATTTGGGGAACACCCTGGACCTGAAGTTTACCGGCAAGTATGCGGAGAAGGTTACGCCGCGTCTCGACTCCGCCGCTCTCGTCCAGTGCTTCAATTACGATCAAGACAGGCCCTACAGTTGACACAGAGGACTTCTTCAACGGTTCCATAAGAAGCTTGCGCCACTGCTGGACGATATCTGTCGTGTTCTTGAGCGCATTTGCATTTTTTACTGTGTTCGCCAATGCTCTTCTCATCTCCGGATCACAGTCGGCCAGATCGCGAGCGATGGTGGAGAAAACCTTCTCGTGACGCTTGTCGGCTTGGTTGTTCCGGTCAAAGCAGAAACATGAACCAAGCCCTCCCATGTCGTTGAACCAGTTAGCGATAGTGTGAGCGATGGCTGATTTGCCCTTGCCTGCAGGGCCAGATAGCCACAGCACACGCGGAGCAGCATCTCCGCTGTCGTTGATCCATTCAGTGATTTGGGAGAGAATGGCTGTGCGCGTCCCTGGCAGGCATTGTTTCATGGTATCTAGTCCCGCACCCGCTGCGTAAGCCATACTGCTGAGATCCAGTGTTTCACCTGAAGGGGTTTGAGTGGATGCAACTCAGAAGTATGTCGAACACTTACCCGTACACTGGACGAGATCGGCTACGTCCCGAATAGCTTGGTCCCGAAATTGTTGCATAAGCGCATCCAATGCGTCATTGTACTGTGTGATAATATCATCCGTCTCCGAGACAGCGTTTTTTCCGAGTCTCTTCCCTGCAACAATGGTATAAGATTTGTAATGTGCGAAGTGCAATAGCTCGACAACTTACAAAAGCTCTTTGTTTCCGAGTAATCCCTGATGAAACGTGCGCACTCCAGAGTCTGCTGGGCGATCCGTCCAACGATACCGCGCTTGGATGAAATCTGGCCGAGAGTATCGTCTTGTGACATAAAGCGGTAAACTTCATCTAATTTCTTGAGAAGACATTGTATAGATTGGTCGCGTTCTTCTTGAGCGAGTATGATCTGCACAGAGTCAACACTTGCTGAGCAGGAGGGCAAAACTACACGTACTGTGGATGCAGCGGACAGCACGCCCAGCGCCATCTTTGCGTATGGATGTACCTAAGCAACTTGATTAGTTCGCTCCCAAGAATGGAGAGTAGCCCATACATCCGCGATCTTCCCAATAGCAGTGTCAAAAAGTTTGAGGGGTTGGAGATACGTAGTCTGGACATCGTCTGCAGTAGCAAGGCCTGTTTGGGCATTTTTGGTGGCGGACACCGCAGATGTCGCACGTCCCCCGAGGAGCTTCATATGTCCTGAAGCTTCATGGGTGACCCGAAGTTCATCATCAACCAATTGGGGATCAAGAATTCCCTCCAAGCCGGCATTGAGAACCTGCACGACATCCAGAATTTAGAGACGGAAACCAGATCGTTTGGCGCGTACCTTTGCAGCAGATTCTCCGGATGTTCCTTGGTTCACACAGCCACTAGGGTTCGCAGATGCGGTAGGTTTGTCGCCATCGGAAGGAGGCAGATGCGATGCATCCTTGGTGGACCTCAGACATGTGAAAGATCGAGATCATGACCACACACCTCGATATTCTGACTCGGTGAAGCAACTTCAGGGTTGATGTTCTGGACAGCAGGGGTGTGGTTACGGGAACGCTTGAGTTTCTGCACAATATCAGCCATAATGAAAGTAAACATAGCAATCACGTCAACGTACAGAAACTTTTTTAATTACACTCTTCTTAATTTTGCGCACGGCCTGACAGATTCGGCCATGGGGCTGGCTCTAGATGAAGGATCCATCAGAGGCAGCGATGATTTTAGTAGTGCTCGTCGACGGTGATTTCATGAGGCACGTACCGAGCTCTCACCAGCGGTTGTTTCTCCGGATCTGGAGGGCTCTGGGGGAGGTTTCGGCCTATGGTCTTCGCTCATTGCAAATAGTCAAATATTGGGATCAGCCTGAAGGAAGGGAAGTGCAAGAACTGGTTGGAGAAGAGAGTGGTAGGTCCACAGGGATTTTAAATGCAATGGTGGAGTACTAAAAGGTGGCCCCATTCAACGAGGCGAACACCCTTAACCACAAGCCTCGAGGCCGCCTGCGGCAGCAACCAACACGTTGACTTAGAGCGCTAATCATTCAGCCATGTAATGAATGGGCATGGGAGCGTGGGTCGTGTAAGTGCCAGCGAAATGCATCGTCCATCATGCAACGAGTTTGATTCACAGGGTGCAAGATGGTTATGAGATGCATACATATGTGACATAACTATTCGAAAGCAATGACAATCAGTCAGGCTGAATTGGACTGGAAAATTGAAAGAACAAGGTCCACGGCGGCGGGTGGAGCGACTACACTTGCATATAACGCGCACGTCAGAGTGAGGTTTGAACGCAAATGAAGTACCGAGGACTCACCCGAATCCAGAACACGCTCACTAGTAAGTAGAAAGACTCGACAATCTGCAGCTCACACCGTCGGCTGAGCCGGAAAATGCCGAAATCATTCGCTAGGCCTAAAAAAGTTCTCAACTACTTCGTGTGTAATACAGTTGAAATGCTCATAATGCATACCGTTGGGACCGCCAAAACGTTATGCATTATGAGACATATGCAATAGCATATGTGTCACACTATTGTGACGCATGTGACCTCCGCCAAAAGTGTGACAGAAAATCGTCCATAGTAGTCCTACAGAAGTACATGTATTATACCGAGAAGAATCGTTCTAAAGAAGTTTGTCTAGCATTAAGTAGTTCTTCGCGTCGTAGGTTCGCGCGAAACTTAAGAAGTTGTGATGATAAATCAAGTGAAAATTGAGGATCACCATATTGCATGCATCCAACTTCAAGCTGCTGGCACAAATCGAGAATATTTTGATGAGTGATTGATGGATCCGCTTCGTCGTCGTCGTCGTCATCAGAATCAACCTCGATAACTTCACCATTTACAATGGCAATTTCGTGGCGGACCATGTCTGCAATGGATGAGTCACCACCTCCAAAAGCAGGACAAATATTGTTGTGTGGTATCGTACTGTCGTGATTACTTGCTAGCTTCTATACATAGTCGAACGAGACAATACTACTGAAGCAGAACAATAAATTTATGCAATACATTGTTGTACCTATTGTCCTGTCCTATCAATTTGGTACCTCATAATGCATATTGGCTATGCAAAGGTTATGCATTATGCAATATGCATTATGCGGTCAATTACATGGGAACACCGTCGGGATCCAACAAAGTCCATGCATTATGAGACTTATGCATTGTTAGCATATGCATTATGAGCATTTCAACTGTACTAGTATATCTACACGACAGCTGGCCGCATCCAAGGTACCCGCAGTCGAAAATGAACCTATGGTGAGTCTATGTGAGTCACTCCTTCTGAGGCTGAACCATGTCGGTAGCAAAATTATGCTGCAGGAACCGCAGAGCATAACTTAGGGCTTCAAAACTGCCCTTGCTCAGATGCAACAGGAACTTTCATTCGAGGTTCTCCTGTATCGTGAATGGCTCACCTGTTTGTACAGCATGCCACGGGCCAATTCGTCAACGACCTGGATATTAGATCAAAACAAAGTAAACTTGCAAGGCAGACTATACCCTCCGATCACGCCCGTCATCTCTGCACATACCACGAAGCAGATGGATCCACTGTGGCCACCGTGATTGACGGTGCTCTCTCTTTTTCAAGGCTGAGTGGGAGACCATGCCTCGGAGTCTTCCTGCGTGTTGCAGAGCTTGTCAGTGGCCAGTACCATTTCAAGTTGGTGACAGCTACTATGCTTGGTCAAGGGAAGAATGCGTGGCAGGCCGAGATTGATGCTGCCACAGAGGTGTGTAGTGTGTAATTATTTTCGTGACAGTTGATTGACGGGACTTTCGTAGCTCTCAGACTTCTTACGTTTGGGCGTCAAATCTGACGAGGAGCTCTAGGCCAACCAGCCTCCTAAGAACTCATTAGGATCACAGAAGTATGTCCCATCTTGTATGAAACCAGTTCCGATGCTTGGATAGCCGCATAGAGCATCGTGCGACTTCAGTGCAATTGGTGGCAAGCTTCCAGGTGTACGAGCAATTATCATTATTTTATGCGTTCTGAGCGAGCCATTTCTTAGCTCCCGCGCTCGTTGGTAATATAGCTGTCTGGAAGCCTTCCCCAGTGGCCATATATTCCAACTGCCTGATCTACCAGGAGGCCGGTGTCCCACCTGGCATCATCCAGTTCGTTCCTGGGCCACCTCCAGAGATCTGATGAAGCGCCACATTGGTACAGTTTTATGATGAGGAGCTGGCTGCTCAGTATATTTTGTTCGGTGCATAGCAATGGATGCAGCGGCTCGTGAGCGAGCATCCGCGAAATACGTCTACCTGTTTACGAGACATCATGAGCGCTGACTATCATATCTCGACCATTGGGCCGTATAGATCGTTGAGCCGCGTCGCGTGAGAGACATTTTCGCATATCTGTCAGATAATGAGTACCATCCAAAGCGCCAGTGCACACAACACGCACCAAACGCGTCTTCCTCGTCTCGTCCGTCCTTGCCTATCCCCAGATTACCGTAGTATTCTCTTACTCGTCGATATACGCTATATCCCATACCCTCGTACATCGTGATGGCCAGCGCATTGTTACAGCGCACATAAAGATCCACGAAGTAGCCTTTGTACGTCTCGTCTGATGCGAATTCGAGACGCTGGCACATGTTTCGTGCTAGAGAGAGACGGCGGTACTCTGGAGCGACGGATACGGCTGTGATGTGGCCATGCCATTCTGTTTGTGCACCTTCGGCCTTCCCGAGAACTTTCAAAGTGTTTGGTTTGTATCGGCTGATGATATGAAGGTGATTCACGCACTATAGCCTTGTAATCGGCCTCTTGGACTTTCTTGAGTGAAACAGAGGTCTGACCACCTTTGAAGGTAGGTTAGGTAGAAGGTGATACCGTACTGTCAAAAACTATGAGTTCCAAATCCATGGTCGAAGGTATGAGCGACTCGCAGTTTCCGTCCAGACATCCAAATTACTTGTGATTTTCGTTTTAGTGCGTGATGGGAGGTTTAAAGTGTGTCAGACTTACATGTTATTGAATCTGAACAGATCGTTCGCTTTGAAGGGCCTGAGGACGCTCATCAGAAGAGATAAAAGCTGCGTGGGTCACTGTGAAGTGTAGTTGTAAGGAAGCGCGCGTGATTGACAGGCTGACGTACATACAGCCCTACTGCTAATCGAACCCAACCTACCACCTGCAGTACTAAGTACTCCCAACGTCGATAATTGACATGTATAGTACCCAAATAGATGGGAAGTACTGTGATCACTAAATACCAGTGAGTCCACAGCTGTCCACACTGGTAATACTTATTGGTATTACAGCAATTTGAAGGAGGATCTGATTTACTTGGACACCTAGTGCATTGACGCAACCGAGCAACCGCCTAGACCCCTTCTCAGCTTCTCCCGCAAACTATACATTACGATCGCAATTTTGATCTGCACAATTATCTTCGATTCTAGCTTCAAGGAAGATGAAGTAAGTGTCCGAATGCGTGTCAACGGCCTTGGTTCCTAATAACGACAAACACCTGCCAGCAGTGCACGGAGTCCTAGCACATTCTGCACTCAACCCACTCACACACGTTCCCGAGACCCCAGGGCCCTTCGCTCCAGCTGGCTCGATTTCCGACATTGGCAATGTATCAACAGTTCTCCGCTGCATCATCCAACGATTATGGCCAAATGATAATGTCTGCACCTGCTGCAGGCCCTAGCACTGTAGCACCGCATGCAACCACCAATACCGCACCACCACCACCGCCAACGCCGAAGGCGCAGCCGCTTGTAGCGACCGGCAATTGGACGACTGAGCTCGTACAGCTTGCGAAGACAGCTGAACTCAAGTAAGTTATGCGCGTCGTTAAATTGGATTCACCAGCCGCATCGCGATACTGACTCAGTCGCTTACAGAAAACATTCCCTGACGCTGCAACTCCATACCGCTAATATAGTTGCTGCCCATAATACCCTCGAACAGAAGGACAAGGCAATTCAGGATATCAAGGAACAGAAAAATCGGTATGAATCGCCTTTTTCAATGATTCAGCCAATCTATCACACCGCTTTGTGTAATCTACCAGTTTGATTCGCTCATTTGGTGATTTCTCATGTATTGCTGACAGTGATTGCTAATCGTCTTCTGGCAGATTGGACAGCGAACGTGCACGGTTACTTAACGCACTAGCAGAGGTATACGTTCCGTTACTCATCCTTCTCTTATTAATCTAATACAGTTGTCGTTCTGACAGATAAATGCAGACCGTGACAAAGTGCGTTCCGTCGTCGGTATTAAACGTGCCATTTAGGGATATTGCTCACATGTTATCTTTCACCCAAAGGTGGATCTCCTCGAAGCATCCATCACACGAGAGTACGTACTCTTCCCACGTTCTCTTATCCCCCCCGCAGTTAATCAGCTGTGGATGACATAGATGTGCGGATCTGAGGCAGCAAATCCAAACCCTCCAAGAAGGTGAATATGCTATCGCAAAAACGGACGTTGATCGCTTGCGGGCCGAGCTCGGTCAGCCCCCGCTCCCCCCACTCCAAACTAAGCTTGATGAGAAGACATCTCAGTAAGTACAAGTTCCTCCCGGCCCAAGTTTTTAGGGGACCTTCTGTCCGGTTCAGGTGTGTGTGCGCCGCAGCACGTTTTCGGCGATCGGCGCCCCGCCACAGGAGTGTGGTAATTCCTGTTTTGTCGCACGGCGGGGTCGGGAGCTTTTACCCTTGCGTATTCTGGAGCAAGCGGCGCCTGCATGCGTTATTTTTGATACGTGTGCTAACCACCTTGTTATTCCCTAAACAGGTATTTGCGTGATCGCCGGGTAAATGGCGAGAAACGCACTGTGAGCGAGAGTCAACCAGATCATCAACCTAGTACGACAAAACGCCCACGGGGTCGGCCCAAGGGGAGCAAAAACCGTGGTGGCAAAGCAGGTGGCAACGCACCTAGCGGAAGTGCGAGTGCTAGCGGGAGTGCAGTGGCTGGTGGTGGCACTGCATGATTGACCAGTGACAGCTGACAATGGCCGCGATTTCGGTGTGTGATGGCTTGGCAAATGTGAATGAAGGAATATCATATGGCCACCTCGAACCTACGAGACGGTTTTGAGTTGTCTTCGCATGATTGATGGGGCAGGTGATGTAGTGACTTGGCAGCTTGATGCGGGAGCGGCGAGGGACGATCGCTTTGTGGGTTTGATATGGATTCCTGTGGTACCAGGCTGTACATCATATACAACATAAATGACCTTATTGACCTCCTTAGTCTGACGTGATTCAATGATCGTCTCCCCTGCGATGCTGTGCCGAAGCTTTATTCAACGGCTATCTTTGTGCCTTGGCGCGCGCATTTCTCATAGCGACCGCGCTAGATATGTAGCCAAGTTGACTCCGGAGTCCGCATTAGAATCGGCCTTGCCTTGGAAATGTGACTGAGGCGTCGATAATTCCGACTAAGATACCGGACACCGTGCGCAACGCACATGGTACATGGTAATCGGAGTCCAGAAATCCCCGTACTTGATGGACAAGTGTTCCTTAGATCGTGACCAGCCTAGACGTTCCTGTGTAAGTAAGTGACTTGAAGTACCCCTTGGTCGGACCACGCCACACGCCTACTGACATGGGATCATTGTACGCCCTAGGAGTAGGTAAGTGATACAGGGCATTATTAGATTTATTGGACAATCGATTCGTATATCCGACTCGGATGGAGAGAAGACGAGATATGATAGATATGATATGATACACGGGTCTGATACACGTAGATGCGTCAAAATGAGTCATCTTCCCCGCAACAATCGCGGCTAAGGGTGCTTGAGCGCAGAAGATCGTCGATGTAAACAGAATCAGAATAATTCCGGAAGCCGTGTCAGCATGACTAGACCGTCCCGGGCAGGCAGCCAAGTTAACCGACAGACGATTCTGGTGGTAACATTACGCAGGCTAAATGCATCCTATGAGGGATACTTGAAGTGGCGGGAAATTGAAAAAGTTATTATAGGTACTTGGACAGAAGATTCCATATTGGCGTTATAGGGAGTATGGAAGCTACCTTTAACGTTGTACCAAGAGCCGAAGAGAGTTGGAAGGTGTCAGCTGAGCTCGCTGTTCCGAGTAATGAAGGGAGCCGTTGGAACGTTGGCCGGCGGTATGGCGTGTGGTGATTGCGCAGAACGCGGCTGAGAGCGGTCGTATCGGCTAATGACACTGCGAGCGTTACGGTGCTGTGCCGGATATTACCGAATGAGCGACCGTTTAACATTAAATCCTAATTAGGAATTTTATTTAGTAATGAACCACCCTTTTGCGGCTGTGGCAATTCGTCACGCTTCATTCAGCACGCCGAGTCACCACAGCAGTGAAAAGCCGAAACGATTATGCATCCTCCGGCCCTTCCTTTCTAATCGCTCATGTCACTACTTGTCCATTTTAGTAAGTAACCGATCCGGCTCTCTTGCTGTTCCTCCCATCCGGTGTCCCTTTATATAACACCCCATTCAATCCAACATGAATCCCCCAAAGCTGTCTCCGCTTCAGGCTCTCTCTGCCATCATCATATCCACAAGACAGTCATGGTCCTCTCCACTTCCATCCACAAGGCGAGCCTCGTAGACCCTGCTCTACATTCACCTGCTCTCTTGGAGCTCATCGAAATAAAGCTTTCACGACCTGTTATCGGTATGTTCTCTTCTTACATTCCATGTCTTATTCATCCTAACAAGTTCCTAGAATATGTCGTTGATTGTGTAGTAGACACTGTTGACTACGCCATGGGTCGTCCATCATCATCATCTCGTCGTGGCCGCAGCATGTCTCGCCGCCCAGAGCACACCAAATTCACTACATTCGTCTCGAATGTTCTCACCCGAGCAGAAGTCACCCTTCCTACACTTCTCGTCTCGTTGGTTTACATCAATCGCGCCAAACCCCACTTGCAAATCGCCCTGGAGGAGTGGGCGTGCGAGCGCGTCTTTCTCGGCGCCGTAATGGTTGCCAGCAAGGTACATCTACTCCTTCCCATGCCACTCCCAACCCCTGACTGACTTTTTATCATGACAGTTTTCAAATGACTCCACACTTAAAAATGTTCACTGGGCGCTATGCACTGGCGTGTTCGGCAAACGTGATGTTGGTCGAATCGAACGAGAATTCCTCGACGTTCTTGATTTTGATCTGTCCGTGACCGAAGATGATATTCTGAGCCACCACGATGGCTTGTCTTCAGTCGCTCTTCCTTCGCACGACTTTCGCAGACTCGCAGACTATACACCATCCCACGCACATTCACATTCGCAATACCAGCGTTCACACCAAGCTCATTGCCCAGATTTGGATCCATCTAGCCCTCACTCTTCATCATCTGGGAGTTCGCCTCAGCCACTCACTCCCGAGGCTGTGGAAAACCCTTCATTCAATCCTGCCGTCAAGTCACATCGCGATTCGATGGAACTCGTAATTCCACCCCCACCACCGCCGAAGAAGTCGCTACATCCTTCATCCACACTTGACTTGCTACGCGCATTCCCTCTGCCTGTACCTCATTCGAATTCACGTTCTCAGCTTCCTAATTCCCACAAGCCGCACAATCGTTATTCGCATTTCCCTTTCAAGAATCCAGTGATGCAAGTCGCTGCGTAGATAACTTTTGTTTCTCCCAACACAAACGTCATCCCTTGCTCAATCGTTTTCGTAACCTTATTATGTGGTGTCGCTATATTTTTAAGACTTATTCCACATCTGCCTCGTGCTCAAAAGCTTATCGTCGCATATCCTACTATCGTCAAATACTATGATCAATCATTGATTTTATCTCACTCCCAAGCACATGTTCGACCGGGCCTGACACGTCCGCTGACTCCACTGCACGTATCAAGTGCCACGTTTGCAATTGAGGGTGTTGTGCACATGATGCAAATCATACCACTAGTAGAGTTTTCTCGCGCGTGCATCAAACTCATTGACGGTAAGCGCCTAATACCCGGGACCCGGAGTCCGATGAGATGATGTTGCTTCTTCGGCTTCGGACGTGAGGCTTGCAACATGCCACATTATTATCACTTTGGTCGGATGCGAAGCACGCAGCGAAGGGCTAACCGAGAAACTTCATATTACGAGGGCGAGGACCGCGTCACTTGGAAAATTTCCTTGACCACCGGACAACGGGATATCGATGTGTGTGGTGGTATGAAAACCCAAATGAAAATTCTATGAAAAGCGGACGTCGTGCGAGGACAGCCGCCGATATCATGAAAACACGTCGGTCGGTCGCGACCAGCCCAAGTTACCTTTGTTTTTACTTTGGGTATATATTTTTACGTCATTTTGCTTACGAGCTTTTGATATTAAATTTATTGTCCTCTTTACTTCTATCATGGTCAAGTTGAACCAATATACTTCGTATATGCATACCGCAAGCATATGTATTTACTTGCAATTGATTTCTCACGAGGAGAATCCCGTACACGATGCCTAGTCATTCACAGCTGCACACAGCACGATCGGGCACAGTGCCACACGTTGCGCCCGCGAGTCAAATACCACAAGTCACATCTGCAGCATTTCTTTTTCAGGAACGGTCGACAAAACCCTAACCGCGAATCTCCTGGAATTAGGTTGTTCTCTCCTGCCCAGTCGGAGTATACGTATGTCACAGGGCAATCGGCTTGCGTGTTTTTTTTCTCTTGGGTGGGTTGGGGGTGTGACATAATAATCTTGACAAGTGATTGGGTGTGAGGTACCTTGACAAGTGACACTTACGGTTTTTTTCAATGGGCGTCCATCAGTGGGAGAGCCGTCGCTTCTGGCATGAGTTATGCCCGCAGCACCGTGACCGTGTACGGTCATTCAATTTCACGCTGCGGGATGTCATTGCACAGCAGAAAACAGCACCTTACTACATGGTGTACACGGAAGGCGCCCGCACTGCATACCCCCAACGGCCGATTGGCCTTTCATTCCTGTACGTTCTGGAGTCGTTCTATTAGTATTACGAGCGGTTAGCTGATAAGCAAAGTAATAATAGATTCCGTTTTCAATTGACGCCAGCTCCAGTGCGGGAGTATATGGCTCAACTTTGCTTCGAAACGCAGGCATGGTTTACTTTTACTTGAGATTTTGTTTCCGAGTCGACGACGCCGGCGGTTCGTCAGTGGGAGAGGTGTGTCATGCGTCGTTTCTGGTAGGCCGCGCAGCAGCACCGTGTATACGCCTCGACTACCACCGCTGCGGGAATTACTCAACGTCGTCGAGGCAGCGCTTAGGCTTTACTACATGCTGCACACGCCGAAGCCGCCCCGGGCCGAACCCTTCCAATGGCTTCGGTCCTGTACGTCCCAAGTAATCGGAATGCAATGATACTATCACAAGCTCCAGATAGCTGATAAGTCTCAGCTTCCAGGGTTTGCGCACTTTTGCTATCACCCATTCAAACCCGTTTAAGGGAAAGCTCTATCTCGACCCGGCTTCACTAGTACTACGAAACGGCTACTAGTGGTTGATTGTCCCTCATACATCCGCTGGCTGTCAATGACAGGCGGTACATGTATCGAGTAATCTGATAGGTCTATCTTGACTGGGGTTATGTGGCTTTTGCGTATTTTTGCTATTGTCCGCTTGATTCGGATGCATATGGGTTTCATACACCCAATCCGTTAAAGGGATGGGCTTCGTACACCAGGCCCCAGGGATGGGACACCTCAATCCGTTAAAGGCATGGACTTCGTACACCTCAATCCGTTAAAGGTATGGGCTTCGTACACCTCAATCCGTTTCAGGGGATGGCACAACAAGCTTCGCAGTTATCTACGACCCTCGTTATGAACTCTTCCGCAGTGGTGATTAAGATCGTCTATCCGGAATTCCTGCTTCATATTTCCAATATCACCCTTCAAAACGTTATGCCAAGTTAACGGGCTTAGCTAGTGGCGTATCTGTATCATCGTTCGAACTGAGATGAGATACGTTGCTTAGACACCACCTTCGTTCCCGCGTCCAGTCTAGTCCCTTGATACGTGCGACCTTGCATGCCACTCAAGTTAGCACATATCCCTCTGAAGCCGGTTCTTCCCCGCACATCGTTATCTAAAAACCAAAAGTTGCAAGAATAGATCCTAAGAGCACTAATAACACCACACAATTATTTACGATCCACGATCCAGAAACAGGAATAGCGACTGCTGTTTACATTGTTGAAATCCACACAAGCAAAATTCGTTGAGATTAGGGGATGTAGATCTTCGAATACCCGTCCACGCTGTCAATGGAATGTCAATAGAGTATCTCGGTAAAGAAAAGTACTCACTTTCTTCGACAGCAGGGACACGTGTGCGTGGATGCTGACGAACGGGACGCAAGATTCTCGCGGCAGTCATCACACACCGCTAGACATCTGCCAGACAGACGAATCAGCTTTACGTCGATTCTCAGGTGAAATCACACTCTGTTACTCACCGACATGGCCAACATATGATTTGGCGTGGCTCAACCGTACATATCACACAATTTCTCCTCGCCTCGTCGTTTGGGTCTCCATGCGTTCCAGTCCCGCTGGAAGACGATCGTCGGATCGCAGCAACGTCGGACCAGTCGCTAAGAAGGCTGTCACTGCGGTGAGAAGGCACCGACATAAGGTGCTGGAATCGTTGTCTTGTCATTGGCAACGCCGAATCATGCGTCATGTGTGCCACCAAAACCGAGGCAGAAGTCATGACCGAGGGAGCGGAAGAGAGGTCCGAGAACAAGCTGACGGTCTCGTTTGTGTCTTGGCGTAAAACTTCTTCTTCTTCTTCTTTTTCCTCTTCTCCTTCCTCTTCCTCCTCGCTGTCGTGCCCAGACCTCCAAGAAGTCGGGCTAGTAGAGCCGTTCCGCTCCGCTTCAGAAGGGTGATATTCAAAATCTTCATCCTCTTCGTCCATGGGTTCTCCCCTAATGAATCGTTCGTACAACTCTTCTTCTTCTTCGGCATCATCGGCATCTAGATCTTGATTCCGCTCACGCCTGGTGCCCTCGCTCCTAACAACCAAGCGCCTCGGAGGGAAATGAGGCACCCTCCTCGACCTCCACCGAAGCAAACTCCAAACCTTCCCCACCAACCTCCTCACACACCGCACCACACCCACCCCAAGCCTCCCAAGCTCCCTACACCAAGCCATATCCACCCAAATATCCCCTCCAGTCGTGATCACCCTCACATTCTTGATTTCATTCGAAAACCCGTTCTTGAAGCGGCGCTGTTTGATAGAGCCTTGGACAGCTGGAGAGAGCGAAGCTACTCCCAGGCGATTCAGCTCGATAGTGCCGTCGCTTAAAGGAATAGGCACGGGCGCAGCCACACCCCCTACTTGGTTCCCGAGGCCCATGACGCTCGACGCCTCGAGGCTCGCAGTACCCATGCGCAACAACGCCACCGAGAAATCTTCATCCCATTTCGGAAGAAGAGCAGCTTGGTGGCCGAATAGGAGACGGGAGACCTTGCCCTCTGTGACAATCTGGGTGAATGCGTTGAGGAAAAGGGCGAGGAAGACGACTGCGATAAGGGTGGATTCGAATAAGCAAGGTACGTAGTTGAGCAACGGGTAAGATGAATCTGATAGCCAGAGGACTGAATGGAAGTGGGTGAGTGCGAGGAAGGAGACGAATGCTGATGGGAAGAGGCGGTGGGATGACCAATCTTGCTTGATCCCGATCAAGTGGATGATTGCGAGCTAGAAAGGGGTGTTGGGTTATCATCCTGAGGCGAGGCAAGATAGCCGGCGAACCTGGAGCAATGGTAGTAGGATAGTGAATACTACATGCTTGTCTGGCCGAGAAGTCGAGCCTTCGAGCTTTATCCAGTGAGTCACTGGGGAAGAGTAGGTGTGCAAAACAAATGCATAGCCAAACTTTTTTTCCTTCACGTGAGTGAGTGATGTTGGATATTGCGCTAGAACCGCACCAGATTAAATGGTGAAGGGCGGTGCGCTCCGCCTTCTAAACCATGTGTTAGTCCTTCCATGCATAAGACGCCACAGACAGAGCAAAAAGTGGACCAGCAGAGGTCGGCTGTTTCTCTTTGGGCGACGTAAGTCCCAATTGACTGTAACCATGACGAGTTGGATGTTGGAAACTTGTCTGCTGCTTGAGCGAGGACGATGAGCCATATAACGAGCATCTTGAGGATGAAGTATAGGGAAGGCAACCGCAGCACGAGACGGCCCATTGAAGACGACAAATCCAAGGGGAAAACCAACGGGATAGTAGAATGCGGGAATGCACGGAGCCCTGCTGTACGAGAAAACCGGCCGATAAACTGATCCCTAGGAGGAACTACGATGTTCCGAATACGATGTAAGAGAACCGCCTGGTGCGCAAGTCAGTTGCAGAACACATATATTACTCGGGGGTACGACACACCATCAAGATTAATCCAAAAACATACCAAGATGTCAGAAAACTCCAAGGACCTGATAAAGGTGAGGATATGGGTGGGGGAGGCTGTAAGATTAAAAATCCATTGGAATCCAGGTCATGCCTATCTGCCAAGGCAAACAAATTCTCTGAACCCTGCATCCTCCATCTGTCGTCTGTGCCCCACCTCCGCATGCGACCCAGAAAATGGGCTGGGTAGGTCAATAGTGTGAAAGATGCCTGGATAACACTTGTTTTTGCAAGTCTGAATACTTCACCGCCTGTAGCATTCGCTAACATCACCGTTAAAGCGAGAAGGAGAAGAAGAAGAAAAAGGAGATGTGGACGAAGCAGCCAGCAGATTTATCAGCCTCGTTGTTAGAATCGCATCATCCCGGGATTAAAGCCAAGAGGTCTGTTGGAGTAATGATGCAAACTGGCAAAAGGGCTTCCGAAGTCGAGAATCAATAAAGTCGCTTAGTCAACAGCACAACACCACATCTCGACATCTTTTCAATTGACACCTAGACCTTTTTTGCAAAAGGCGTAAGTAGTTTAAGCAACCTTGAAGAACACTTACATGCTCGCAGCAGCTTACAGAAACGTCTGCAGGCACTCCAACACGCACAAGGCACTCCTGAAAAGCTTCACAGTCTCAAAATGTGCGCGTCACTTCTCTATAACGCCCAAACTTGATCCTACTATTCGTGAATTCGTGTCTTGTCTGGCTCAGAAACAACCGAGCTTCAGAGTATCGTCGAAAGATGTGCATGTACTCGCGCAGCCTTCTGAATTCTACACAAACCTACTCGTAAGCACTCGTATCCTTTCTTCATGAGGCTTTCTGATGATGCGCATCGTAGAACATCATCCGCCGTGCACGCCGGCGGATATTTCTGTCGTCATTATACATTGGTTTCTCAGAGACAGAACTGGTGGGCACATCCATATATTTCGCAGCCAAGAACCATATTCTAAACAATTACCAGATAGATACTTTAGACGATGCACTTCGGAGAAATCCAGGTCTGCACCTCTACTTGAACTTGGACTACAACCGCTCAACTCGACCTGGCCCATCATCTCCCATTCTCTCCCTTCTTCCCCTTCTCCGGAACCACGAGCACAGAGTACATATATCCCTCTTTCGGAGTCCAAAGCTCAGCGCAACGATGGGAAAGATAGTCCCCCCTCGATTCAACGAAGGCTGGGGTACCTGGCATGCTAAAATCTACGGCTCAGACGACGAAGTCATGATCAGCGGGTCAGTCATCTAAGCCTCCCAAAAAAAAACCCATCCACTAACGCAAACCAAAAAAAACCAGAGCAAACTTGAACAAGGCATATTTCTCAAACAGACAAGATCGCTATCTGCATTTCAGCGCCCAACCCGCTCTCGCAGATTACTGTTTCTCCTTCTTGCAGACCGTCTCTGGGTTTTCGTATCGCGTGCTGGCAGCGTCAGATGGACATGGACCGGTTCTTCATTGGGAAGACACGTCTGTTTCGCCTTGCCGGATTCAGGCAAAGGCGGAACGTGTGTTGTCACAGTTTCAAATGAAACATCTCCTTTCTTCTCCCAGCAGTACTAGTGAAGAGCACGCAAATTCGGATGTAGTCATCTTTCCTGTTATCCAAGCTGGGCAGTTCAATATCCGAGAGGAGGAGCTTGCGTTGTCGATGCTCTTCGATCACCTGTCATCTCGCGAACGCATTGGCAAACAACCTGTCATGGATCTAACAAGTGGCTACTTTGGGTTATCCAGAGAATACCAGGATCTGATCTTGAAATCCGACATTGGATGTAGTATCATAGCAGCTAGCCCGAAGGTAAGTTTTTTCCCAAGACCAGTTGGCTGGCTGGTAATGACGTAACCGTTCTCAGGCAAATGGTTTCTACGGGTCTGGTGGCTTGTCTGGGCTCATCCCTGAAGGATATACTTTATTGGAGCAACGCTTTATGTCGGCTGTAAGAGCCGCGAGCCGATCTTCTCCTTCGAATGTTCCAGACGGTCGTAATATCAGCCTTGGAGAGTGGGAGAGGGATGGTTGGACATATCATGCGAAAGGTGAGTTCTGTATTGCGTTTTGGGGTGCTGGACCTCATATCGCCGCTCCTCTAGGGATTTGGCTCTCTCCTTCAGTGGACTCACCGCCAGTACTTACGCTTTTTGGGTCGACGAACTTGAACTCACGTTCAGCGAACCTTGACACAGAGTTGTCTTTCGTGATGGCGACTTCGTCTGACGATCTGCGTCAGAAATTGCATGAGGAAGTTCAGGGACTGAACCGGTGGGCGGTGCCTTGGAGGGGCGGAGAAAGAAAGGTCAGGTGGCGCACGAAGGCCATTGTGGGTCTCGTTGGTGGGATGTTGTAGGCCGGTTACAGCTATCACTGTCATTTCGCGTCATTTCTGCTGTCTTTCACTAGCAGACAAAGAAGTTGTCGAGGAAATACAACTGTTCAATGGTACGAACATTACGAAACGTCTACTTCACTCGGGCTTGGATTGATACTGGCAGTGACGTCGGCCGTTTGGTTCTTGGCCTCTTTGTTGTTGTTGTCACTCGATTTCTTGCTGCCTGTACCTCCTGGAACCGAAACATACTCAAACTTCCGAGTATCCAACGTCAGAGTAATAGGTCCCTATGCACACGTATGCATCACTGCATAAAAAGCCCGAACAATAATACCCCATACCTCATTTGTCAATGAGACGTTCATCATAGCACCGAATTGCCCATCTGGAAAAGTACATTAAGCACGACATCGTGCATTCAACTAGGACGAGCCGACCTTGTATTCGATCTGGCACGTACAGCTTGCGCATCTTCTCAAGAAATGTCGCATACAGTTCTCTGGAGGCGTTTGAGGACTGCAGACTAACAATGCGATCGCCGTTAAATGATGAAGAAACGAACTTGGCGCACCATCGCGCGATGAAAATCAGGTTTGTTGCCCTTGGTAGTGTTCGCCATTAGAGTGAACTGGGAGACGCAGAGAACCTCTCCGGCGATATCCTTCACGCTCGATTTCCACATGATATCATTGGCATCGAAGACACGGATGTTGAGTCTGTAGTACTACTGGTTAGCGCGAGGACAAGATCGAGGATGCGCGTTTGTCCTTGCATTTTGTTTGTCAATGATTCGACATCTGCGAGGGTGTCATCTGTCCTGCGCGAGTACTATAATCGCTGTCTGTACGGAATGAGGGGGAGGGTTATCCGTACCGGTACCGATTCCAACTAGGACCATCAGTCCTCGGGATATGCTTGAAATTACATTTCCGTCGACTGTGATGGCAGGTTAGGTCAACTTTGGTATATTAATCATTTTTCACCTGATACCGAAGCTGATGCGACGCGTTGAACGACAGCTCTCATCTTGTAGCGCGTCGATGCTTACGCCGGGTCCGATGCAAGTTATTGTGCTTAGTCAAGCAGATTGACTCATCACCATCACTTTGAGCTTACGCGTTGGGCATGACTCATGACTCAATTGCACTGTCCATCCATCAATATTTAGCGAGTCACGTATGATGCTGATACGTGTACCCGGTGGGGAACTCTAGCCACGTCCAAAAATACGACATTCGCTGACAAGAATCGGACGCGACCTCGGCGCCCAGTCACGGTCACCCATCGCTGTCCACTGACTCCATTCATGACCATCAGCTCGCCTAGTAACACTACTGAATGATCGGAAGAGAAGCACGAGTACGTATTGTCTCAGGATCAGCTCCAGTAGACCTGACAGACACAAAGTGTCTTCTATAAATTAATATTCATATAGCGCCCTTTCATCGTTTCTGGTAGCTTGTTATTTCCGTTACAGCTCTTGTCACCAATCGAGATCATTGCTACGTCAACAGGTTGTCACTACCAACTCCAATGGTCCCAGAAATTCTAGGCCGTTCCATAATCATTTCAAGTTCAAAATCTTCAAGTTCACCGTTCCCATCAACACGACACCCATCCTAACTCAATAACCAGAACTCCATGGGGACTGGCCTGGTATTTCATCGCATTGCAATTTCCAACCGCAGATCTCTAGCTTGTGCATATCATTATTATATTTGCCTCCGTGTCTTGCCCACGCCATCGCAGATCATTCATCAACTCTAGCAGATAGGCTTGGTCAGCGGTGCCACAACTATGGTAGATCTGCGCAGCGCGCGGAGATACTTCTGGCACGGGGAGTCGGGGACTGCCTACATATTTCACATACCCGCATTGCAAATAATTCACAACTCTGGCGTACTCAGGTCTGCGCTCGTTCCAGTTAGACAACACGAATATATCGGGCTGAACTAGAAGGTCAATATACAATGTACGTGGAATTCGGGCCCTTCTGGAGTACGCACCATGCTTTACTCCTCTGGCTGCCGCTGGAAAGTTCCACTTTACGGCAAAGCTCCCTGATATCTGTCTCTTTGAGGGTTCAAGAGCTCGGGAAAGGCTTCATGAACTGATCATCAAGGTACAGCGCTCTCTTACATGAAAAACTAACGTCATTAAACAACTGTATCAGATTGTTAGGACTCCGACCGAGGATGCTAAAATATGTAAGTACTGACCTTGCACAGCTGTTATTAGGCACACCGATCTGGGCGTTCCTTCATTAAACCCGGGTGATCGCGTACTGTCCGATGGATTCGGCGAATTCCACATTTCAAGTCGTGCTCTCAGGAAGCGAGTTAACGTTGGCATCTTGCGCCCAGATTGCAGGGGTGTCGATGGAACTGATCAGAACCGCGGTCTTTTCGTGGTCCCGAGGTGACGTAGGCACAACAAAGATCGGAGTCGACGGGACCCTGACTGGTACTGGGCTTGTCTCTGCGTTTGTATCGTGAGTTTTTGGTTGTGGGGACATGACGTACCCGATGTTTTTAGGCCTAAGATTAAGGTTTCTGTTGTCCAAAAACTTGGCAATTGTTAGACGAACACTGAGGTATGAGAACAAGAAGAAAATGATGGTCACAAACGGACCCATTCACGGCCTGCAGGACCATCGGATCCCGTCAGGGGTCTACGCGATATATTTATGAGCTGTCGAGATGAAGACAACGAAGGCAAGACTCGCAGAGAAATGGAAGACACCATTCTCCTCGGTCAGGGTGATTTCTTCCCTGGTCTGCATGTGACTTGAGTTCGCGCTGGGATTCGCAGAGCACATGAGAGTCTTTCACCTTCAACTTCAGGTAAGTTGCAGCACCAACAACGTTCCCTGTGATTTCGCAAACGCTAGTCTATGCTTTGCTTGAGAAGCTATCGTGAGCATGTTTTCGGCCCTTGGTCAGACATGACTTATAGGTTCGATTCATGTAGGTCACTGGCATGCCAATCAAGAACGCAACTGTGATTTGACCGTGACAGTTCCGGATTGAAGACTGTGCTCGACAGCGGTCCCGGACTTCCTGGATCACATTTGATCTACCACCCAAACACCACTGGAACGAGGGTATTTCATTTTTGAAACTCCACGCGGGACATCCATACCTCTGGCGTACGTCTGTTCGTTCCATGGCAGAAAGTACCGGAAAGGCATACCCTAAGAACAATGTATTAATAGTGCCGAGCCATGATCAACCCGTTACAGCAATGACATTAAGGAGTAGTAGTCTGATGCGCCGATGTTAAATTAGACGATGCTGAGGGAAGCTACGCATGTCGATGCAGATACTCCGATAACGGTCATCGACGAGAAGCCTTATCGCAATGGTCTGAACTAGATCAAACGTGAATTTTTGCACCGAAAGCCAGGTACGAGAATCATTACCTATTGAATTGCACACAAACTCGTCATTTCATGACGTCTGAAGTAGAGTGTGGGACCTAAGCTACGTCCACGATGGTACCGCATCCTAAACACCAATTTTCAATGTAAACAGTTGCAACTTGTCCTGGTGCAACAGCCTTCTGCGGTTCATCGAAATCTATGCGAATGTGGCCATTGTCACTGAGCTAATTAGCTGGTTGTGAACGACAGAAATCACAGCTGGACTCACGAGTATACAGAGCAGCCTATGTCAGACATCACATGCCGGAATTTTATACCCGCTTTGAGACCGCCGGGGTTCACGAGCTCTTTCGGTGGGCTATCAGCCCATATCCAAGTCCAATCACGAACAGTCAGAGATTGTGCGTATAATGCTGGATGATCCCTGAAAGTCATTGAGAGCAAGAAATTTGAAGAACTTAGCGATACTGACGTTCCAGAAACGACGTATATTATGTTCTTCGGGATATCTTTCTTTACCACAAAGGTCTTCTCTTTGAGACCCTTCACTTTAGCACCCTGACCTATAGTGAAATTCCATGGTCCTGCATGTTCACCCACTTGGAGTCCTGTTTCCAGATCGATGATCGGCCCAGGTTTGGGTGGTATATATTGGGCTGAGTTAGACGGTTCAGCGAATGATACCAGGCACGCAATCTGAGCTCACATATAAAGTCGTGGAATTTGCGTTTCTCCCCCACAAAACATATCCCCATGCTTTCTGCTCTGGCTGCCGTTGGTAAGTTCCACTTTACGGCAAGTTCTCTGACTTCTGTCTTCTTTATGGTTCCTAGAGGGAACAGAGCACGAGAAAGGCTATGTTCAGGGATTGAAGATAAATAATAAGTCTGGTCTTTTGTAACGTCGCAAGGACGAAGAAGCCTTGGTCGTGAAACGCCGTTATGGTTTTTCCAATCTTTGCTTGCGTAGTGGCCTGCACGCATGCCGGACGATGAGTTAAACTAAGCATGAAAGAAAATAGATCAAGTACCAGTTGCAATCCATGGAGTGTTTGAAAGTCCATGATCCTCAGTCAGGCGGTCAAGCAATGCGCCGAATTTCACTTCTCTGGCCCAGCATCAAGAATCAATTTATTAGCTACGTATGAAACAGCTCACTTGTTACACCACACGTCAGGATTAGGCGTGATACCGCTCTCCCAGGACTTCAAAGAGGGCTCGAATACCCGCGTCCAGTATTCACGGGAGAGATCTACCTGTAAGTTGACTTGGAAGTTTCCGATGCTGGGATAATGAATGTAGAACATACCATTTTACAAGGTATATCGAGCACCCCGCACACGCGTCTGACGTCCTCCCAGTCTTTCTCCCACTCACACCCATGATCTGAACCAGACTCGTCGCGCGTATCCCAATTGCGCATGAACACTGCTGATAGGTCATAATCCTGCAGGTGATATATATATATATATATGGACTATTTCAGCATGGCATATGTTGCTCACTTTGTCCGCTAGTAATTTTGCGGTGACGGAAGAATCCACTCCTCCGGACATTGCAACGACGACTGGGTATGACTCAGTGGGATACCACGAGCACAAAGCATTTCACTTACCCTTGTCGCCTTTTCTCGGTATTTGTGTCCGGGGGTCATAATAGGACCGGATATGTAACTTTTGTAGTCGCAAAAAGCGACATTGTCGAAACATCGCGGTCTGACTTCTCGAAAGCGTGACAGCGGAACAGTGCGTGACAAGTGCGTGACCCGAGGTAACTCTGCTAGTCATTGCACATCATGATCCTGGCACGGACACCAGCTTTTCTTCAAGATCAAATTACACGACCATCAATAAAAATCAAAGACGGGAACCGAACACGCATTATTTTTGGCAACTGACCCAATCGCTTTTAAATGGTCCAAGGATCAAAGACAGAAGGTAAACCCATGACACAATCCAATCTCCTTCATCCCTCAACTCACAATCTAAGCAAGGCCCCTCCCAGGCCGAGATCCTCCTTCGAGTAACCTCCGGAATCGCCGCAGAACTAATCAAAGCCCACGATTCCAACCAAACTGTCTCCCTGAACGAACTCCGCGCAAAGATCTCTAAGAAATATGGCTTCAGCGGCGTGCCGAGGCTGGTGGATATCATCAGCGCCATACCGGATGAATATAAAAAGGCGCTTTTGCCTAAACTCCGTGCAAGACCTATAAGAACAGCCAGTGGTGTACGTGTTCGCCTTTACCTCGCAGAAGTCCAGCTGCATCTGACGGTCCCTGATAGATCGCTGTGGTAGCAGTGATGTGCAAGCCGCATCGATGTCCCCACATTGCTATGACGGGGAACATTTGCGTGTACGTTCCACTTTGTTGTCTCTATATGTGTTCCTCATCCCTGCGACAGATACTGCCCAGGTGGGCCAGACTCTGATTTTGACTATAGCACGCAAAGTTACACTGGGTATGAACCGACGAGCATGCGTGCTATCCGCGCGCGCTATGACCCGTACGAGCAGACACGAGGTCGTGTTGAACAGCTAAAAGCCCTTGGTCATAGCGTCGACAAAGTCGAATTCATTATCATGGGCGGTACTTTCATGAGTATGCCAGAGGACTACCGCGCAAAGTTCGTCGCACAACTACATAACGCTCTATCTGGCTTCACGGGCACCGATGTTGATGAAGCAGTACGGTAAATGTTGCCCTATTCTGGCTTTAGCAGTATGATATTTACACATGCCTCGTATAGATATTCGGAACAAAGCAAGTCGAAGGCGATTGGGATAACCATTGAGACGCGACCAGACTACTGTTTGAGGCCTCATCTCTCCCAAATGCTTCGCTACGGCTGCACGCGCCTTGAAATCGGCGTCCAATCAGTATACGAGGACGTTGCCCGAGACACAAATCGCGGACATACCGTGCGTGCCGTGTCCGAGTCATTCCACATGGCCAAAGATGCAGGGTTCAAAGTCGTCGCTCACATGATGCCTGATCTCCCAAATGTGGGACTGGAGCGCGATCTTGAGCAGTTCAAGGAGTATTTTGAGAACCCGGCGTTTAGGAGTGATGGATTGAAGATATATCCTACATTGGTCATTCGAGGGACGGGCTTGTATGAGCTTTGGCGGACGGGCAAGTACAAGAACTACACGCCTAATGTCTTGGTGGATGTCGTTGCCCGGATATTGGCACTCGTACCTCCGTGGACGCGAGTATATCGCGTACAAAGGTTGGTCTCGTGAAGTCGGTGTGAAATAGCAGGATTCTGACAAAGCTACTCATTATAGAGATATTCCGTTACCGCTAGTCACAAGCGGCTGTGAAAATTCGGGCAACCTACGAGAGCTGGCCCTCAACCGCATGAAAGATTTCGGCGCAGAATGCAGGGATGTACGATATCGCGAAGTTGGCGTGCGTATGAAATTCTGAAATATATTGCTCAAATACTGATATTCATACAGATACATGAAATACACCACAAAGTACGACCGGAGTCTGTCGAGCTCCTCAGACGAGATTATGCTGCCAACGGCGGGTGGGAGACCTTCCTTTCGTACGAGGACCCAGAGCAGGACATTCTGATTGGGCTTCTTCGTCTACGGAAGTGTTCCGACGAGGGCACCTTCCGGCCCGAGCTTGTACGCAAAGAAGGCGCAGAGGGAGGGTCGAGTATCGTCCGCGAACTCCATGTGTATGGCACCGCGGTTCCAGTACACGGGCGCGACCCGACAAAGTTCCAACATCAGGGGTTTGGGACGCTGCTCATGGAAGAAGCAGAACGAATAGCACGGGAGGAACATGGGAGTGTGAAGCTCGCCGTCATATCAGGTATGATTTTTTTAATTATAAAGGGAAGCTTGACTCAAGCCTTCCCCACAGGTGTCGGTACTCGAGATTATTACCGCAAGTTGGGGTACGAGCTCGATGGTCCATACATGAGCAAATCATTGCTATAGCACACGAGTGTGTGAGGAATCCTAACTATAGCAGAACGATCCTGATTTCGTGCCGATGTGACGTAAAGGCACGAACATGTCACTAACAAGAACTTAGTATACATCTTCCAGAATCCTTTTTGCTTCGATGGAATCAAGCCACAGGAATCAATGCAGTGTGTTGTCATTTTTGCACTGCTTGGTTATAATTGTGGTGGGTGTGTTTCAGGCGGAGCTCTTTCCAAGTCCTTTTAGAACACGTTGCTTCTCGAGACTCATTAGATTTGAGAGTCTCTGTCCGAAATCTCATTCTGTCCCGTGTGTCCAAGCACTTGTTATTAGATTCACCTCGACCCCGGGCCGCCATAGCTTCAATAAATTTACAGGTAACCGACAAGGTCCAAACCCTCCTTGGATCTCTTGCTCAGTCTCTTGGATGTGTAGGGGAAGAGTAAGAATCCTGGTCAATATCAGATATACTCATGGACCTGATGTCCAGACTTTTGCTTAGACCCGAAATGCTGCCGCTCTTTCACGTGCCAAAACCGACACAGCGTGCACGAGCTCGAAATGCGCACGATGCTTGCAAGGCGGCCAACGTCGCGACCGCAAGTATTGTGCCACAGTAAGTAAACGTTTAAATACTCAGGTGATGGACCAGTCCTGAACCCTGATTCGATTCTGCACAGGAATGGTGCGAATGTGAATGTCCGCGATTCATCAACATACTACTCGCCAACATATTTCAAAGAGATGCTCAACCTCCACCTCACCTAATTCTTGCGAGTCACGTTCGACCTCCGGTAGCTGCGCACAGTGTTCCACCGTTACCCCCGGTGCGAATACGCCTTACTTCCTTGGATGCCACGCAGAGCAAAGCACGTCTAACAACGTAGGTCAAAGCACTAAATCCGTAAACAGAGCTAAATACTTCGACAGTGGCAAGGTGTCTAACGCGGCTGGTACTACACCTACAGATCGCTGACATGATTTCCAGGGCGGTGAAGATGTATTTGCTTCGTCGAATAGTACATATCCACCAAAGCGATCCCTCTCTGTCGGTTCCGCTCAAAACATCGTCTCTGGAACCCTACGCAAACGATATAGTAGATCGGACCCCGAGTTGCATGAGCCAAAAATCGAAGACCCGTGTACAGCGTCCAACCCTGTGCGTTTTATTGTTTCTTTTTAGGTTCTTTATCATTTTGACGCAGAGACGCTATCACGCGACAAAGAACAAGCTCTTTGACCTGAACAACTCCTCTACCCCAAGGTCTAGTACAACAACCCTGAGCAACCTATCATTACAACAACTGCCCGAGCCTGCCACTGCTACGACATCCGGGATGCCCGCGGTCGCTGGTACTGCGGTAGCGGATGGAATGAACTCGCATCCCAACACCACTAGGCAGGTTGGATGGTGGACTAGTTTCGTATTCCGGGTTTGTTGCGTGCCCATTCATTGTCGACAATACATAGATGGTCACCATTAGGGAAGTAAGTTTTCGTCTTCCGTGCTTAATCAACATTTTTCTTGTCTCGTCTACTTTCACTGCTGTCGTCGTGTATATAGTATCTCTGATTGGTTCCCGGTATGTAGTGATCTTACATCGATCCATAAGATTATACTATAGTGGGGAGCTCAGTCGTGATATAGAAGCAGAACAATAATAGAAACGCCGATATATGTCAATATTTGCTCGCCATGTAATGTGAATGAGGTCTTGGGCCTTGGCACAATGGCAGAATCAAATCAATTTGGAACCTGCAGACATGTCAGCAACGCTATTTCAACACTTTTTCTCTCAGTGGGCTTCATTTCTAGCCTCCACCGCTTTCTTGTTTTCCCTTCCTATCCATAGAGGACGTCCGCTGTCCAATCGGTGGCCTTTTAGCTGCCCACACTGGCCAGCTAATAAAACCGACGACGAGTAACCAAGCTGGCCCTACAGTGCACCAAGTCGTGACATTAGCAGATAGGAAAATCACAAGCGACAGCGCTAAGAAAAAGAAAACCATCCTGTATAATGTAAATTTGTTAACGAGAATCATTCGCGCAGCGGTATATAGATGTTGAAGGTGCTCACCCCCAAATAACAAGGGCATACGGTAAGCTGAAGATGATCGCAAGGTTCTCTTTGCCATGTAGTGACTGAGTCATGCGCGTCATGAATGCAGTCTTGATCGGCCAAGTCAGTCATGTAATAAGAGCGCAAAAACTTAGATGTACCACTCGGTTTATACTGTCTTGGTGCCCGCCGCTTTGCGCAAGAAGAGCAGAAACGACCAATGAAGCTACGGACCAGAGCGACGAGATGTATAACGCGATTTGTGCCGAAGGTCGTTGACCAATCGCTGGCACCGCGAGGAAACTGATGTCCACAGCTAGCATGACGGTTGACTGTCCAAGGAATATAATGTAAATGCAGTCTTTACTATTTAGCATCGGCGACTTACATAGATTGCTAATCCACTCCACTCGCTCGTCAACCTATTCATGAACATTTTCCAGCGCGGGCGGTTGACAGATTGGTCAACCCAGACGCTATCGATTTGTCTGACATGGGTGGACGGAGAGCCAAAAAGGACAAAGTTGAAAAACTTGACTATTGGTCTTCTTTCGTCGATAGAGTTGTCGTCGGCATAAACAGTGTGATCTGTACCAAGCCTCGTGCCTATTTCACCGTAAAAATTAGAAAGCCTGGCTCGAGCTAGTAGGAAAAGTCAGCTGCATCTGGATGAAGACGTCCATAAGACCAACATACTGAACATTCGCATTAAGCGAGCTACGGAGGCTAATTGTGACAACGAACAGTGTTAAGAAGCGACAACCGCACCGTATGCCCATATGTATTGGTCGTTTGTGGTTAAATCAGATTCGTCATTTGCGGTCGAATCAGATTCGCCGTTTGTTGTTGAATCAGATTTGTTGACGATGCCTCAACGTGGGATCAACAAACATGCCCAGTACAATGTATGAACAGACATCACCATTCAAATAATCTACAATGTTCAAAGCTCGCTGGAGCTCATCCGTGTCAAAAGGAGCCAAAGATATTTCTGAAAAGATAGTATCTACTCGCTTGTTGTGAACAAATGTTGTCAACACGTCGCCAGAGACGCACCGGTATAAGCATGGAGGATCATTGCCTGCAGTTCACGGTGAAGTTCAGGAGTTATCTTGCAGTCGCTCGGATACAACTCCCGGTGCATCCTGAACCCCATAAGTGGGAAGAATGCGTATGCCCTGAGGACAGAAGATTTAGAGCTGTTCATTTGCGACAAGCAGGTGAAGTTATTACCTTGACCGCACAGCTCACCAATACTCAGTCTCCATGGCATATTCTATACAACGGTGAAGCAGTGTCCCCAGAACAGAAGAAAAAACGCACTGATGTGACCATTCGTAGCACCTTTGACCCCGCCAAACAAATGCTTCGCCTCAAAATGGTCTTCCCAAAACAGAATCCGCCAATCGGGTGCGACAAAATAGTACTTGCATTCCAGTTCCCCGCCATCGTTTGTGGATAAATCAACGGTGAGCTCCATGAGGGTGCCTTCAAGGTGACCTGCGAGTTGCGCTTGCTCGAAGAGCGTTCCCACACAGGAAGCAATTGCATCAGAGTTCGACTGCTCGCGTACGTCGGCATCTGTGAACACCGTGATTTGAATCTCGGTTGTCGACATATCCGTGTCCTTCCATATTAGCTGAAAGAGTAAATAGGTGAACGAACACGTTGGAAACACACTAACAAACTAACCAATTCGCTGGAAAAGTATAGTGTACCGTGAGGATGGATCTGGCACTTCCAAGTAATACCGCCTGCGTTGAACTTGTCCGGACTGCCAGAAGTAAGTTGGCATTCATGTTGCACATTCAGACGGGTACATATATTGACGCACGATATCGAAAAATCCTTCCGGCCTGGTGGGATCTGGAAATCTGTATCCGTCCCCTGCCACTGACTGGGAAGTTCTGGTTGAGACTTGATCAGTTACTAATATTCAAGGCTTACATTTGGGACTTTTTGCTGTAACGTCGAACGTCACTCGGAGTCATTGGCTTCAGAATTGGAGGGGTATCGTCATGCAGCGATGTGCCGATGGGCACAGAGACGTGGTTAGACTCAACTTCTTCGGTAAACAAGTTCCCCGCAGTGTGTCCCGAGTGCCGGCTTGCTGAGTGCCCAGACTCGGAGGGGTGGCAGAGGCTTGGGAGGATAGTTACTGGTGAAGCATCAGAGTGACTGCATTGTTCGCGGCATTCATCTTTATGGCGACCAGTGTTGCTACTCGCGTGTGCAGCACTTGAGCGCAAAAATCTGGACGTCAAAAATCCAAGTATACGCTGCAGAATATGATATGGGTGCCGAATTTGTCTGGGAAGCCTAATGGCCATGGTTCGAAACAAAGTCAGCAGTTTGTGTAGAACACGATATGCATGACGCATGTTCATAGTGCACTGTGAGTGACGCCTATGCAGCAGTAGCTTCGCTTATCTTGCTGAACAGTGATGAGCAACAATTGGGCAAGCTTAAGATCTGGGAAACTGAAGAAGAGCTAAATTTAATTGACAGCTCTGCACAGGAAGACCCTTGACTATAATTCAAGCTATAATTATGAGTGCTTATCTTCATGTAAGTATATGGTACCACCGTTCCAGTAGTACGAGAGCGCGACCCGACGAGGTTCCACCAGAAGTTAAATAGGATAAGTACTGTTCATGTAAGAGGAGGACGAGCACAAGAGTGACGGAGCGTGATCATGAGCTTGCCACCGTAACCAGTGGCAGTGCAGTGGAAGCCGTTAATCAACGAGGTCCTTTTTTAGGAGACGGTGTCGGGACTCGGTATTCGAGATTATTACCGCAAGCTTGGGTACGAGCTCGACGGTTCCTACATGAGCAAATCACTACTATAACATATACAATTGCACTAGTACTATTATTGTACACTACATTACCGTTTTCACGAGCGTCCTTGGTCACCAATGATCAACGTATGAAAATTCGGGAACACAAGTTCCTCCTCCACCGTATTCCGTATCACATCCTGAATAAACCTCTCGACCCTTGTCACATTCTTTAGGACGTGTTTGTCCGCCTGGCCGATCTCACTCTCGATCAATATAGACGGGAGGAGACGTTGGCCAATGGGCAATGGTTTTCCATCACGTTTTCCGCTGTCTTCGTCCATTTCAGGAGGGGTGCTGGTTTGGCTTCGTGGACGTTTACATGCGGGGCCGTAGGGGTCCAAATCGTCGAGTACGCATAGGTGCACTCGACCACGCGAACCTTCGTATGCGACTGCTACCTCTCCTGTGAACACCAGCCCTGTCACTGAGAGCTTGATCGGAAGGGACATGAACGACGGGGAAGGGTAATTGATCAATAAAGATGTCGTGAGCGTGAGCCGAAGATTGGAATGCCAATTAAGATAGAGATGAAGCTGCAGATCTGGATTGTCGGGTGAAGGGGTAGGACTTGGAGTTGGAGTTGGAGCTGGCTCTGACGCCGGCTCCGGGCGTGAAGACGGAGAAGCCGACGACTTATCAGGCGTCGTAGACGCGCGTAGCAATGATTCATACCCCGAGCCATGCTCGAACGAAGGCATCGACATCGACACGCTGCTTGTCGTCGGCCTGAATTCACCCAAGCTAGGCATGCTCACATGCATCGCGCCTCCGCCCCACACGTCTCTTGGCGAACCGACATGCAACGCCGGCGTAGATGCGAACAGATCTACAGATGGACTGCGTCCATAGCGGATATGTGGTGGCAGATGATGATACGCCAGACCTTCCTCTGCGGTTCCCCGGCGTGCGCCTTTTCTCGACACCCACTCGAACCCATCCTCATCGTCCCCTGCGATTTCTGTCACTTTCACATTCTCATGGTCTGGCTCAGAGTTTGAATCGGAATCAGAGTCTTCGAGGAAATCGCGGTATATATCACGAAGGTCGACGAGCTCGACGTCTGGAGGGACGGTACCAAAGTCAAGCGAAGAAATTTCGACGGGACCGATGAAGGATGGTCTTTGAGTTGTCGTTAGTTGGCGATTGAGGATGTCAACGAGGGTAGTCGCTAGTGATGAGTTTAGCTTTTGCCATTCCAGTTCGATGGACATGCCGGTGAATAACAGGGCGTCGGCATACTCCGGAGTTCCCGTAAACCCTCACTTACAGCAATACCAATGACCATGAACAACGGAAGGGGAGAGGCAGAGGTCCTCACAACTGTTAGTGATTGCTCTTGCTTTCCTCATGAAACGCTCACACCAGCCTTAGTTCAGCGATGGCTACTCATACTCCAAAACTAAGCTCGAAGAGAGCTTGCGCCATGTCTTGGCGCTCAAACTCGCCAAGTCCACCAAAGACGCTGCTATCATGAAACGAGAGGACGTCGATCTCATCGTGCGTGTCGCCATCATCATCCTGGGACATAACTCATCTGCTGGATGCTTGTAGGTGAATGAACTGGGTATTCCTAGATCGCAAGCCGAGAAAGTGCTCTCGGAAAGCGGGGGCGAGCTCGAAAAGGCCCTCCGTGCGCTCGTCATGAGCTAATATCTGTCCAATGAAAGCTCGCTACTCTTCCTTAATATCATCACACTTTTCCTCTATGCAACCGACACCTCATCAAGTCAGAACAGGAGATGGAAAAGTGTAAATTCAGTCCCAATTACAGCTAACGGAACATGTCAGCAAAAGTTGATACTCTACTAAAAAAAGTTCAAAGTTCATCATCAGCCACCACAAGCAAGTCCTCGTGCGTAAAAGTAGCAAAAAAACAGCAAAAAAGAGTTAGAAATGCAACCTGAAATGAACGGCCTTTTCAGAACAGCAAAATTGCAACGGGCATTCTGAAGCGGCGCGACCAGAAAAGACTGAAGGCGAATGAGTGAGACGAATCGTAACGTGACTTGGCCGTGAAAAAGAGAGAAAGTTTGATATGATAACCATGAAATAGATTCAGATTTGCCTGTTTGTGAGATCATGGTACAGGCGCGATGCAATATCTGTGATAAAAAGGGCTTGTTTGTGAAGATCTAGGAAAACGGGTATATTCAGGAAGGGATCATCGTAAGACGTCGTATAATAGTTGAAAATATGTTCTTTTGTATATCCTGGTGTGCTGATTACAGCCGCTCTTCGGGTCTGGGTGTCGGTGTACGTGAGGGGAAGGGAGAGCCGTATGGTGCGTTGAGGTATCGCGAGGTGGGTTCCATGTCAGAGAAGTGGTCACTTTCGACTGTGCTCGAGGGCTTTTCTGCAAGGCCCAGAGCACTGGCGATAGCTCGGGGGCTTCCAAACGGCGACGACCTCTTCTGTAATGGGAACTGGCCAATAATGGGATCATCAGGGCCTAGAGGGGCATCCGAAAACGGCTTTGAGCCGCCACCGATTGAGGACGTTATCTTTGTCTCAGGCGACGCGGGCTGGTTGTACATTCCAGTGGCTGCGAGCACCGTAGAAGCTCCGATGATGAAAGAAGGCGTGATGTGGAAGTCGAAGAGCACAACAGAGGCGAGGAAGGACAAAATAATAGATAGTGATGTCGCGAATCCCTTCAAGATGTTGTCCGAGTACTTGATCACGACAGCCGTCACCAAACCACCAAAGACTTGTACCGACACCGTGGCCCATGCCCATCCACCAAAGTTTCGGAAGAGGTAACTCAAGAAACTCATGGAAGGCGGTTGTGCAGGACCGTAGAGGATGGGGAGGAAGGCAGGAAGGAGGGAGAAGAGCGAGAGTTGGACATTGCGCACCCACAGGTCTGCCTTGGAGTTCTTGAGCACCATCTCAAAGTAGACACCTGCAAGACCGGATGTAAAGCAGGCAGCAGTGACCGCGCCAAAGCCTTTCAGCGGACTCATGATATGGATGTGCAGCGGCGCCGCATCATGGGCACTCCCCACACGAATCTCCCGCGTGCCACTATTCGACGCAGTCGTCTGCACCTGGACGATACCGACACCAATTGCCAAGAAAAACAAGGACAACCATTTCGTCGAGGTGAGGGTCTTCCGGAGGAGGACGACCGAGAATGCAGCGGTAGTTAGAATCTTCATCTGATATGCCACCTGAAAGGATGCCACGGGTAGATTGCCGATAGCAACAAACTGCAAGGAGTTTTGCACGACGTAAAGGACAGCTGGTATGGACAGCTTCCAACAATCGGGGCTAAAAATCTCACTGCATACTTGGCGGAAGGGTGCGGACCATGGAAATAACGATTGCAAGAAGCCGCTGATTGATTTCCGAGATGACCAATGAGATTCTCCTACGTCTTGTGCTCTCCAAAGTGCAATGAAGAAAGATATTGACCCTTTGAGGATTTCGCATAGTAGCACCGCCGCTGCAGGGGAATATGACAGGTGCGGAGGTGTCGTTACACGAGAATAGTGCATCACAATGGATAGGGTCGCGTTTTGAACAGCGAGGGTGATGAGGCTGATTCATGGGAAAGTCAGCCATCTGCAGACCGAACACTCGATTGAACTCACGATACGTATTTCAGAGGCATTCCGCAGATGGTCGGATGTTTCTGAGCTGTTTCTGGTAGGGCTGCGTGCAGATGCTGATTGAGAAGCAAGCCGGATGATTTGGGGGAGAGGCCGTTGAACCCTGAGGGAGGAAGCAACGGGGCTAGGCGTGGGCTTGGAGTCGTGGAGCCGAAAATATTGGAAGATGAAGGTACGGAACGGATAGAAGGGTATGCACGATGGTACATTTCATGTGAAGATGAAGGCACTGCGGACCAACGTTTAGTAAAGAATGAAAGGGCGCTACGGATGACTGCACTGACTACTGGTGCGTGTTCCGTTTTTTCAACGAACGCGATTGGCTGGCTAGTTCGGATGTGGTTCAAAGTTGATACTTGAACGTTTAATTCAACGGAGAAGGCTGCTGAAACTAGCTGTCGTGAAAGAGATGAGAAAGGATTGGAAAGGCAAATCGTCCAGGAAAAGCACCTCGTCCGATTCGTCCGTGGTAGTTGAACAGCACCAAGTCTGTGACCACTGTAATTAGACAAAAGTCGCCAAGAAAACAACGGCGCGGTTGTCAACAAAGTCAGTGCTCCTCAGCACTGCAGCGTAGGAAAAACTTTGAGGATGATGGACGCGCACACAAAAAAGGTCTATCCACAAAAATCACAACATTAACCAACCTCGGCTATAAGGTCACTTGATCACGATCAACTTCGGATTATGTTACTCTCGTTCCTATGCAAAAATGACATGATAGATTGACATGATGATTTTACTACTAAAACATGACAACGACTACTGCAGAGCTCTAGAGTTGAGAATATGTATCAACATACCACAGCTAAACCCGTCTGTGAAACAATCATCAGCCCATCATCATCACAGATCTAGTCGCAGGATGGACACCAACGCAACGCCTCAGCCTCGCCTTTATATCTCCATCCACACCCATCTGTCTGTGCGGCTCTTTGATAAAAACCACATCAGACACCCTCGCACATCAAGGGACCCATTCGAGCGGGTTGTGTGTTTTTACCAGGATGATCTTCTTCGGCATACATCGGTGCCCATCACAGCTCAAGCGATAAATATGCGCGACTTACAATTTTTTAATTGCACGACATCCATCTACAAATAATACAAACATTAGTATCATGTAGGCATCTCCAGGTGATCCTGCGTCCTCATCCCTCGACCAATGGGAGGAACAATCAGCAAAGATTGTTTTTGAGACAACGAGTCAATCCTCGACATTTGTCTGGACTATCCATCCTTGAAAGTTGCGTGAAGCAGAGGATAAACAGTAATTTGGACGTCGTGGTTTTTGTTAAGGAACGCCCGATAGACGATGAAAATTTTGAATAGCTCGGCAAATGCCGAGCGGACTTACAAAGCCGCTTGGCTGGCCAAATCTGGCAAGCATTCCGGACATTCGTAGAAAATTGGACTTGTCGTTGACCCGACTGAAGCAACAGCCTAGGCATGGCTGCCGCTGTACAATCTCCTTTCGCTACACTACTCAAACGGTCCAAATTTTCTTCCTTCGACCCACGCATCGCCCAAGTCTACACCACACACGGTGGTGACGCTCACCGCGGCAACTGGGGCTTCAAACGTCCACTCCCAATACGCAGACGTGGTGCCTACATCACAGTGAAGGCTGTCGACTCACTTGAGCAGCAGACAGAATGGAACTCTGCTGAGCCTCAGGCAATGTGGATGAAGAACTGGGATGAACTACAAATAAACCCCACGACAGAAGAATTGCGTCGGGCTTCGAACGCAGAAACTGGTGATTTGGTAGACTCGGAGTACGCCCCAATGCGGACGGACCCAATAAGTTGGCGCTCATCTGCTGTCCCTAATATCCATGCCATGTCCAACTTGGAATTCAAGAAGTATGTTGCGCATATCCGTCGCAGACGCGGAGACTTCTTTAAATACCAGGAGATGAAGGCGGAAGCATTAAAGATGGAGAGAGAGAAGAAGCAGCAGCAGGCTTTGAAGGAGGCGAAGGCGGACGTGTCCAAGGAATCGTCTACGTCCAAGGCATCGCCTAAAGAGAAAAGAGCCCCTCCCGAAAAACTTCGAACAGATTATACCCTTGATGACTTCGCTATATGGGAGTCTGAAGGGGTACGAGAGCGTCCTCGATCACGTTCACTCGAAAGCGTACCGCATCGCTCCGCAGGTCTTCATTACCCCCATTTCTCAGCACTTCAAACATATCTCTCTACAAAGGAACACAAAGGACGACTAGTGGAAGACATGAAGGGCGAGAAAGGAAAACCGATCTATTTCGTGGCATCATACGCTGGTATGGGCACCATCGTGCTGCAGAAGAACAAGGGAGTGGCCAAAGTGATGACGTGGGGCGACCCGAGCGCAACTGGAGTGACGAAACTGAGGCCCGAGTCCGTATCGTTGGAGAAGGCTCCGGAGGTGGTGTACAAGAGGCAGGGATTGAAAGCGGCCAAGCTCTCGATGAAAGCGTTTGAAAATGATGCGCAGAGTCATTCCCAGAGCAACACTCATAGACCCGGATCACTGGAGTACATCACAGCTGAACCCTTGAAGTCTTTCGCCAATCACACCCCACACCTTAGGCGCCCGAGGTACGATAATGTCGTGCGCAGGTCAACGCAAGCACAATCACAAAGTTCCTCCGGTGGAACGACCTTGGATTATTTGAAGGGGATACTTGGGCGGGATCAAGGTACGAACGGAGTTCCAGAGGAGGGAAAGTCATAATTATATTTAGTATAGAATACACTTGAATTGTGGCTTGACAGTGGACACGATGTGACACAAAACGCGTGATGTGCGCGTGACATTCCGTGACCCATTAACCGCGACGAGCGTGTCTTGTTTAACTTTCCCACGGCACTACTCCTCCAGCTTAGGTGCTCGCCGTCACCAACGATGCCACGCGAATCCACAGACCGCAGAAAATCAAGCATAGGCAGTCGCAGAGGTCCCCCAAAGAAACATATTCCCTTCCGCGCCGATGATCTGGGCCTCGGAAAGAAAACCGGGATCGCAGTCCAATACGTCGGCCGCGACTCTGATGAATTCGAGCCTTTCGACGAAGTCATCAAACAAGCTGACGATCGCACACCACCACGCGTGAAATCACGCAAGAAGAAGGCTACAGTCGTCACCCCCGTCCCAGAATTCGATGAATACGATGAGAATGGAGAAATGTCTATGGAGTTGGCCGAAAGTGAGTGACTTTGCTTGTGCACGATCTGACGTGTTTCGTCTCATCATTTCATCCAGGCAACCAGGGCAGTCCGCTGGCTTACTTTACGAATGCGCCTCCCATAATAGCGCCTAATAGTGCGCGTAAATCGGGCTCGTCGAGATCTGTCCCGCGAACGTCTGAGATCGACTTTGACGAGGTGCCTTCGCCCCGTATGCGCGCCGCACCATCTAGGCGTGCGTCTACTGTAAATGGTGCGGGTCCTTCGGCACTCCACAAGTCGTTCTCTGTGTATAGCGACATCCATGAATATGACGCTGCTCCTGACCCCGAATTCGAGCCAGCGTATCAAGACTTTGGCTATGAACCCCCACCGAATGACAGCCCGCCACGATCAGGAACAAGTTCTAATGACGTGAATGAGGACGAAGTGGACGACGAGAATGATGCTGCGGAAGTTGAGAAGGAGATGGCATCACATGCGAAGATGAAACTTGGCAAGGGCAAGGGCAAGCGGCGTGCAGATGTGGAGGTGGAGCAACAGGAGGAAAACGGGATCGATGAGGATATTGCACAGGGACTTGAAGAGGTTGAGAATGCACCAGACGAGGAGGAAGATGAAGACCCGCCCCCTAAGAAGCCACGCAAAGAAGATCCGAAAGAGCAAAAACTTAAGAAACCTAAAGCAGCACGCGCACCCAAGCGAATCATCAAACCATTCGAAGAGAGTAGGTCCTCTGTCTCACACCATAACATAAACACGAAATTCACCCGCCTCAGATTCTCCGCCACCCGATGGCGTACGTCGCAGTCGACGACATCGGTACAAACCGCTTGAATACTGGCGCTCAGAAAAAGTCGTCTATGGGCGAAACGATTCTGGCCTAATTCTCGTTCCTCAGATTAAAGAAATCATCCGCATCCCGCAAGAGCCTCCTAAACCACTCGGAAAAGCAGGCAAGAAGCGCAAGCGCACAGGCAGTGAACGCGCGAAGAGCATTCTTGAGCCGGTTGACCCCGAGGAGGGCTGGGACGACGACACGCAGGAATCTGGTGTTGTGATCGATTATGCCACCGAGGAGCCAGTGTTAAGACGTGCGTGTAGCCTCTCCATCAAGCTTCTCGATGTATTTTGTTGACTGGTGCTGTTCCAGGCATTGTCTTCACAGCAAAGAAGGTCGATCCCAAACCTGCGGCTGGCGGGGGGTGGTTCTTTCAAAAGGTCTTCGGGGAGGGCGACTTTATTGCAGCAGGCGTGCTTCGTATACCCCCGCAGGGCCGCAAACCAAGCAAAGGGACGAAAGACAATACTTATGTTCGCATTCATCACCACACCCGCATACTTCTTATTTACCCCATTTTACGCAGGTTTTCTATGTTATTGAAGGCGCAGTAGCCGCTGTGATTCACGAATCACAGTACATCGTAGCTACAGGGGGCATGTTCATCGTGCCGCGTGGTTAGTTCCATTTTTCCTGCTCCGTCCGCTACTCTCATGATTAATCTAAATCATATCCGCAATGCAGGCAACACGTACTACATCGAGAACATCTCCGATCGAGACGCAAAAGTTTTCTTCACGCAAGCACGTCAGGTATCATTAGATGAAGACCAACAGCTAGATCACATATCGCACTCTGCGCCGCCGTCATCGCATCCCCAGCGGTTGAGTGCGGGTGCTACTTCACTGGGTAAGAGGGGGACGTCGATGAAGATGTGAGCTGTCTGGCATGACAATTGTGAATTTAATAGTGCATTCTTTGTATCGCATGCATCGCAATTTCTTTTTTCATATCGTTATCGGCTCAGTGTAACTTATCGTAATTAAGTGCCGTTTCTGTCGACGAAATGGATGGGACGCTTAGCGAGCACTTGTATCCGTCAGCACTTGGTCCAATACTCATACCCTTGTACTCCATCCCAATTATGTCAGGTCAATCAAACTCGGTAGAGGCCTCTAGCATGATAAGATGAGCTGCAACTTGAAAGTAGTCTTCAATTCAAGTCGCCGCTCGTCTTATCAATAGTAAATGGGACCAAGACAGTTGCTTTGACGGTCGAAGGTGGCCGGTGACCACCAAACAAGACGACCTTCAGATGATCGATTAATTCAACATGGTACAATAGTGATCACACGAGAGGGAAGCGTTTTGCAAGACAAGCAACCGGTCAGGCTTTGGGGAATCTGAATGAGGGGGCGACGAAAACAGGGAGAACAATGAGACTCTAACCTCAGACAGCAGTTATCAGGCATAGCAATTTGACATTCCTTCATTTGGTCTTCGTGAACGTGCAAAGTCCAGTCAGTGGGTGTCGTTCGAGGTTCAAAGTCGTGTTCCGAAAAAGCCGGTGGAGATCTTGCTCCCAGATTGGAGGGATTTTGATGGCATCGATCAAGGCCTCTGTCTCCTCGTAATTAGATTCGAGGTAGACGCGCAGGACCGGTTTCCACTGAGCCGTGGCAATACTGCCGTCTCTGCATTTTGTATTGTGAGTTTCTCGGAGGGGAAAATGAAGGGGAAGCAACATACTCGACTTCCTTGAAGAAGAGCGCTGGTTCTTGCACAGGGCCGAAGGGTTTCGGGGTAAAAAAGCCTGGTAGTTGCACCATCCAGTGAGGCGAGAAAAGGAGAAGATAATTCTCGTCACAAACCGACTGCGAGGTCCTGAACGCGCCCAGTCTTGTTTTCGGCTGACAGGTAGCCATCAGTACCGGCCACAGGTGGCTACGCAGGCTGTCAGTGAGCTGCCGAGATAAAGGTAAATGAAGGCTATACATACAGAGAAAATCATGTTTTCCGAGTCTTCCGAGTTTTCCAGGGTCAGGGTAGTTTTTTGGCCTGGCTGTATAATGGATCGTGTTCGTGCTGAGGACGACAGAGTAGATGAGAGTCTCCCACCTTCAGCTTGAAGTCAGTGTAAACTTCAATGCAGTTCCCATGCACGACGTCTGCTTCAGCAAATGCAAGGCTATATATCGAATGAGCGGCGTTCGTGAGCACGATGTTGGCCATTGCTCAGACATGACTTACTCGTTCGTGTAGGTCACTTTGAGCTCGCCCGAGCCTGGAACGACGGGTCATAGTTAAAGCGCCAATTGGGCAGAAAAGGTGTAAAAAATCCCACCCGTCTTCGGGAAAGTGAAGACTCTAAAAACGTTTGAAGGTTTGAATTCGTTGAGAGGGCGAAAGTGGGGGTACTTACTTCCATACCACAGGGTATATTGTGTCGTAAAGGCCCTCCATATTGGCATCGAAAACGAGGAGAATTGTCGTCTCCTTGCCGAGATCGTTGCTACAAGACGGTCGTGTAAAAATGATGAGGACAGTGCGATAGCGCAAAGACACTCACGACTGAAATGTCAAGTTTCTGACGATGGTACCAGGTGACGACATCGCTTGTATTGCAAAATGATTCTAAAACAAAATGGGCAGTCGAGAGTGAGTATGTATCGAAGAGCGTCGAGTTCTGCAGTTAGAGGCGTCCGCAGTAAGGAGGTCTTTTATATGCCTCGGGTGGCAAGCTGTATGTATGCCTTGATCAGGTGACAGGCTGTATGTGCCGGCATTCTTGGTTTGCGACATGGCAAGCTGTAAAGCTGTAGCTTATCGATGTTCTGGTCTGCCCTAGGCAGACCTTTATAGACGAAGGAAGATGGTCGTTCCTTATCTTCTGATCTCTGGAACATTCTTAGCGTCACATATGACCGCTGCGCACGCATGATAAGAAATCTCGCCCAGCTAGCAACGGCAGACTTCGCCATAGTTTGTATTTGGCCAAGGGAAAAACATCTTTCGAACAAAGGGCAAGGTGCGCAAGCAACCTCTGGGTCGTGCTTGTCTCCCTTAGTCTAGTCTCCCCTGGTCAGAAAAGCAAAAAGCCCTCAAACCATGGAATGAAGACAGTCAGACCTGATAAAAGGAAGACAAGAGGAGCCGTTATTTCTGTATCAGGCCTTGGGTCATGGTGAGCACGCTCTGAGCTGTCAAAAGGAGTGGCGATGTATCGGAGGTACATACAAAGACGCGCGAAAGTTAGATTGTCGAGCACGTCGAGGAGGGCGCATATGATTGGAGCATACGGACCAATATGGAGTTCTATATATTTGAGGCCATCAGGAAAATCTGGAGTTTGAAACATGCTCTGCAGCCTGACTGCAGAGCAAACCTTTGCAAATGCATGTTCGAGGAACCTGAGAACCCTGACTAATAAGCACAAAATAAGTACGCGCCCTCTTACATAAGCTTCAACTTGAGTTCTCAACCTTATGTTCGACTCTTCATGTTTTTCGATAGATCGGCGCTCAGACTCTATGGCACATGCAGAGTACTTTTGAAATGCTTTGGGGTCTTCGACCGCAGGTCTCCCATCTCGCGCACCAAGAAATCAGCATCAATGTTTCGTGTCTCGGAGGGACCGCCCACTGCGCCACGTTACCATGACCAACTATCATAATGACAATCGCTGGCACGGCCCCTCAAAGACCTAAGTTGTGTTCGACAGATGCCTCTTGGACTTTTTTGGATCACGGTAGAACTACGCCCAAACACCACAGGGACTTGCAATATTTCATTTTCGAAACCCGATGTAGTACTGCTACGTTTACCTCCGGCGCGCGTCGCCATCAGGATTCGATTTGACAAGGTTCCATCACAGTTAACAGACTTGGTCATGGTTGCGTCTAGTGACAGCTATCCGTGGAAGTTTTGTGCCAAAACAAAATCCTTACGTCTGTGTCCATACTTTGATGATCGCACAAGTTGTTGCCTGTCCCGCCTTGCTTAGGTTGGTTGCGGCGGTGAAGATGGAGTATATGTAACTAACTAGCTTAACCTAGGATCGCCAGCGAAGCCTAATCATGTTCACTGATAGGGGCAGAGCTAAGTTTTGCTCTATATGGTGCTGAGCTCACTCATTATCAACGTTGACACCGGCCTGATGATGTGTTCCCACTGCCAATGACGTCGTACACGTATGGTATCACGTTCCGTCAATTCGGACAACAACTCGTGGTGTACCGAGTACATACAGTGTTTCTCACCCCACTGATTATTCCCTCCAGCATTTGGCAGTCCTGAGGATGTACTGCGCTGCTGAGAGTATGATTCGTACACAGCTTCCTACCATTCATATTGAGACACTGTCCTCATATCACAGTTATATGGGCACACCACTTGGGTGTTGACCCGTCATTAAGCCTGAGTGAACTTGTAATGTCCAGTGGTTGTCTCCCGTGAAAGTGTCCAGGTCGTTTTCTCAGCAAGCGTGGCGAGATGTTTCTCCCAGATCATGGGTGCCTCGATGGCTTTGGAAATGAACGTGTTCTCTTTATAATCTGAGGTGATGTAGGCGCGCAGAATAGGAGTGAATTCTGCCGTGACGTTGCTACCGTCTCTGTATTTCGTACTGTGAGTGTCCTGAAGGAGAAATAATGGGAAGGTAGCACACCCAACGTCCTCGAAAAAGAGCACCGGAGCAGGCAAAAATTCTTTCGAGTTCATAAAACCTGATAGTTGGACAATTCAATGAAGGACTGTTGTGAAAAGAAGAAAATGGTGGTCACAAACCGAATGCAATATTCTGAACGACCTCAGTCTTGTTCCAGGCCTGCATGACGCCATCCGTTCCCTCATGAGGGGCCTAAACAAGTTGTTCGCGAGCTGTCGAGATAATGGTCGCCTAAAGCAGCACTTACAGAGAACGTGATGGCATCATTCTCCTTGATCATGTTGGTTCTTTCGCCGTTCTGTTTGGTGGCTTGCGTTCGTGCTAGGAATCGCAAAGTACTAGGTGAGAGTCTCTCACCTTTATCTTCACGTAGGTTTCAGCATCAGCGATTTTCCCCTTTGAGACCTGTACACTGGAGAAAACAAATCTGTACGTTGAGCGAGTGGCGATTGTGAGCACGATTCTGGTCATTGGCCAGATATAACTTACTGGTTCGTGTAGGTTACTTTCATTACGTGCACGCCTGCGATGAGGGTTGTAGTTAATTGGGCAGGAAATATGTGGGGAAACCCACCCGTCTTTGGGAAATCGCCGACTCTGAATACGTTGATAGGTTTGAATTAGATTTCTTCGCGGGGAAAAAAAGGGTTATTACTTCCAGACTACGGGGTAAAATCTCTTGTAGATGCCCTCCAATTTTTCACTGTCGAAAGTGAGCAGAAGCATAGACTCCTTGCCTAGATCTTTGCTACGAGACAGCCGGGTAAACAACGGGCAGCGCGATAACGCAAAGATACTCACGCCTGAAAGCTCATTTGTCTGGTGAAGGTTTGTGCCATTGTTTGGATTGTAAATTGATTGTAAAACACCAAAGTGCAGTTGGGATTGGGCGTGGATCAGAAACCTCGCGCAATGTTGGTCTTTTATAGTACACCCTACTATGTGCCTTGGGTTGTTGTTCCTGAACGTTTGGTTTGTGACATAGGCGCTTCGTCGAGTTTCTGATCCCATAAATGTCATTAGCAGAGATCTGATGAGGTTAGGACATGTCCAGAAGATCAATAGTTGCGTTTTGAACCACGTTTAGTAGGATCTGAACGGATGCAGCCTCGCTGAAAACAACTCAGATTTGATGTCTCTCAGAAACGTCGTATTCAGTGAAGCCAGTAAGCTCTCCGGACACAAAGGAAGGTGCATAAGCAACCCCCGGGATTATGCTTGGCTGGGTCGACGCCCATTTTCGGAATGGGGCGTTTGATTGTCCTCAACAAAATGTCGTGGAAATGTTGCGAAGGTTGTGCATGTGGGCATTAACTGGAGTTTGTAGGAGACAAAGCTGGCGTGGAACGTTGGCGAGATGACGAGAACGGGCACATGATAAGATTGCGCCTAGGAAAGGTTTCCTGTAGAACGGGTCAGTAGTATACTATCATTCCCACCGCCGGGTGTACTTATCGGTGGCAATAAGGAGTCCGAGAGTCGATTCCTCCAGCACCACCTCCCGAGCTTACAACGCTCCCTGACGAGCCTCCACCATGAGTTCCAAATCGGGATGACGAGATCGAACAAATAAAAAGCCTTTGAATCTACCACATTTACAAATGATCATCCTCAGAACAAGGCAACCTGGGAGATGTCCGAGTCCATCCTGGCAAGATCTGGCTCGTTACTTCCATTGGCAGACTTCGCTCGGCATCCCCCATGAGTTCGATTGGGACACACAGCTATTCCAATTTCGATTCCGTCATCCGTTCTGCGATGCAGGTAAAGTCAGTCTCCAGAGGCAAAACTTTGACAAATGAAGGCGTACACATACAAAGAAATTTGACCACAAACAGATATGTTTCTAGTTATGTCGCAAACCAAAGAGGCAGGAACACCCTAAGCAACCTGAGGCAATATAAAAGACCTCTTTCTGGAGCTGCTAATTGTAGAACTCGAAGCTCTCGAATCCACACTCAAGTTTTGTGTAGCAATGTCGCCTACCGTCGTTAAAAACTTGACCTTTCAGACGTGAGTATCTTTGCGCTATTGCGCTGTCCTCATCAGTTATGACCTGACCGTCTCACAGCAACGATCTCGGCAGGGAGGTCACACTTCTGCTCACTTTCGATGCCCACACGGAGGGCCTCGAAGGGGAATTCAACCCCAAGATTTTGAAGTAAGTACCCCCCGCTTCATTTGCGAGGAATTCAAACCTAGCAATAATTCAGAACCGGCACTTTCAAACAGAAGGGTGTGTTTTCCAATTTTTCTTCCCTAATTGCCAGCTTAACCTTGACCCGTCGTCCCAGGCAAGTGCGTGATGCCAGTGACCTATACGAACGAGTGAGTTGTATCTCACCAAAGGACAAAATCATACTCACGATCACTGCGCATTCAACGTATAGACTTGCTTTTGGCAAAGCGCAGGCCGTGACTGGGAGGATCGTTGACGCTGCAACTTTGAAGGTGGGAGGCTCTCGTATATTCTATGAATTCAACTTACCCAAGCCACCATATAGACCAGCCAACGAACCACCCTGACTGAGAATAATGGTGTCCTCCATTTCTCTGCAAGTCTTGCCTTCGTCGTGTCTTGATGTTGACAGCTCACGAACGGCTGCACAGACACCTGAGACGGGAGCCGATGGTTTCCTGCAGGCCGTGAACAAAACTGGGTCCGTACAGGACCTTGCAGTCGGTTTGTGACTGCTATTTTCTTTGTCTTCCCTCCTCAGTGTACGATTCAACTGCTAGGGTTTTTGAACGAGGGAGGCTTCGGGTCTGGGCCGACGCTCCGCTTCAAGGACGTTGGGCATGTCATCTTCTATTTGTTTCCCATGCAGGAAACTCACAGCATGAAAGCAGAGATGGCAGCCGAGTCACGGCTTTGCGGACTCCGATCCTGCGCGCCTACATCACTTCGGACCACCAAAAGACCTCAGTTTTGGCTGGTGCCGTTGACACCCCTGAGATCTGGGCGCAAAATCTCGACTCGCTTGCTGAGAGTACGACCTGGAACCTTAAATTTAACGAATCCACCGGACAGTACACAATCACCCCGGCTTAATGAACCCGAATTGATTTGCCCGATAACCGCTGTGTGAGGTCAGTATCTCAATATTAATGTTCTCCTCGCTTTGGTAGCAACCTCATTTGGAGTCCCAACAGCCTGACACGGACCTACGGTTGCCCGTCTCGTATGATGTTGTTCGTCCCTTGTGTAATAGCTGTACTGTGTTGAATTGATCGATCATTTATGTGTGTGTAGAATATTGCCACATTGTGTTGGATTTTGGTAAGACCGTGGTGTTGTTATTGGTATAGAGATCGGGTGACCTCCACTCGGTGTTCCCCTGGGTTGTTCAATTGTTAATCATCGACATCCCAATTTTGAGTCCGTCATGGATCATAGTCGAGTTTCTGTACCACCGAAACATGGAGCGGATCGAATCGTCGAGCTCGGTACTGCTACTTTGCGGGACTGCATGAAAATGGGGGTGGAAATCGAAGTGTACTAGTATTCGGAAGAGGTGTCAGACATGTTCTAACTCTCATATAAGTTGTCCTACTCACATGCAAATTTACACGTCACTATTCCGTTTCTTCTTATCTGGGTAGTGGGGATGCACGAAAGGGCCCCACAGCGAATAACCTCACGACTTGTCGTCTTCAATCAATGGTCGAGATATAACAAGATTCGATGACGGCCACAACTCACGAAGCATCGTCCAAAGCATCGCCGCCTCGAAAGAAGGCCATTGTAAAAATGAAGTAAAACTGAACGACATAGCTTTCATTCCTGGTATCCATTTCCTCGTCATTTCTTCCTCAGACAATTTCAGGTGTGAAATCTCGACACGGGGAAACAAATAGAGGAGCTCTTGATACGAGTGAGCTTGAGGGTTTCAGCGTCCCAAGACGAGGTGAGTGAAGCGATGAATGGAAGTATCCTGGTCTGGAAAGTTGCAACAAACGAGCACGACGCACGTGTTGGTCGCGTGGAATTTAAGGACCATGAGAATATCGTTCAATGCCATGGCCGTCAGGATACAGTATACGCAGTCTGGACAAAGATTGATAGTTGTCACATATGTACATTGTAGGAAATAACTCACGCAAGTAGTACAACACTGCGTCCGAGTTCGCCGGCCTCAACTCACGCGTACTCGTTCCTGCTGTTCAACAATTCAACGAGAATGGCATTTGACATAAGCAGACCTGGGAAGTTTCATCAGCGTTCAGCCCTCCTGATCGAGGATTGGGTATTGCAAAAAACGGTGGTCCCCATCATGGTCCATAGCAAATGAAGTCTGGACTCTCAGGCTAAGCGTAAGATCTAGATAATCCGCATTGCGTAACGGAGCGCCTGATTCAGAGACCAATTAATGTTGCGATTCAGTCCAGAAAGACACTGTAACAACCGAAAAATCTTGTCAAGACTAAATAGTAAACAACAGAGCTAGTCTGATGTGTATTCAATTAAGTATCGGGCACTTAGCGGCGTTGAACTTTTCAAACCGCTCATTCGAAGACTAGGCAATATATCGCAAACACATAGATTAATCAATCCAACATAGCACAACTGTTGTTACATGAGAGGCGAGAGGCAAACATAATACAAGACAACCGAGTCAGGTTGGGGCTTTGGATGAGGGAGCTACGAAATAGGGAGAACATTGGGAAACTAACCTCAGACACCGGCATTCATAAGCACACCAATTCGGCAGTCCTCAAACACCCTGAGTGAGCGTGTAATGTCCAGTGAGTGGATCCCAGGTGAGATCCCAGACCGTGTCCTGAGAGAGCGCGTGGAGATCATGCGACCAAATTGCGTCGGTGTCGATGGCGCCGACTAAGACTGAGGACTCTTGATATTCACTTTCGAGGTAGATGCGCAGGACGGGTTTCCACTTAGCCACGACACGGCTGTTGTCTCTGCGTTGTGTGCTGTGAGTTTCCCGAAGGTCAAATAAAGGGGACGCGACATACCCGACTTGCTTGAAGTAGAGCGCCGGGAAAGGCTTGAAGGTGTCAAGCGGGTTAAAAAAGCCTGGTAGTTGGACCGTCCAGTGAGGTGCGAATCGAGAAGAATATAGATGTCACAAACCGACTGCGATTTCCTGAATGAGCCCAGTCTTGTTAAACGCCTTCAGAAGACCTGGGGTACCGGCCACAGGTTCCTACGCAGGCTGTTAGTGAGCGATCGGAATAAAGGTACTACTCAGTAGTATAAAATAAGGTAAGACTTGCAGAAAAACTGTAGAGAGCATCATCTCCCATGGTCAGGGTGGTTTGTTGGCCTGGCTGTATGATGGCTTGTGTTCGTTCTGGGTTTCACAGAGTAGAGAGTCTCCCACCTTCAGCTTGGAGTAAGTCGAAGCGCTAATGAGGTTCCCATTCGCGACTTCCGCTTTCGCAAAAGCAAGACTAAACGTCAAATTAGCGGCGTCCGAGTGCGTGATGTTGACCCTTGCTCAGATATGACTTACTCATTCGAGTAGCTGACTGACATCGAGTACGGGCCTGGGACGACAAATGATAATGAGAGTGTGAAGTAGGAAGGAAAGATGTGGAAAACCCCACCCTTCTCATCGAAAGTGCTGACTCTGATAACGTTGAAAGGTTTGAATCCATTGCGGGCGAAAGGGGAGGCACTTACTTCCAAACTACAGGGAAGTATGTCTTGTAGATACCGTCCATCTTGTCATCGAAAGCGAGGAGAATCGATGTCGTCTTGCCGAGATCTTTGCTGCAAGACGGTCTACATGATGAGGACAGCGCGATAGCGCAAAGGCACTCACCAACGAAAGGTTAGATTTCTGACGACGGTGGCCATTGCTTGTATCGTTAGCACAAAGTGCAGCTGAGATTGGGTGTGCTTTGGAGAGTTGCAACTTAGAGGCTCAGCAAGGAGGCCTTTATATGCCTCAGATATGCTTATCAAGCTTCTGATCCCTGTATTGTTTTAGCAGAGATTCGACACTTGCGACGGACAGAACTGTCGTCCGTTCTCCTTTGATCTCCTCTGGCATAGGGACTATAGACACGCACAAGGGTTTGTTGCAATTATTGAACGGATGAAGGATCTCGCTAGAAAATCACATGCCTATCAGTAACACTAGATTCGGCCAAGAAGGTAAAAGCAACACGTTCTCCGAACCCAGAAGATGGTGCATAAAGCATATATCGGGCTGTGGGTCGGTGCCCATTGCAGCATCGGGCGTTGATATATCAATGAAGGTTTTGCGAAGGTTACGTATGTGAGCATCAATTGGAATTTGGGTAGGAGATAGGGCTGGCGGAACGTTGGCGAAATGACGGGAACAGTAACGCGATAAAGTCTAAAACGAAATAAGTTGTCGTGCAACGTTGAGGGCAAGTTCCTCATAGTGAGTCATTCGAATTTCGAAGGGGTTGACCATTTTTGGTCCCACGTGACCCTAAAACGGTCCCCGTAAGTCACGTGACACATTGAAAAAGGGCAGGAGGGAAGAAAAAACTGACTATCTAGTATCGTGCGCACTGCGTGTAGAACATTGCCACATTGTGTTGGATTCTGGTAAGACCGTGGTGTCGTTACTGGAAAGACCGTGATGTCGTTACTGGTATAGAGATCGGGTGACCTCCACTCGGTGTTCCTCTGGGTTGTTCAACAATTGTGAATCATCGACATTCCAATTTTGAATCCGTCATTGATCATTCTGCGATACAAAGGGCCTTGTGGGACTGCATAAAAGTGGGGGTGGAAACCGAAGTGTGCTAGTATTCGGAAGAGGTGTCAGACATGTTCTAACTCTCATATAAGTTGTCCTACTCACATGCAAATTTACACATCACTACTCTCCGTTTCTTCTTATCTGGGCAGTGAGGATACACGAAAGCGCCCCACAGTGAATAACCTCACGACTTGTTGTCTTCAATGGTCGAGACAGAACAAGATTCAATGACGTCCACAACTCACGAAGCATCGTCCCAAGCGTCGCCGCCTCGAAAGAAGGCCTATGTGATGCTCACTAAGGGTCATAAAAATGAACAACATAGCTTTCATTCCTAGTATCCATCCCCTCGCCATTTCTTCCTCACCAAATTTCAGGTGTGAAATCTCGACACGGGGAAACAAATATAGGAGCTCTTGATACGAGTGAGCTTGAGGGTTTCAGCGTCCCCCGACGAGGTGAGTGAAGCAATGAATGGAAGTATCCTGGTCTGGAAAGTTGCAACAAACGAGCGCGACGCACATGTTGGTCTCGTGGATTCAAGGACCATGAGAATATCGTTGAATGGGTATACGCAGTCTGGACAAAGAGTTATAGTTGTCACATATGTTGTAGGAAGTAACTCACGCAAGTAGTACAATAATACAATTGCACTGCGTCCGAGTTCGCCGGGCTCAACTCACGCGTACTCTCGCAACTCGTTCCTGCTGTTCAACAATTCAACGAGAATGGCATTTGACACAATTGCAAGTAGACCTGGGAAGTTTTATCAGTGTTCAACACTCCTGAATCAAGGATTAGGTATTGCAAAAAACGGTGGTTGAAGCGTCCGTCAGATCTAGATAATCCGCATTACGTAATGGAGCGCCTGATTCAGAGACCAATGTTGCGATTCAGTCCAGAAAGATACGGAAATTCTTGTTAAGACTAAACAATATTAATATAGCTAGGCTGATGTGCATTCAATTAAGTATCGGGCACTTAGCGGCGTTGAACCTTTCAAACCGTTCATTCAAAGTCTAGGCCATATATTGCAAACACATAGATCAATCAATCCAACATAGCACAACTGTTGTTACATGAGAGGCGAGAGGCAAACATAATACAAGACAACCAACTGAGTCAGGCTGTTGGGACTCTGAATGAGGGGGCTACGAAATAGGGAGAACATTGGGAAACTAACCTCAGACACCGGCATTCATGAGCACACCAATTCGGCAGTCCTCAAACACCCTGAGTGAGCGTGTAATGCCCAGTGGCTGCATCCCAGGTGAGATCCCAGACCGTGTTCTGAGAGAGCGCGTGGAGATCCTGCGACCAAATTGCGTCGGTGTCGATGGCACCGACTAAGACTGAAGACTCTTGATATTCACTTTCGAGGTAGACGCGCAAGACGGGTTTCCACTTAGCCATGACATGGCTGTTGTCTCTGCGTTGTGCTGTGAGTTTCCCGAAGGTCAAATAAAGGAGACGCGACATACCCGACTTGCTTGAAGTAGAGCGCCGGGAAAGGCTTGAAGGTGTCAAGCGGGTTAAAAAAGCCTGGTAGTTGGACCGTCCAGTGAGGTGCGAATCGAGAAGAATATAGATGACACAAACCGACTGCGATTTCCTGAATGAGCCCAGTCTTGTTAGTCGCCTTCAGAAGACCTGGGGTACCGGCCACAGGTTCCTACGCAGGCTGTTAGTGAGTGATCGGAAAAAAGGTACTACTCAGTAGTATAAAATAAGGTAAGACTTACAGAAAAACTGAAGAGAGAATCATCTCCCATGGTCAGGGTGGTTTGTTGGCCTGGCTGTATGATTGCTTGTGTTCGTTCTGGGTTTCACAGAGTAGAGAGTCTCCCACCTTCAGCTTGGAGTAAGTCGAAGCGCTAATGAGGTTCCCATTCGCGACCTGCGCTTTCGCAAAAGCAAGGCTAAACGTCAAATTAGTGGCGTCCGAGTGCGTGATGTTGACCCTTGCTCAGATATGACTTACTCGTTCGAGTAGCTGACTGACATCGAGTACGGTCCTGGGACGACAAGTGATAGTTAGAGTGTGAAGTAGGGAGGAAAGACGTGGAAAACCCCACCCTTGTCTTTGAAAGTGCTGACTCTAATAACGTTGAAAGGTTTGAATCCATTGCGGGCGAAAGGGGAGGCACTTACTTCCAAACTACAGGGAAGTATGTCTTGTAGATACCGTCCATCTTGTCATCGAAAGCGAGGAGAATCGATGTCGTCTTGCCGAGATCTTTGCTGCAAGACGGTCTATATGATGAGGACAGCGCGATAGCGCAAAGGCACTCACCAACGAAAGGTCAGATTTCTGACGACGGTGGCCATTGCTTGTATTGTTAACACAAAGTGCAGCTGAGATTGGGTGTGCTTTGGAGAGTTGCAACTTAGAGGCTCAGCAAGGAGGCCTTTATATGCCTCAGATATGCTTATCAAGCTTCTGATCCCTGTATTGTTTTAGCAGAGATTCGACACTTGCGACGGCCAGAACTGTCGTCCGTTCTCCTTTGATCTCCTCTGGCATCGGGACTATAGGCACGCACAAGGGTTTGTTGCAATTATTGTACGGATGAAGGATCTCGCTAGAAAATCACATGCCTATCAGTAACACTATATTCAGCTAAGGGGGTGAAAGTAACACGTTCTCCGAACGCAGAAGATGGTGCATAAGCAACCTCCAGAGATATGTTGGGCCGTGGGTTGATGCCCATTGCAGCATCGGGCGTTGATATGTCAATGGAGGTTTTGCGAAGGTTCCGTATGCAAGCATCAATTGGAATTTGAGTAGGAGATAGCGCTGGCGGAACGTGGGCGAGATGACGTGAACAGTAACGCGATAAAATCTAAAACGAAGCTTGGCTCTGCACCACTGGCACGAGCGAAATAAGCTGTCGTGCAACGTTGAGGGATACGGAGCTGATGCGGCAGTGATGGCATCAGTGTATCAAATAGCATACAAGCGGGACTTACAGATTCAAACCTCAGAAACGCTCATTTGGAAAGTTGTGCATGGCTAAACCAATCTCATAGACGATTAAAGCAAGAGTTCCGCACAAAGCCTGCAACACTTGAGCCAGCAATCTTCAGATTTCCCGTGGGCTGAAGAACGACCAAGGGAACAGAAAAGGCTCGAAATGTCTGTTGTGGTTGACTTAATTGATATTTGAGGGAGCAACTCGGGAGGAAAGTGTCACCTTGGGCTAGTTCCCCGTGGGCAGACCAATAGAAGGAAGACATGAGTCGTTCCTTCTGTATTCAGCCTTGCGTTATGGCGGGAATTGAAATGGTGCTGGTGCGTCGGCCAGGTTTGAACCGACGGCTGGCAAAGATTGTGCTTGAATATCAGTATTTGGTTTGTTTCTCGACGGTCAAGGGATTGAGTCCATACATCTCACAAGGATTCAATAGTTTTTCTCAACAACCGCAGTGATCGCATGGGCGGTCATGCCATCAGGACCAGGTGGACTCGTCGGCATCCTGCGATGCAGGTTATACAAAGGCGCACGAAGATCATCGATCGAGCATCGAGTAGTCACCACATATGATGACCTAGGGAGCCTCATCCGGGATCAGTCTCATATCTTGTGTGTTTGAGGCCGCATTGGCGGGATTAATAGTTCCTTGCCCCGCTTAATGTCAACTTTGAAACTTTCTCTGACAGCTGACAGCTGCGAACGTGTACGTACAAGCAAATGGAAGTTTTCTATTAATGTTCGGCCCAACTCTTTGTTCATGGATGTGCGCTCGGACTCCCCGGAGAGTACTTTTTCGCCGTTCCAGAATATCCGATCACAGATCTTTCATCTCCTGCATCAAGGGATCGGCGTAACGCTGCTGCAGAGGACCCGTCGAACTCTGCCCATTGCCTGCCTGTACACGTTAACTACCATAGATCATGATCGCGTCCAAGTGGTGGTCGGACTTGCGTATGAAAACCTACAGGCGGAATCAATTAACGCGTGCTGGAGTCAGGAAAAGCCACGTACCAGTAATCGAGCAGAATGTGGGTAGTTGCCAGACTCTTGCAACACGATGCCTGCTGGAACGAAAAACTGGTCCTTCCTGGGGCTGAGGTTATGATACTTATTTCGCAGCCAACCAATATGAACCCATTGATTTGTTGCATCCATTCGGTTATCTATTAGTATAATGCGAGAAGTTCAAGAGATTGATGGGCCGATAAATCGTATCAGCCACGACATGGCGAAGTACAGTAAAAACGGTCGCGGCGCCTACGACAAGCGCTGAAATCATTGTTAACAGTGAACACACGGCCACCACGTGTCTACAGGAAGGCCGACATGTGGATTCAGTAATAGTATCCTGTGAAAGATGCAACTTAGCAACCACTCACCATAGCGCATGTAAGTGACTGCTATCTCCTCAATCCTCTCGCTGACCGAGTCGCTGAACAAGACTCAATGGCAGCAACTACTCATGGAGCATCGTCAACTCGAAAGGAACTACTTTACGTCGAAATGACGCTCAAGGGTCATGAAGGCTCGGTGAGCGACGTAGCTTTCATCCCTTGTACACGTCTCCTCGTCACTTGCTCTTACGACCAAAGTCTTCGGGTGTGGGATTTGGACACGGGGAAACAGGTGGGGGAGCCCTTGTTGGGTCACGATGATATAGTCTTGACGGTTGCAGCATCCTCCGATGGGTGTTGGATTGTGAGTGGAGGAAATAACGGAAGCATCCTGGTCTGGGAAGTTGAGACAAACAAGAGAGTGCCAGTCTCGTTCAAGGGGCATAAGAGTTATATTTTGGGCGTCATATTTGCACCGGACACCGAAACATTTGCAAGTGGTTCATTGGACGACACAGTATGCGTGTGGAAGAGGAAGACGGGCAAAATAGTCCTCGGACCACTCCGAGTGGGCAGTGAGGCAAACTCGGTGGCATACTCCCCCGATGGTAGCAAACTAGCAGCAGGCACCCACAAACACATCATCGTTTGGAATTTAGCAAATGGAGAAGAACTACTCAAAAAAGAACAGCAGGCTTGGCGAGTCGCATTCACTCCAGATGGTCTCCGTCTCGTCAGTGGAAATGACAAAGACATCCGAATCTCAGATGCTGCCACTGGAGACATCATCAAACAGTTTGACGCGCACGTCGATACCTTTCTCTCATTAGCCATTGCTCCCAATGCCACCACATCCCACGACAAAACGACGCGGTTCTTTGACCTGACCACATTCGAACCAATCGGCGAGCCACTCGAGCACCCTGATGTGGTCTCGGGTGTAGCCTTTTCCGAGGACAGCCAACTCATCGCGACTAGCTGTCACGACAAGCTCGTTCGCACATGGACAGTTCCTCAGAGAGAATCAGAGCAGGCGAGCAAATTACCTCCTCAATATGTCATGCTTCATGCTGACCTGTCATGCAATCCGCACAGAAAATTCTCAAAGTACGCTTTCATGCTTGTTGGTTTGTACTATCCCTCACTTTAGTCCTGCAGAAGACTATCCCAGGCCCGAAGCCTCACCCACAACGCGCTGGCATCCCACCTAGGTTCTTCAATGATGTAAGTCTATATGGCACAGTAGTCTCAATGCACATCTCACCATCCGTTTTTAGTTTGATACGCGTTCCCCACCTGGTCGCAACAACGGCACTACTACAACCACGCGCCATGCCGAAGGCTCACAAATGACAAACATTATGAACCGTCTCTTTTCTCGCTCCTCCGCTTCTCAGGGTGAGACTCCCCTCCCCAGCAGGATCCCCACTGTGGATGTCTTCGCAACTCGAGGCAAATACGTAAGTTTGCCGAGCTGTGGCAATCCTTGATCCCGTTTTGATGACATTCTCGCAGCACACCGCTAACGCCATTAGCGGGAAAAGGCATGTAGTGCAGCGACCACGTCTCCCTCCCCAACCATCCCACACTTCCAACACTGGTGTAGCGAATGCTTGTGCTTCAAGCAGCAGCGCACCCCCATTGGGCACATCCAATGCGACCGACGGAACTACCCCAGCAACCTTGCAGACTGGAAGTACCAGTGCTTCTGCTGCAACGAACAGACCCCCTTCCCCATTTGGCGTTGAATATGTTCCAGACGTTAGCTGCTTTGCGTTTCTGGCAAGGTGCTTCCCGTGTCTTTCACGCTCTGAGCAAACAAGTACTGTTTTCTCCACCCGCTAAGCGGTCACCCCCTTCAGAACCTTTTCGCTGGAATAAAGATTACCACTGCATGTATTTGAATATATTTTGCTCCTGATAGACGCTGCCATCATACATAGCATTCATTGAAGTTCAGATACCAGTCATGACTTTCTCAACGGCTTTGTCAAATGATGAGCCTGTACCTTACTTCGTCCCCATGGTGTCACGCCGCTCGGATGGTCAACCTAGTATATTGACAAGCCATCTATAGACTGATACATTGCATGTCCTGATTTCATATCCCCAGCATAAGTATAAAGTACTCAAAAGTCAAACACCGCATACGCGGAGAGCAGCACACAGACCACAATGCAGACAGACGGGTGTGCCGTAGCATTCCACACACCCAGAGCCACGGGTAACCCAGGACCAAATCCACCGGCCGCAGCAAACATGAGAAGTCAAGAAGAATAAGTGGCTTGCGGCGCAGAGACTGCACGTCAGACGGGATGTACCCGAGAGCATCATGTGTACGGTAGAAACTAGAATCGAAGCGGCTTGGCGTCCTTGTACCTCCGGTGTAGATGCTTCCGTCCTGGAAACAGTGATAAGCAGGCACAACTGAGAGGTAAGGACATGAAAAGTACTTGTTAAGGAACGAAGTTCCACTGGATGATATCTCCTCCTGACCAAGGTTCTGGTAGAAGAACATCGGGGTGTCTGGGGCGGGCCATGGGAAATCGACATTCTTGCGAAGACGCTCGGGAGCAGTGACGCCGTTCTGTAGTGTGCCCTCATAGAGCATATTCGAGGGGAATTCAGACAGGCAAGGGCGCATACGGTACTGGACTTGCAGACGAATGGGTCTGTTGCCAAGTACAACCAGACGTTCGAAAAGTGATTGCGTCAGACCAGCGCGTGCCGCTTTCTTGTTCATGTTTACCGGACTAAGCTGCTGGTGATCGCTGACAAGAGGGAACATACACTCTGCTTCAGGGTCAGTCGAGGCACAACTTATCAAGGAATAAAAGCGCACCCGGGTCAGCAGCTTGCGTAGTTTCGTCGATCAAAACCGTCCTGAACTTGAGCTTGTTGAGCCGAGGATTACCAGCACCAACGCATGGCAGCACCCAAAATCTCCTTCTCGCACTGCCTGGCGACGTTTTGTACTTCCGTTCATCATTGGAGCTCAATTCTCCCTGTTCGTTCTTCATCATGATCAACTTCTGCAACCCCACGTGAGTTGTATTCAAGGGTTTGTTGCAATTAAGTATTGCGCGGATGAAGGATCTCGCTAGAAAATTACATGCCTATCAGTCTATATTCAGCTAGGGGGGTGAAAGTAACGCGTCCTCCGAACGCAGAAGCATAAGCAACCTTTGCAGATATGTCGAGCCGTAGGTCGATGCCCATTGCAGCATCGGGCGTTGAAGGATTTGCGAAGGTTATATAGGTGATCATCAATTGGAATTTGAGTAGAAGATAGGGCTGGCGGAACGTTGGCGAGATGACGGGAACAGCAACGCGATAAAATCTAAAACGAATCTTGGCTCTGCACCACTGGCACGAGCGAAATAAGCTGTCATGCAACGTTGAGGGGTATGGAGCTGATGGCAGTGATGGCATCAGTGTATCAAATAGCATGCAAGCGGCTGTTACCGATTCAAAGCTTGGAAACGCTCTTTTGGAAAGTTGTGCAGGGCTAAACTAATCTCATAGACGATTAAAGCAAGAGTTCCGCACAAGGTCTGCAACACTTAAGCCAGCAACCTTTAGATTTCGCGTGGGCTGAAGAACGACCAAGGGAACAGAAAAAGGCTCGAAATGTCTGATGTGGTTGACTTAGTTGATATTCGAGGGAGAAACACGGGAGGAAAGTGTCACCTTGGGTTAGTTCCCCGTAGGCAGACCTAATAGAAGGAAGACAGGAGTCGTTCCTTCTGTATACGGCCTTGCGTTATGGCGGGAATTGAAATGGTGCTGGTGCGTCGGCCAGATTTGAACCGACGGCTGGCAAAGATTGTGCTTGGATATCAGTATTCGGTTTGATTCTAGACAGTCAAGGGATTGAGTTCATACATTTCACAAGGATTCAATAGTTTTTCTCAACAACCGCGGTGGTCGCATGGGCGGTCATGCCATCAGGACTTGGTGAGCTCGGTGATATCCTGGGATGCAAGTATACACAGGCGCACGTAGCTCATCGATCGACCGTCGATAGGGCACATATGGTGACCTGGAGCCTCGTCCAGGAACGATCTCATGTCTTGCGTGTTTGAAGCCACCAACAAAAAATTGGAGTTTCTGGTTGCCACTTTGTCAGCTTTGAGACTTTCTCTGACAGCTGACAGCTGCGAATGTGTAGGCTACGTACAAGCAAATGGAAGTTCTCTATCAATGTTCGGTTCAGCTCTTGTTGATAGATCTGCACTCAGACTCCACGGAGAGTACTTTTCACCGCTCCAGAATATCCAATTGCAGGTCTCTCAGCTCCTGCATCAAGGGGTCGGCGCAACACTTCTGCGGAGGATCTGTCGAACTCCAAGACCCGTTGCCTGACTGTAAACGTTAACTATCGCAGATCATGATCACAGCCTCCCAAAAGACCTTGTGTCCGTCAGACCTACGCTCAAACCCCACAGGAACTACTTACAATTCATTTTCGAAACTCGACAGAGACGTCCACGTTCATAGTACTCCTGGCACTCAGGAGCCTGGGCCCATTCGGAGAGTTAGTCATGTATATCCAGATAACATTTTCATCGTAATCCGTGAGCTTGCGAGGTGCGAACTGGGTGTTAACGTGGAACTTACATCGTTGGCTCTATCACCCGGAAGCCTCTATAAGAGGCAATGTGAAGTATGGGAGATGCGGAGCAAATCCAGTGTACACGGGAGGAATCATGTATTGGTGGGGGTATTCGACGAGAATACACGTAACTGTAGTGTCCCGTCAGTGCTGATGGCGTAACGAAAGCTGTTTCTGTGTAGATTCTCGCTTACAAGTCAGCCAACATTTGGAGCTGCGTGTGCAAATGGTGGTCAACCTGCGCATGAAAACCTACAGGCGGAATCAATTAACGTATGCTATAGTCAGAAAAGCCACCGTGACGTACTAGTTAGACTCTTACGACACGATGCCAGCTGGGACAAAAAACAGGTTCTTCCTGAGGCTGAGGTTATGATATTTATACCGCCACCAACCAATATGAACCCATTGATTCATTGCATCCATGTAGTCACCTATCAGTACAATGCGAGAAGTTCAAGAGATTGATGGGCCGAGAAATTGTATCAGCTACGACTTACTAAAAACGGTCGCGGCGCCTACTACTAGTACAAGCGCTGAAAATATCGTTAACACGCGGACACCACGTGCGTACAGTACTGTCAGATTCAGTGTACAGCAAGGTTGACATTTGGATTCAGCAATAATAGTATCCTGTAGGAGATGCAACTTAGCGACCACTCACCATAGCGCATGTAAGTGACTGCTCCCTCCTCAATGCTTTTGCTGACCGAGTTGCTGAAAAAGATCCAATGGCGGCAACTCAAAAGGAACTACCTCATGTCGAAATGACGCTCAAGGGTCATGAAGCCTGGGTGAACGGCGTAGCTTTCATCCCTGGTGCAGGTCTCCTCGTCACTTGCTCTGACGACAAAAGTCTTCGGGTGTGGGATTTGGACACCGGGAAACAGGTGGGGGAGCCCTTGTTGGGTCACGATGATGAAGTTTGGACGGTTGCAGCATCCTCCGACGGGTGTTGGATTGTGAGTGGAGCAATACACGGAAGCATCCTGGTCTGGGAAGTTGAGACAAACAAGAGAGTGCCAGTCTCGTTCAAGGGGCATAAGAGTTATATTTTGGGCGTCGTATTTGCACCGGACAACGAGACGTTTGCAAGTGCGTCACAAGACGAAACAGTATGCGTGTGGGAGAGGAAGACGGGCAAAATTGTCCTTGGACCACTCCGAGTGGGCAGCCGGGCATACTCGGTGGCATACTCCCCCGATGCTAGCAAACTGGCAGCAGGCACGGACAAACACATCATCGTTTGGAATTTAGCAAATGGGGAAGAACTACTCAAAATAGAACAGCGGGCTTGGCGAGTCGCATTCACTCCAAATGGTCTCCGTCTTGTCAGTGGAAATTACAAAGACATCCGAATCTCAGATGCTGCCACTGGAGACATCATCAAACAGTTTGACCCGCACATTGAACTCTTTATCTCACTAGCCATTGCTCCCAATGGCACCAAATTCGCCACCACATCCCACGACAAGACAACGCGGTTCTTTGACCTGACCACATTCAAACCCATCGGCGAGCCACTCGAGCACCCTGATGCCGTCTCGAGTGTAGCCTTTTCCGAGGACAGCCAGCTCATCGCCACTGGCTGTCACGACAACCTCGTTCGCACATGGACAGTTCCTCAGAGCGAATCAGAGCAGGCGAGCAAACAATCCCCTCATGTCACGGTTCATGCTGACCTGTCATACAATTCGCACAGAAAATTCTTAAAGTACGCTCCCTCGCTCCTCGTTATGTACTATCCCTAATTTCAGTCTTGCAGAAGACCATCCCGGGCCAAAAGCCCCGCCAACTACACACTAGAATCCCGCCTAGGTTCTTCAATGATGTAAGTCCTCATGGCATGGGGTAGTCTTAATGCACATCTCATCATCCTTCTGCAGTTTGATACGCATTCCCCACCTGGTCGCAACAACCGCACTACTACAACCACGCGCCATGCCGAAGGCTCACGAATGAAAAACATCATGAATCGTCTCTTTTCTCGCTCCTCCGCTCCTCAGGGTGATACTCCCCTCCCCAGCAGGATCCCCACTGTGGATGTCTTCGCAACTCGAGGCAAATACGTAAGTTTGCCGAGCTGTGGCAATCCATGATCCCGTTTTCATGACATTCCCGCAGCGCACAGCTAACGCCATCAGCGGGAAAAGGCATGTGGTGCAGCGACCACGTCCCCCTCCCCAACCAGCCCACACTTCCAACACTGGTGTAGCGAATGCTGGTGCTTCAAGCAGCAGCGCACCCCCAGTGGGCACATCCAACGCAACCTACGGAACTACCCCAGTAACCTCGCAGACTGGAAGTACCAGTGCTTCTGCTGCAACGAACAGACCCCCTTCCCCGCTGGACATTGAATATATTCCAGACGTTGGCTGCTTTGCGTTTCTAGCAAGGTGCTTCCCGTGTCTTTCACGCACTTAGCACACAAGTACTGCTTTCTCCACCTGCTAAGCGGTCACTCCCTTAAGAGCCTTTTCGTTGGAATAGATATTACTACTGCATATGTTCGACGATCCGTATGTTGTTCCTCATAGACGCCCGCCACCATGCGTAGCAACGTTCATTGAAGTTCAGACGCCAGTTATGACTATCTCCACGGCCTTGTGAAACGATGAGCCTATTCCTTACTTCGTTCACGTCGCTTCTGGTGATCAACCTAGACTTCTGTAAGCGGTCTGACCGCGAGAACGCTAGAACCACTTATGCTTGTAGTGCTCGACAGTCCAGCAGACCAAGTGTATTGCGAACGTAGAGACTGTATTCAGACGGGATGTACCCGAGAGCCACACGATGTTCAAACCAGTGGCATGTATCTTTTCATCGGGCTTGGAGGGGCAGTCCAAATGGAAGTTCGGGTGGTCTTGGGTCGGCAGGGGGATGTGTGCGCGCGAGATGGGTTCAGGATAAGATGATTGTTGTAAGACTCATTGTCCCACATCGCACACGGTTTGCACATGTCGTTCTCTCAGGCAGGTTCTGAAGGTATGCTTTGATGCACCCATCATCGCAATTCAGAATACGTTTTTCGCGTCAACGTCGAAAGTAGGTATCGCTAAGTACATTTGGAATGTCCACTTTAAACAACACGTGATAATCAAATGCATCAGGAAATCAACCCGAAATTGATATGACCAGACAGGATTGGTAACCAAAACTCATTATGACACATCATTTTTTAACCTTGAATGAATTTATTATGGTGTAACACATAGGTAAAATGAGATAAGACTATGCCAGAAAAATACCATCTTGGCGTGCATCTTGTAAGCAAACAACAGTGAGATAACTGCATGGCTGCAGGTCATCACATGTCTAGTAGAATTATGATCCACTGTGACATTTTTTAAACAGTGAGATATATCTTATCTGAATTGTATAAAAGGTGCAAGAACTACAATTGTGACAGCCTGCTTGCACGTCATTTTTTAACCTTAGATAAATTTACTATGGTGTAACACATAGGTAAAATGACCGGAGAAATCTAGTAGAATTATAATCCACTGTGACATTTTTTAAATAGTGAGATATAGCTTAGCTGAATTGCATAGAAGGTGCAAGAACTACAATCGTGACAGCCTGCTTGTCTGGCCACTGCCAACATGGCCGAGCATTTACAGTAGACTTAGGCGTCCTATAGATACTAGCTTGCACTCGCCGCATACTGCATAGTGCCGACTGAAAGGGAATCACTTGTAAGTATAATGTATAATTGATTAGAACTCCAAGCTACACATAAATCGTGACAAGCAGCACACACGACTCGAAAGTATTTACATCTGAATATAAGCCGCGAAGCCCCTTGTACATCCTGTGCGCCAAACTCCCAGCATCGACGAAATGAAAACAATAACTATTGGTCTATAGAAACTCTAAGGCACAAGCACATCAACGTTCTTATCACATATTCCACGACAGTATCTCAACACGTACATGGACCGCAGCCCACGTGTGCGAGGTGTGAGTCGTTACGACCTTGTGCAACACCGCGTGCCTTGACGCTTTCTCCTCCTCCGAAATCACCAACCCGCGGTTCATGGCAGCCGCTACATCCTGCTCACAACACATTTGTCAATCATCCGAAGATTTTCGAAATGAACAGACACTACGCACTCCAAGATCCCAAGGATTCACTTGCAGCGCATCAGCCATATGCTGACTGATACCCATAAACTCGCTCAAAACGAAAGAAGAGCTCTTCGTGCGCTCTTGCGCGATCACGAACTCCATGGAGGTCGTGTTCATTCCGTCCCTGAGGGGTGTGATCACCCTGAGGTCTGCAGCGCTCAGCAGTGCGTAAAATTCGTCCTTTCTGAGGGTCGGGTGGCTGTAGGGGGTGGGGTGGCAGCGGTTAGGTGTGATGTGGAAAGGGTATGGGAAGGAATTAAATGCGATATGGAAAGGGATTAGATGCGGTACGAATCATGAATTAGACACATAAAGACGTGATGAAAGGGACACGCACTAGTGGTGTACGGGTATGAAATACAATTTCCCATGTTCCCCATTGATATGCGCGACGAGTTCAGAAACTTGACGTTCGAACTTTGGACAGTCTGTTAACGCAGGGGAGAGCAACGCTCGCACCCCTCGAAGCACTAGCAGACGCAGCCATAGCACCCTACTAGTAGTTTCATACCCGCACACACGAAGGCAGGTGGAAGTGAAGTGGCGGGTGTAGCTGTAGGTTTGGAAACAGATGAGGTTGGCGCCTAGCATTTCGTCAAGGATGTCTTTGCGGCCTAGGGAGGTGCGTTAGGTTAGTGTGCTGATTATGGTGATCGAGGAAGGAATGTAGACGTGTGGGGAATGGGGGAGGACGTACGCGGTAAACACCTAAACACCTCAGAACTCGGGAAAGGCGTGTGCACGAAAAGACCGATGACCCTACGCGTAGTATATCAGTACTCTTGCCGTCATCGTTAAAAAAGCACTCACGGCACCAGAATGCATCGCATTCCTGAGCATGCGAGGGACTAACAAGAGATGGTAGTCGTGGACCCATACCAGGTTTCCTGGTTGGAGGACGCTGGCGAGGCGGGTTGCAAATGCCTGGTTGGCCTTTGAGTCGTATTTGGGGAGATGATTAGATGTGAGAGCGTTGGATAGGATGTGCGAGCGTAGATGTGTGTATGATGATGGACGAGGACTGACTACAACATGCAGTAGTGACTAGTACCTACGAGCCAGGACTCCAGCCACTGAACCAGGACCCCCGACACGACTTGCCTGTACGTCGAATATCGCATTGAAGCCCATCTGCAAGAAGTCCTGGTCGTCCTTATTGAACATGCGCAGGAAGCTTTGCTTGAAGATCGACGTAGCGAATGAATCCGATAGTACAATAACACCGTTTGTCGAGTTTGGTAGGGACTTCATCTCAAGCAAGCCCACTTGATCCAAGTAACCAGCAAACAGATCGACAGCATGGCCGTTGTTAGATGCTCGCTTCGCCGGAGTTTCATAGAACTAAAACAAAGCGAACTATGGTGTCATCGCACATGATTGCAGTCATCTAGGACGAACCTTTATAGCGCGTTTGTAGTGCTTGACGCTGTCTCGTTCGATGTCGTGATGAGAGCAAATGGGTTCCTTCAGCTCATTGCTGACAACCATGCCGGGACCCTCTGTTGCAGGCCCGCCCGTAGAAATCATTATGCGTGCGCCCGTGTTAGGGAAAGTCGTCTGGAAAATATCATCACTCAGGTGCTTTTCTCACCACAATTGATATGCGCACCTCCAGGAGTCCAACGGCTACACTGACGGCCACACCCGTGCAACGTAAAGCGCGCTTGTCATTGACAACGGGCCAAGGATCACTTGCAAGTACTTCCAAAATACCAGTGAGCTGGAATTCGCATTGCTGTACAGGAAGCAAGAAACGGGCGGCTGGGGCATGGGCTGGCCGGTGCGGGGTGCGGCGCGAGTTGTCGTGCTGAGTCCGAGCATGTCTTGAATCTGTTTCTGCGTATACTCCTTGCCACCACGGAAGACATATACTTTGCTGCACTCGGCATAACCCAATTCGTGT